GCCCGCGAGCAGCCTCAACAGTGACTTGAATGACGCCAATAGCTGTATCGAGGGGTACACCAGAAAGAAGTTGTTCAAGATTGACAGTGAACACATTCGGCTCGTACATCATGGGACCGAGCGTGTCGTGAACCATATCCCGAATGAAAGTCTGTAGACCAGGAATCTGATAATTGGGTGAGCTCGGGCCGATGATACTTCATCATACTGTTACTTACATGGGCTATGTCAAATCCGAGGGACTCGCCACCCACCGGTTTAAGCACGTAGTCAATAACCGGTTTTTCAAGGAAGCTGATATCCGCAATCTGCACGTGAGGGAAGTTCGCCATTAACTTCAACCTAATCCTCATCATGCCGCTGAAGGCGATGTCCTCAAGAAGGATAGGCATAGAGGCTGTGGCAAGACCTTTGCCCAGGCGAACGGATAGAACAATTTTGGGGTTGACTTTTTGCGCTGCTTGATGGGGGGTTATGTCAGATATATCATTGGGAGTGAAGGAAATTCCCCAGTCCATCATGACAATATCGTCAGCAGTCTTTGGAAATGTCCTGACTTTGTCTATACGGGGAGCCTTCGTCCCAAGGGTGAAAGTTGTGAGGCGTAAGGAGTCCAAGAAGGCGGGAGTAGTGGTGCTCAAGATCTGATCGACAGAGGCGACGACAGTAGCAGAAAGAACAGGCTCGTAAATGAGCCAGAAACGGTCCAAGAAGTTGTTCATCCAATCAGCGGATTCGTGCTCGGATGCGAGACGTGTCTTGATTAATTCCCGCTGAATGTCATCACGGGCACAACGGCGGACACGAGTCATTGAAGTTACATAATAGGTGTTGCAAATTGACAGCAAAATGATGAGCCATCCCCAGCCGAAGTTGAACCGTGTCAAGAAATGAGAAGCAAATACAGCCTATACAGCGTCATGTAAATGAGCTTATTAGGAATGGAAAGGCAATAGACCTACAAAGCAGATAAGAGCAGCATTATGGTACCACTGGCCATAATATTGCTCAGCCAAGAAAAGCTGAAGTATGTGGTTGTCTTTCTCCTCGCCTTCTTCAAGCGGAGGTGCATCAATGTTTGCAACAGCACGCCAACCAACTTTGTACCAATCTGGAATCGCTGGAGTAGGACCAGAGGGGTATTCTCCGGGTACTATAGGTGCAGATGGAGTTACACTGCCCGATTTCTCCTGCTTTTTGTTGGTCACTTCGTCCGTGTCTTCGACTGTGATGGTGGGAAGGGTCGCTCCGTCAATGGATAGCTCTGATGTAAACATTAGGTTTGGGTGACGTATCAGAGATAAGAGCGCACCTTTTCCATCTACATTTCCGTCCTGCTGGACGATACTCTTTAGTTGGTCGCGCTGCCTCCCCGCTACAGCTGCCTTCTGTTCTGGAGGAGCATCCGTGTCAAACGAGTGAACTATGGCACCCTTTGATGCATCATGGCTCATGATATCATGGAGATGAGTTTCAGCCGTTTCCTGGGGTTGTTTTACACCGCCATTGGAAGGTGCGTTCGTCGGCATGGTCAACGACATGAAGAGAAAGGAAAAGAAGAGAGAAGAAAGATGGGAGTTGTTGAGTCAGCTCAGACGAGCGAACAGCTAATAGGGAAGTAAGGTAGACTTAGTGTGTTAAGGAGGTTGTTATAAGGAGCAATGATAATGAGGCCTTGAGGAAGCCGAATACATCACTAGTAAGGAACGTCATGTCATGTGATGAGGTTAATTTACGTAAATGTTCACCCTGGGCCGGAAACAATGTTGACATCTTGCCGATAGTCACAAGGGACTTTGAGATACTAACCTTTCTCAGGAGCAAACTATGTTTATTCCTTCTTCCGGTACATGAGTTATCAACGGTCAAACTGGTTATATTCCGCGATATCTCGCAGATACGGGCCTACTAGTCTCCGCTACTATTCACAGAAGTCTCCAAGAGCGAAGGCTCAGGTATGTATATGATCACCCATCTAACGTAGAATCAACTCATCATGCCCTTAGTCAAAAATCGCACAAATCGATGCACAAAGTCAATTCTCACCCGCACTCATTGACTCGTTTCATAGGAGACACGATTATCTTCGCATCTCTTTGACAGAGAGATGTAATCTGCGATGTCTGTCCTTTAGTTCACTTGTTGTTTCAACCATTTAATCAATGTGATCGCAACGTAGGCTTTTATTGCATGCCTAGCGAAGGAGTAGAGCTATCACCAGCCGACCATATCTTAACCGACGACGAGATCATCCGATTGGCAAATCTTTTTGTGAGAAGCGGCGTCACTAAAATACGTTTGACTGGGGGAGAACCTACTGTACGGAAAGGCTTGGACGGCATAATTCGCAAGTTATCATCGCCATGCTTCTGAACGTTGGCTAAATTCTGTGCAGGTCGCCTCAATGAGCTCCGCCCACTCGGTCTCCAGTCCATCGGAATGACTACTAATGGAATTTCCCTCCACCGCCGTCTGCCTCTTTATGTCGAAAATGGTTTAACACACCTGAATCTGAGGTGACCGTCATTTCTTCGTGCATTCAACACGGCATGCCTAATAGCGATCAGCCTTGATACTCTGGATCCCTTCAAGTTTGAAATTATGACTCGGCGTCCCGGTCACGATGCAGTTCTCCGTTCACTCAATGCTGCCCTCTACAGTCAAGGCTTACGATCAGTGAAATTAAATGTCGTCATAATCAAGGGCCTCAACGATTCAGAAGTCCTGGATTTTGTCAAATTGACTACGGACCAAAATATATCTGTTCGATTTATCGAATTCATGCCCTTCACAGGTATCTTGTGTCCCCGACAATCATTGGCTTTACTTACATCACCACAGGAAATAAGTGGGATAAGGCAAAGATGGTCCCTTCCAGCCAACTTTTGGACATTATCTCAAGAGAATATCCTTCCATAGCACGAGCACCCGACGAACTCAACGACACCGCACGATCCTGGAAGATACCGGGACATGCTGGTAGTTTAGGCTTCATCAGCAGCATGTCAGATCATTTTTGCTCGTCCTGCAATCGCCTGCGTTTGACAGCAGATGGGCAAATTAAAGTATGTTTGTCATGACTGGAGCGTGCTATGTACTCACCTTTAAACCAGGTTTGTCTCTTTGATGCCAAGGAAGTATCTCTCAGAGATGAAATGCGACGCGGCGCCAGTGATAGAGAACTCTTAAACGTCATTGGACGCGCTGTTCAAGGCAAACAGGAGAAGCACTCCGGAATGGAGGACATTGATGTCATAACCAACCGACCTATGATACTCATCGGAGGTTAGGTACTTTCCATCGAGGTTGAGTTTACTAGCGTGTGAATGGTTCAATATAGTGTCCTGATGTGAAACCACCTTTCCAGGCATACAGCCTCGCGAGTCTGGAGTGCGATCACTACCCCGCCTTCCTGCACAATCTTTCCTTCTCAATAACACACCGTTGTTACCTCATATCCATCGACGCTGGAGCTCATCACTTAGTCAATCCGGCCTCCGTTTGACTCACATTGGTTCTGATGGTCGGCCATGCATGGTTGATGTCGGTAGTAAGGACGCAACGAAGCGTAGTGCTACTGCCAGCGGTCGCATATACATTCCAAGATCTGCATATGACCTTGTCACAGGATCAGGTGGTGTCGACTCCACGGACGAGACCATCCAGAAGGCTCGCAGCAAAGGGGACGTGATGACAGTCGCCCAACTGGCAGCGACCATGGGGTGCAAGCGAACCTCCGACCTTATTCCTCTATGCCATCCTATCCAGATATCTAACGTATCCGTCACATTGACACCTGAGCGTGATGTGCGTCCAGTTTCCCAGCCTGGTGATGAAGGCGCCCTCGAGTATAGCATAAAGTGTACTGCTACCGTGACATGCGAAGGCAAAACCGGAGTGGAAATGGAAGCACTGACTGCGGTATCGGTCGGTCTCCTTACGGTTTGGGATATGCTGAAGGCCGTGGCGGGTAAAGAAATGAAGATTGGGGAAATCATAGTCGCACATAAAACAGGTGGTAAAAGTGGTGATTTTACTCGAGATCCGTAATCATTAGTTTCATCACCAGCTGCAGTGTACATGTAGTCCTCAACATATATCTTTGATTGCATCCTATTTTTTGGCAACTGTTAATCTTATGGTTCTTGTGCACCAGGATGCAAACTCCAGGCCCGCGCTGCTCCTCATGTAGTCTGATTACTATAATCTCCCGGCTGTGGAAGCACTCTGCCTCTCCATCTTCCCCGCTCCATCTCCTAGCGTCATGCCATCCATCACGCAGTATGAATGTTTGCTACGACTTGGCCAGCGCCATCCGCACCTCACAAAATATAAACTTCAAATATAGCAGCCCTCTCCGTGTTCGATTATTCTCTTTCGTGTACTTTCTTGCTCGCCATCAATTCAACGTTTGTCATGAAACTCGTCTTCAAGGAGTCAACAGTAGGATCACATGGACCAGCTTCGCATTTGGCCATGTTCTTGAACCTAGTACTGTTCAGTGTAGGGCAAGAAATGAAGTAATACAAACGTGAGGTAAATAACTTGGGCTGTTGAGTGTTGTCAGTCGTCGTCGTCGTCGTTGCCTACCCACTTCTACCGCGTGCACAGGCTGCCGGACATCGAGCTCCCAAAGTCGCTCCCATAACCAGTCTTCAATAGCTCCTGCACGTGCGATCGTATGAGGTATAGTAAGCGATTTGTGAGGTCGTGAGTATCATGTCGACTTCGCTGTGCATATGATGGGATACCTACATCGGGCTACCGACGAAACTCGAGAGAGATGTCCAATATTCATTGGGACATTGTAGATACTACAATAACCCATTTAGTAGCAAAACTCAACGAGGGCTCATCATGATGGTGAGGTTCTGTGCTAATGACTCAAGGATCGATCTCATTCAGTATACTCACCCTGACCTCGGTGATATTGCATGGCAGAAGGAAATGCACTCCAAAGACACATGGAGGTGCACGAGCAACCTCCACGGGGATACACTGGGCCGAGGGGTCGTCAATGCCAGTTGTGATCAAATGTAGCATATCAGGGAGATTTTGTGCATGTTGCGTATGAGTATGAGTTTAGCAAGGAGGAGGGTTTATTCAAAAGTTTGACCTTTAGTTGTTTCTATTACACAACGCCTCAACATGGAATCCAAAAGGCCAATCGTTGCTACTCGAAAGTGTCAAGCCTAACCACTCTATCCTTTGATGAAAGCCGCAAGAAGTGTGTTGATATCGGAGTCGAGTCGACCCGCTACCTTGGACTGTCGATAAGGTTGTCAGAAATTGCTATGCAGTAGTGAGATTGGATTGGGCTAATACTAACATCTTCAACCTTAATAACCGTGGGGACTGAGGTGACTTGCCAAGGCTCCCCTCTGAAAATATTGGAGGGTGTTTTCCATCTGAGCATCATCGTAGAATTGAGTGCCAGTCCACAGATGACACGATGTGCCTGCCTACTCGGGCTTTTGGCCAACGTAGACGATCACCGCAGATGGCCCATCTTCAGGACCAAAGGTATCTTGGATGGTCCGATCTACTGTTACACAATCCTGGCAGCTCAACCAGTCAGTATTTTGTGTTGTCGCTGTACGTGAGACTCGCACTCACAGGACACCATAGCTGCCCGTTCACGCGCGAGGAGTAGAAAATCAAGAATTGTTCTTTTGCGTCTTCAAGATCTTTAGGATCGGAAGGAAATTCGACTTCACGGAGCGGCATTTGTCAAAGGACCAAGGTGGTGGTGCAACTGTGGCTAACATCCCAGAACGTCTATCTACGCATAACAAGCTTATGTAAATAATCCAATCGTATTACGGTATACTGCAATAGTTTGGCAGGAGCAATTGAGTCTATGTAGTAGCAAGTGCATGTGTCGGTAGCAACATCTAAGCGAGCCAGAACGGGGAACTGTCTTCCTGCACTGTTCCATCTAAATAAAGTTCAATAGATGAGGATTAAATAGTGCATCATGCTGATTTCGACGGCGAGGCTGTTGGTGGTGCTTGCTTCACGAGGGGATGAGAGAAATTGGCCGCACGTCTCCCAAAGTCTCCATGAACGTCTAGTAATATTTTGAGGGCGTTCCTCGCACGAATTTGAGACATTTCATCCCGCTTTGGTGTTGTCAGAGCAGTCTTGACCTCGGGTTTGTTGTCTTGCCACGGGTACTGTTGAAAATGATCAGGTATCAAATCCATGAATCAAACGGGCGGACTGACAGGAAGGAGCTGCAAAGATGATTATATGTTAGTATGTTCGGGGGGTAGAGTAACGATCGTGTACCTTTTGCAAGTATTCATATGCAAGCAGGGTGAAGCCAAACTGTGGGCTACTTCTGAGGACACGCGCCGGTCCTCCTTTAAATAATGCCTTGAAACCTTCTTCCTTATCTAGAGGAAATACCAGTCACGCATCTCAATTTCGCTAGATGACATCGGCACTTACTGATTTTGACAAATGCATCTGTAAGACCTTTGTAGTGGGTCTGACCTTGTCGCGCTTCCACCTGCAAGCGAGTCTTCACCACATCTGTGAGAAGTATCCCATGGGTATCGTTACGGGTACCAATCAAAAGGAGTACGAACCAGCAGGAGTTGTTAGGTAGGCTGCCGGCATGCCACTGGTGAACATCAGCACATGTCACAAGTTTTTTAACGCAAGAAACCTTACGCAATGCCCGCCGCACCCAACGTTTCCAGGAATGACAATTGCTTTCCGTTATAGCCTTCATGGAAAACATCCTTTTTGAGGTGGGAATATGCCGTGAAATAGATGGCCGAGAACGGGATGTCGCGAAGCAAGCAGGCACTGGCCCCTTTATACAAACCAAGCACACCCAATTGGCGTACGATGTGGGCAGCACCATGTTTAACTGCTCCTTCTAGCTTCGCAGCTTCACCCTGTATTTGAAGACGAATCTTACTAAAAACTCGAGTAAGGACTAGTTATGACAGGGTATTTAAACTTACACAATTTCCAGGGGATTGGTAAAGATCTGCCATCGTTGTGGGCAACATGAATACAGTCTTAAAAAGAGAAGACGTACCACTTGACAACCACCAGCCATTCCACCAGCTATCAGCTCCCAACCAAGCTTGATGCGTCCTGTCTCTGGATCCATGGCTCGACCACGGACAAGGTCATTGACGGTAAGCTTGATAGCTTTCTCCGGAGCAACACCCTAGTGGAACTTGAGGCGAGGCGAGATATATAAGTACAACGATGACGCACGATCAACTGTGGACCAAGGCCACGGTAGAAACCCATGAGACCTTCGTTGCGGAATATTTTCTGAGCACAGTCGATGCTATTCTTGTACAGCATCTGACCGACCACTGTACTCCGCTGATTTTGCATCCTTAAAGTTGTTCAGTAAAAAAATTCACGAAAACACAGTCAAAAGCGCACCGAGTCTGCCAACCAATGGGACTTGTTGTGAACTAAAAGAATAACTGATGAAATTGCACAGCATACCTTTACTATCAAGATAAGCAAATTAGATAGATCCCCACCACAGCATAATTCATAATCACTTACCCATATCAATAGGGTACACAATAGTGGCACCGAGAGCCCCCGCAATTCCTATATTTATGTTAGAGTTGCGTCGTGATAGTGTTGTGCAATAGATAACGTGCCTCCTTGAACAAAGCCGTAGGCAGACTTCAGTACTCCTTGAAGCAATGATGTCTTCGGCCTGACTTCATTGGCTTCGAGAACATCATGAGGGGCTCTCCACTGCGGATCCAGGAGTTGAGCAAAGTCCAACAGAGCAAGCCTCTTCTCACGGCTACCTCGACCCGCAAAATGGAAAATGATAGACGCTTCCATGGGCGTGAAAAGAGCGTAGCGCGAGATCGCAGCGGAGTGATTCAGGAAGTCAGACTGATCAATGCGTCCATCCTTTGACTTAGCAGTGGCCTCGCGTAAAATACTGGTAACGTATTAGCTAATGACAGCTATATCAAGTGAGTGGAATTACCGCTCCACCATGTCCATCTCTGCGATACAAAAGTTGGGGTCGCTTCCAGGTCGCAGAACAATGAAGCTCACCTCGGATAACATTTTGGAATGCGACGACCTCAGAATAAGATATTCGCCCACTAGGAGTAAGTGTGCATAGCGTAGGTAGACGTTCAATGACTGCATCAGATAGTTTATGCCCAGCGATCTCCTGTTATGAGGGAAGTATATAAAGGGTAAATCGTGAGGAATAAGTTGTTTACAAACCAAAATAATTTGTTTGAACTCCTCAGGTCTAATAAATCCATCTTGATCCTTGTCGAGATATTTAAACGCCTGTCGAAGACGTTCTCCCTGAAGGCCCTTCATCAGCTGAGTAAATTCATTGTCTACCAAAAGAAGTCAATAGGTGTGAAATTAGAGCAATATCCGCACTGACATCCAAGAACGTGTGTGCCGTTTTTTCGCCCAAGATATAACTTAACCCAATCACTGTGACCACGGTAAACACAAATCATTTGGAATTCCAACAGTACGCACCAGTCAAAGTCAAAAGGAATGGCAGATGGCCCAACGTTGGCCAAGAACACATTTTTGAACTCATCAAAAGTTATGGTACCCGAACTGTCCCTAAAATGTGACCACACTGTCTTAGCGCTGCTATATATAATGGGATGGAAAGGAAAGACTCACACATCGAAATACTGAAAGGCTATCCAATAATCTGCGTCGGGACGTTTGAGAAGTGTCTCAAACACTGTGAAATCGTCCCAAGAAACCAACCCCCGCTTCGAGGAGTCGGCTACACGAAAAAGAATCGCAAATTGCGCACGACCTATTTTTGTCGAATCGCTTTTCGGAGCGATAGCATTGACAAAGCTGTCAGGGTCAAGATACCTGTCGTCCGAACAGTCAGCAAGAGGTCGAATTTCTTGAGAATGAATCATGGCATACTTCTCCCCATCGATCACGACCTTTGCATTGGCTTCAAATATCCTTCTCCATCGCTTCATCTCGTTCTCGGGTGCTGCAACCACACTTCGAACACTTTTCAAGGCGGAGCCAGTCAAAGAGGAGGATGCCGCATCGGCGTCGCAATGAACTGTGGAGATAGCGCGCGTCATTGTTCTAGTGTCGCGACTCCGAGGTGAATTAGTGTCTAGGAGGTATCAGGTATGTCTATATGGCAAGAGAGAGCAAGCAAGCAAGTCTAGGGGGGTAGGATACTTATGCAGCACTAACTGGTAGCCCGCAGCGATGTAGTTACTAGCACAAGAGCGAAGGACCAAATTTTACTCCAACAGAGCAATGCAGTACTATTGCGGGGATAAATAACTTGGGCGATTACATAATAACTGCCGAGCCTCACATGCTACTTATGCCAAACACAACGGGATTCACTTGATTCCGAATTTCCTATAGGCTCACCGCTTTAGGCCATCAATCAAGAAGCAATGTCGGCGCCCTTATTATTACTGCGCAAAGGCCACGTCACGAGGCAATCTAAAACTGATACAGTACATGTCTTTATTTGGAGCAACAGACCGAACCATATGCAATGTCACCTCAGTCTCCAGCTTATGTCCGAGTTTATTTTCAACCCTCTAATAATCACAGTTAGCATAGCATTTGCACTGAGTTACAAACATCACCTGTATAATGTCCGCTTCAGCCCTGTCTGGATGGAGTTCGCGTGTGAAGCAATGACAATGAATCATAGGCATGTTGGCGTAATTGCCGAAGTCCCATTCGCTTTCTGATAGAATTCCACGGAAGGCATCGAGGAAGTCGATCGCTGAGTCCGGGAGATTCATCACAAAATGTGAAATAGTGTGACGAGGAGACTGATTCTCCACGGTTGACAGATCAACCAGTCCAAGTGCTGCTATTGGACGAGATTCTGCTAGTTGCAACTTGCGTCTCTCCTTTTCTTGCATCTTGCTAAGTTTCGGCCCGGTGTATGCGGGGAAAGGATGATCCCTCGCACGGCCGATAACCTTTTTAATGAAATCACGACCATCCTCGCAGCTAGCGCGGACCAAACTTGTGACCTACCAAACAACGTCAGAACGAAGCACATATCAAATGAAAGAAATACATCACTTTATTGTCAACGATATTCTGGCTCAAGTACCTCGCACTCTCAGGGTTTAGATCGTTAGCAAGTACCGCACACCCTTTCTTGGCAGCAGGGATTGCAAAAGGACCCACGCCAGCAAATACATCTGCAATGACGTCGGTTGGTTGGAAGAGTTGGACAAGCCGATCATGCTCTGTATGAAGCCGTGAATTCCAATAAACATGGGTGAAGTCAAAAGTGAATCGGCAATTAGATTCGTGCTAGGGTTTTTCTTAGCTGATCGTTCCATAGAAAGATTTGACTTACGTGCTCAACGACATAATTAGGTTCTCCAGCGAGCAGTTCCATCTTGAAGAATCGGTACTTTGTATCAATACTGTCTAATTTATTGACGACTGTTTTAATCATAGGATTTTTCTGTGGTGAATGACATCAGCGGAAGTTCAGAATTCGAGGAATCAAGACTTTCATCCAGAACGATCTGACCAATGATATGTTTATAGGGTAAATATTCTTTATTGAGGTTCATGTGAGCTGAAGGGTCTATCAGTGGCGATCAAACGCGAATGCAATCACGCTCACCGAGATGGCCAGTAATTGCGAATCCTGATGGGGAACCCTTGCAAAGCTCCTCGGGCAATATGGAATGTAAGATTTCATCTAGACATAGATAAATATCATCGACATGAGGAACCACGCAGCTCGTACCAGCCGTCCAGTAGTCGTAAGTCAACTCTAGGTTGTGCACCACCAGCGTAGCAGACTGTTCCTGCAAGAAGTTGCAAACCTCCGGCGAGAGGGCAGCTGGCTTACGGATGGGGCATCAGAAAAGCGTGTGTTATTCGATCAAAAAATGTTACACGGTACCATCCTCAGATACATTCAGCAATACTAGCCTCCCGAGGTCATCGTGGGGGTCCCGAAGAACGCTGCGTACTTTTGGCAAATTCATGAGGGATCTTCGAAGTATATTAGATATGATATCTGGACAGCCAAAGTCACATACTTCTTCATGATATCAGACTTCAGCAGAGACCCGGTTTTAGAAGCAGAAACCTTGGCAGCAAGGATAGGGATAGTCTTTTTAAAAGCATCCCTTTGAAGAGCGGTGTCCATCCAACGATGTACCGGAGGTGATACATCGAGTGTCGGTGTGCACGCCATGAATTTAGAGAAGAAAGATAATCCAGGGTGTTTCCTCAAAGTTGTACTTAGACATGATTGAAGTCCAAGCATGGAAGTTGTTTGTGCATGTCGATCACCCCGCCAGATCACACCGAACTAATACGCTCGAGCCTGTGAACCGAGCGCTGAGCGCTGACTCCTGAGCTATCGACATGTGTTACGAGCACGAAATTTCTGATACTATTTCTCATCGGGACACCCTTCCTCCTCCATCAGTCCTGCGACATGTCGTCGATGTACATTGTCATCCCACCGACTCAGAGATTCCAGTAAAGTCAATGGACAACTTGCCAATCATCATCGGTGCCATGTCCACTTTTCAGGCGGACCAAGGATTAGTGCGAGACTTGGCTACTGCATTCCCAGACAAAGTTGTGCCTTCCTTTGGTTAGCTTTGAATCGGTCAATTAACACCGATACCGAAGAACCGCTGATGTTGATGCTAGGTTACCATCCGTGGTTCACGCATTGGATCGCATTGGTACCGTATGAATCAAAGGAAAATCATTATAGGCGCATATTCAAGGATGCAGACGAACACCTGGAGGCCTTTCAAAAGTTGCTGGTTCATCTACCTGAACCAGTGACCCTACGAACCGTTCTGGAAGACGTTCGTCAGAGTTTGATAGCTTTTCCAAGCGCAATGATCGGAGAAGTTGGTATTGACAGAGCTTTTCGGGTGCCTTACGACTACTTCTCGTCGCCTGGAGAATTGACGCCTTTCACCGTACCCTTTGAACATCAATTAGCTATCCTTGAAGCACAGCTTGATCTAGCAGCAGAGCTAGGTCGAAACATCAGCATGCACAGCGTTAGATCGCAAATGGCTACTGTGGAACTCTTAGACCGCATGGCTGATAAGCATGGCGAGCACTGGATGAAAATAAGCATTGATATTCACAGCTGCGGCTTTAGCCCGCAAACGTGGCTGTCCATCGAGGTATGCACCCTGTGACCTGACCTGGCCATTCCATCTGCCTGCGTTGAGCTAAACGGGCTTTTGCAGAAGCGTCATCCAAATGTATTTTTGTCTCTCTCGACGGCTATCAATAGTGGGTCTCCAAATCACCGAGCACTGATTGCTGCATGTTCTTCACGTCGTATCCTCGTTGAATCGGATTGCCACAAGATCGAAGACTGTACGCAACGCACTTGGGACATGGTGCTTATAGTTGCTGAAGTGAAAGGATGGCCAGTTGAGTCATCCTGGGAAGAGGTCGTAGATGAAAGCCAACAGGGAGTTGTCCGACATTTGGAAAACAATTGGAAGGAATTCGTGCAAGGAAATCATGTCGGGCTTAGCAAAATCATCAAACCAACGACCAGGGAGCGTCAATAGAAAGCTTTTACCGGGTACAATCATAGTGTTGTCCATGGTAACCTGCTCAGACTGGACAACAGTTGACTGGTATGTAAGTTCGTTGTACTGACTGCCAATGTATGAAATGGAGAATTTTATTGAATGGTCCATGAATAATGAAAATGGTATCACCGCGATATGTAGCTTATAAGCAGGAGTAAGCACCCTCCAATAAGAATGCCAAGGATAATAGAGTCTCTTCGCCGCCGGCTCTTAATCATGGAAAGGAGATTGTTGATGCCAGGTATCGTACCTGTGCTGATTGTCAGCATGTGTCATTCTGACTGTGCGTAGAATACTGACTTATGACACCAGTCATGCGTGTGTTTATACTAGCCAAAGACATGCTTTGACGCGAGAATTCTGCTCGAGTTTCATATGCTTGGCTACGGCACAACGTTCAGAGAAGAATAACGAGTGTGGATGAAGCTTACTCAAGAATCTGGTCTGTCATCGAATGGGAACTGTCGATTCTCCCTCTTTCCGCCAGGAGTGAGTCTGCTGCGGAAGATTTATATGCCCTGTCGCAAGAGAGGATCATCGATGGGAATTCTGCAAATGAAGCAGAACTTACTCAATGTCATTTCGAACGCCCGAAAGTAAGTTTACTTTGTCAAGTGCATGTTGCACATTTGTCTATGAAATGTTATGAGAGCAGGATCCACATAACATTAGAACGGGACAAACCTTTGTCCTGCGAAGCTCCTTGGCATAGTCCTGATAGACTTCACCATGTCTCTGAATTGCGCGGGACATGGATTGTGAGGGCGGAGTGTCCGGGTTGTTTGAGAGTGCGAGTAATTCATCATTAGTTTCTCGTAGCTAAACATATGTTCTTGTAAGCTACTTGTATGCGTGCTGGGGTGCTCGTATGTCCCACCTTCTCCAGGAGGTCTTCGACTTCGCCTTCGACATCTTTCCAGCGTTCGCGCGAGCCTCCTGCCTCGATGTCATCCTGGTTTCTTGTTATTGTTGATGCTAGGCGGGAGTACGACGTAAGCTTTGTGTCAAATAAAGACTCCAGAGTGCGGCACTGCCTGTGCAAAGACTCGTAATCTGCCATGCCTGATAGTATCGTATTGGTGGTAAGTATCGTTGCAGGCAGCCTTCTCCGGCAGTAACACGTCACCGTCACAGCAATATTTCTTTTGTCACAATGTCTGTCACGGTGTCTAGTACAGTTTCAAACCCAAAAAACAACGGTTGGGTCACGAACGGTCATCTACCTCTCAGGATCATATGAATCCCTGGGGGATCCGACGATCAAGGAGCGTAGCAAGAAGTCATCTGCATCTCATCTCCGGCAAATAGTGAGTCGTATAAGTACGTCGTACTACTGTGGGATATGTGATTTGCATGATTGCCGCCGCCGCCGCCGCGTAGTCTCCGGCAATGATTTTGAAGTTACATTTGTTCGCGTAAGCCGGCTTGAACATTGCGTCACGGTCTCTTATCATGATCATTGCGTGTGCACTATAACCCGCCCTTAATTATGGTCACCTTGAGGGTCTAGCCGGCTGACTGCGTCAGCCCACAGCCGCTAGTGACAGCGTGTTGCTCTGCTTGCGCAAGCGCTCATGATGACTTGAAGGGGTACTTAAACCCACGTATTACACCAGCAGAAGGTAAGTCATCCAAGACAAACTTTCAACCACTTTCAATCATGAAGCTCGTCTTAACAGGTGTCACTGGTGCTGGTATGTTACCATACCTATTCAGATGTGAAGTCCCGAACTCAACACATCCTTACTTATCTGTCAGCTGGTATCCAGATCTTTCGTCAAGCAGTATTGGATGCAGCTATCACGAAGATCACGGTACTCTCTCGTAGAGCGCTCCCATCATGGATGGATATACCCGAAAACGACAAGACAGAAGTCATAGTTCTGAAAGACTTCTTGGATTACCCTAGTGATCTCCCTGCTCGTCTGGCAGGGCATGACGCCTGCATTTGGGCACTGGGAAAGAGTTCAGTAGGCCTGTCAGACGAAGAATATACGCGCATCACATACGACTACACCATGCACTTCGTAGACTCCCTGCAAGAAGCAGGGACGAAGGACGAAACGGGAGAGCCCTTCAGATTTGTTTTTGTTTCAGGAGAGGGCGCAGATCCATCTGGCAAGAGTAATGTCAAGTTTGCGAGAATCAAGGTATGTGCCTGTTGCTTGATACGTCAGTACTCGCAAGCATTGGAATGCTCACGCTGCATCTAGGGCATGACTGAAAAAGCTCTCTTTGATCTCTCTCCGTCCTCCAACATCAATGCATCTGTCATGCGGCCTGGTTACTTCTTCCCTTCCAAAGCGTCAGACCGAGAGAACATTCGTTCACAAACGGCAAGGTCTATGGATTGTCTCATGACGCCCATCATGAAGACCATCCTACCCTCCATGTATACACCGATTGAGGACCTCGGGCTTTTCGCTGTGGAGGCAGCTAAGGGCCGATGGTCAGATGAGAAGTTATTTCCAAACTCAAGAATGAGGGAGTTGATCAAGGCATCGCGCACTCTGGAAAACCAGCAGTGAACAACACTGGGAATCAGAAGACTGCATGTCATATCCTACATCATATATTATTACATAGCTGGAGTTTCCTATAGTACACGGATATACATAATGGTATACATCGAGAACTTCGAATTTCGGGTGTCGTTGGCTGACGTGTATCTTGTTGGTCAACTCAGAAGCCGAACCAACGTCTAGCGGTTTGCTCAGTCGCAAGTCTCTTAGCCTAATCGAGGTTAGCACCGCGCACAAATATGATAACTAGTAACCGAATATTCACCTGTGTCACCATATCTTTGCTCCCTTGTTGTAGGGAATCAATCCGTTGCTCAATGTTTCCCAGCATCTCCCTTTGGTTCTCATTTAGCACTGACATCGGAGAAGTGGTCGGACGATCATGTACGCACCCCCTTTCAGCAAGAGCATCGTTTAGACGGTTGTAGACGCCATCGCGAGCATTCTCCATCGTCTTCATGACACCGGGTCCATAAGCGGCGGTCGTGCCCTGTGATGTTGGCATATGATCCGGCGGCGGTATAGGCCTGTCGGGGCCCGCAACTATATCGACGCTCCAGATCAACAATTAAAGGTGTTCGAGTAACTCAACATACGTAAGGCGTCGAGCTGTTCTCCAGTCATAATGGGTTTCCCATACCGGAACCATGAGCCCAGTAACGAAGGGGGACCAACGGACACTGGCTGTGGGTAAGGGGGAATTTCGCGGTGAAAACTTGTTAGATCAACGATTGGGTGATCATAAACACGATGAGTCTTGAAAAGTGTACCAAATACAATTTGTTCAAGTACACCCGAATCGTGGCGCATCAAGGCAATGAAATCTCCCGTTTCGTCCACAGACACGACACTGGCGAATAAAAAATCAAGAGCATAGCTAACGGAATTTGGAGTACGTACTTTTCACATACTTTTGCAAGAGAGAATGTATGCAAGTGTTCAAGATAAGGTAAAGAGTAAACCATAGCTTCTGGTTTGTCATTAAATGCTACTAGCACGTGAGAATCTGGGTTTGTTGTCAGCAATAGTTTGATTGTTAGGCTCTGAGTCAATGAGCTCACTGTTCTTCTCAATCACTTGAACGTGTCCAACTTTGTTTTTCTTGCTATTCCACTCTACTTTGGAAATCTTCTCCCCTGAGATATCAAGCATACAACGAGCACCCTTGGCACTTGCGGTCACCCAGAAGCAACGTGCAGGATTGCTATCTCCAGTTTGGAGAGCAGCGGCAAAACGTGATCGATCGGCACGCCAAGTAGTACCTTTCTGCGAATCGATCACGAATGAACCACCTTGCATGACATTTGGGAGGCCCTCGATCCTGGTAACATCATGTGCAAAATCATACATCGAAGACTCGGGATCCCGGATGATCTTGAAGACCTGCGTGTTGCCAGACTCATGTATGGCGATCAGCCGCACAGCTAGCTGTGCATCTAGTCATGGGATCAGATAGAGTTTTATCACATACATCAGCGCATACCCATGCTGACAGCAGAAACGGTCCACGTCAGGGAGACAACAGGGTCTCCATCTTGATTGCGGACCAGAAGCTTAGACTGCCTTTTCTGACGCTGGGGTTTGAGGAGAGATGGTCTACGCAGATCGATCACTGCGACAGAGCCATCGATATAACCAACACCAATGAAACCTATCTTGCGTTAAGCAACTCATGTTACACTGGGCCCCAAGGAGAGCATACCTATGTCCGATAATGCACAACATGTCAAGGAAACATTACCACGAGGCAACATCAAGAAGGGATGGTACCTCGTCCCTGGTCGTAAAGCAACATTACGCAGCAGGACAAACTCTGTATTTCCTTCTATTTCGATGGGAGGGTCGACTTGCGTTGTGTTCAATCGATATACCAGGAGGTCGCCTGATTTCAGTAGCACGATACACTCCAAGGATTCGGGGGCTACTTGAACAGTGGCGACTTCTGGGGCACTGGAAAGTGGTAGACAACTGAGATCTATAGTGAGATCATGAATCGCGAAAGGGTAATGCTTCTGAAGAGGAGATGTGCTGGAGCTGATGAGAAGTTGAGGGCTGGCATCGTAGAACCGGACAGTTGAGTCGCGATGACAGGTGATAAGGATTCGGCGCGGATGGCTCTGAAGCGCAGTATTAATGACCAATAATTTTGGGCAATCAATTGATCAGTACCCTGGAGAGCCTTAGCTCACTGAGTCTTTTATCGTCTATCCATGCAGACCCCCCAACGACAGGTAAATCCGCATCACCAAGCACGGCCTGTTGTCCCACAAGTACGTCATGCACACCTCGTTGCAGAGTCAAGAGCTGTGCATAAGATACCCCGCCAAGCCCGCTGTACAATTTTGGAGGAACGTGCATTGGCGGAGGTTCTACTCCGCTAAGTGTCATATCCTCAAGCGTCGTGGGAAGGTCATGTATAACATCGCCGTGTTCACTGCTATTCTGGGCGTCTGCTTCCGGCAGCGGAAACATCATTTTCGGAGGCAGGAACTGTCGAGCCTCAACCATCCGTGAATCAGGGGAGGCCGCAGTGAGAAAAAGCAGGGCAACAGGATCCCAGCAACCAGAAAAATGTGGATTAGCCTTTGGAAAGATGACGAAGTCATAAACAGGCCCTGATGATGGATAATAGGTTGTTTCTAACGGAATTACCGAAAGTCGCATTGCATTTCGGATAGAAGCGTGGAGCCCAGTTTTGGAACCAGATGGAGCAGGAGGTTCCGGAGAGTCAAGAGCGGGCATTGTGTATACAGTTAAACGGCAAGGGTCGTCAATTCTGTCGCCTCCCAAAAAGACGAGAGCAGTTGCTCCTCCTCGGGGATCTGAGGAGTTCGGGAAACCACACCAAGCGACCCTATAGATCGGCTGACGTTCTGGCAAATTAGTCCCCTTTTCTTCTGAAGGATCCCCATTTTGCAGAAACTTTTCAAGCTCATCTCCATTTATGACATTAACATCCAATTCTGTGGATGTTCGCACCATCAGAGGCTGATCTTCGTCTTCTACCGCCCAAAAGGCGACACAACCATCTGCGTAACCCACTGCAAAGAAATGCCCAGCTGGGTGAATAGCTACAGAAGTAACGGAAGGCCGCCGGTGCGTGAGTACTTCCTTGGAGATTATAAGTCCATGATAGATTGTGGTTGGAAAGCTCCGACTCACGGATTGGTGATATCCTCCCCCTCCTGGTGCACCAGCAGGGATTACAAGTTCGTACGCCCGTAGAATGTTGCGTGAAGACTGAAAAGGGAATGAAAAGTTACTAGACACGACAGTGACAATGAGTTCAGATACACACCAGGTCGTACAGTACAACCCCCCCTAGAGACTGTTTCAGGCACTTGTATCTGACCATAGAAATGACTGACCACCGAAGGCTACAAATATCAAGTTGAGATCTCGCGGATGTGTGACTAAATCGACAGGTATGGTGCTGAGGTCCAATGTAAGCACGCTTCGACCGCAACATGCCAGAGTTGTTTGACGGACCAACCAGACAATGCATGCAAGGGATCTGCCACGCTGCTCGCGATCTTAGTCTGAAACATATTCCACAAGTTCGGGATAACATAGGGTGACTTCTTCAAACACAGAAGATCATATGTTCTGATTTCTCCCGATTGCAGGGCAAGAAAGACCTGGAAAGAGCAATGTTAGAAATGTTCAAGAAACTCTTGAGTTTCAATGCCCACATGGGTATGTGAAGGTGACAACATAACAGCACTTGTGTTCAGACACTGCGGGTCAGCAAACGTCGTCATTACAGCAATCAGTTACTTGCGCACTTGATAGCATGGTCAAATCTCGTTGACTTTGGTGGTTCAGTCAAATCTTTTAAGTTCCAGATATGGAGTCGATCGCGCCCATCTAGGGGTATGAAGCTTGAGGAATTAAGAGAGGTTGAGGTATTGGCGGTCGGCTTACCGACGGAGAGAAGTTTGTCCGTGGAGGCGGCAAGCTGCAAGATCTTGACCGGAGAACCTTCTGGCGTCTGCACTGAACTCTCTACGCCAGGACCGCCCACCACAAAAATCAGGCCACCTGCCGTGCCTGGAAACAAAAAGAAAGCAGCGCCTGAGTCACCGTTCAAAGATGACTCGAGTCGAAAGATCTCACCAACAGCTAAAAGGCTCAATGTAGGTTCGTAAGTCAGCACTCTTATGTCCAAGAGATAGTCAACAGTTCGCAGCTTGCCGATCTCCCAGTCATCAGGATCTCTTTGACCAGTCGAGAGATCTGCAAGAACGTGTCTCTCTCTGAACATGACTCCGGCGTGTCTTCCTCGGCGTCGGGACACTCAGTTAGCCTTCAAGTTGTCCTATGATCATGAATATCACAATCAACCTGCTCCAATATTAGCCAGCGGCAGGTCAACCAGGTGGTGCAGTGCAGCAGTGATGACCAGAGACAAAGTATTAGATGGTGACTGCCGTGATGCTTGCCGGTAAAGTTTGAAGTGCACTGACACTTACTACTTCGAGTTTCCAGCGCACAGGCCCGTAATCTGAAGGATCAAATAATTTTACATGATAGCACTTGGCTAGAGTGCTTGCGACCATGTTTCGATGGAGTGTATGAGTACTGACTGACTAGAAATACACAAGTAGGTAAAGGTAGATGCTACAACACTAAGGAACGGAGTCCATCATGACGATCTCGGAATATCTGGCATCTTCTCAAACACATTCCCTCGCGAGGATACAACTCTGCCACCTGGATTATTGGATTGCGGCACTCCGCCTCTGATCTTCCCCAACCAGGTCCGTTTAGACGAAGTTCTAGAGGTTTGAGGGTCAGATGTGGACCGAGGACTGTTCGTCACGTCTGAGATAGTAGTTGTGACTCGTCTTCCTGGTGAAGGCAGACTGGTTATGCTTCTGGCAGAGCGTATTGGCGTAAATCCGGATCGGCTTGAGTGCAATGTTCTCCGGAGACGTGGCGTAGTGGCCGCCTGCATGTCCGAGTCACTCGTATAACGGCCCTCGGGTGGAACAGTTTCCCTGTCATCATGTTCTGGTGCGCGTCTCTTCTTACCCGCAGATGTCGGTACTTCCTCTTCAGGGATTCTAGTTTGCGTCATACCTGACTGCATAGGTTTCCTCTCTGGTGTTTGTGATTGGGATGCTGCTGGGGTATTTGACATGGCTCGATCTCGTCCCAGTATTGGCTTAGTATCTGTGAATACAGGCACCCGAGGCACAGGAGGGACAATGGACAGTGGCTGCGCTGTTTGCACAGACGGTGCAGCGAGGTTGGCCGGTGAGGTTTGCGCAGATTCCTTGGCAGAAGCAAGTTTGCTTTGGAGGTTTTGTACCTTGCGTGTCAGAGATTCCACTTTCGTAGACAATTTCTTGTTCGCCTTTAAAGCTCTGTCATAATGTTAGTTTATGTGAGGGAACTGCAAGCGAATTCACTTGCTCCAATATCCGATCGTCATAGTCTTCAATTTCAGCACACTTGCTTTGCAATAGCTGATCCATTTCGCGAGTTCTCTCTTCCAATTCAGCGACGACGTCATGAAGTTTCGGTTCCGAACGGACCGCGTCCAACTCCCACTGGAGGGATGATATTGCCTTCTCGTGTTGTGTTGTTTGGAGTGCAAGGCTAAGTTCGGCCGCTTTGCCCGCCTTTTCAGACTGAGCGAGTCGAAGCTGTATCTGTTCGAGGGTCTCCTTGAGGGAGGAATTAGATATCTCACTGTTAATTGCTTGTCAACTTCGTGCCTGTGAAAATGACGAGCCTATTTACCTCTCCTGTACTTGTTGCTCCAGATATCTCGTTAACGACATCGAGCGCTGAATCTCTGCTTCCAAGTTGGTGGTCTCTACTTGCAGCGATTGTTTCTCTGCCAGCAGACTTGATAACTCAGCTTCAGCCTGCTCATTCGCCTGTCGAAGTTCTGTTTCAAGAGCATCAAATTTGGCTTGACAATCTGCATGAGAAGAGAGCTGGTCATTGAAAGCTGCTTGATCTTGCTTGCGACTGGCGATCTCATTCTGTAACTGTGTACGCAGCAAATCATGCTCCCGGGATCGTTCGTCAAGGCTCATACGGAAGTCTTGAAGATCTCTTTCATTGGCTTCGAGAACAGCAACTTTGTTCGCCCGATCGTCCTGCAATTCGCGAATCTGTTGCTCTGCTTGACGCAGAGCGTCAATGTGGGTTTGTCTTGCTAGTTTGAGTTCGCCAGTTGACTGTTCCACGAGACTTGCAAGATGCTGGCATTCCTCTTTGGCAGCAGCGAGTTCGTTCTGGGTGTTGGAAAGCGTCTTCTGTAGTACATCAAGTTCTTCAACATGTCTGGCACGTAGAGAGTCCTCCGTCACGGCTCTTCTCTGTGTGTCGTCCGTGAGAGCTGCGATCTGATTCTTCAATTCTTGATTACATTGCTGCACTTCTGCAAAGCGAAGGTCGGCACTTTGTAAAAGCTGCGTAACTTGTGAAAGCTCTTGGTCCGTGTGCTTGAGGCGCTCTTGTAAACCCCCGACCTCGACAGCATGGCGAGCATGCAGATCTTGTAGCTCGGCGTTACTCTCGCCAGCTTGCGACGCCTGAATGCGTTCCTGAAGGTCGTCCTGAGCTCTAGTCAAGGTTTTGCAGGTGATCTGATGGCGGGAGCGAAGTTCATCGAGTTCGTCGTGCAATGACTGCAGCTGTCCTTCATATTCTGAAATGCGACGAGTCGAAGCAGCGGCTGACTCATTGGATATCTCAGCGAGATTTTGCTCAAGAATGGCCAGCTTTGAATCGCGAACTTCTAAAGTGGCTGCTTTGTCTTCGAGTGCGCAGCGGAAAGATGAAAGTTGAGCTTGTAAAGCTGCAACCTCTTGACGAGACTTCTCCAAATTGCAGTCGCTGTTGCTCAATTCCTCGCGTACAGTCGCAAGCGAGACCACTAGCTGACCCATTTCGGCATGTTCTTCTGTCCGGAGAGCTTCAAGACGACTCAGTGATGCGACGCTCTCTGCCAAGTCTCGAATAAGCACTTCTTTCTCGCCAGCAAGCACTCCTATATCTTCAGAGAGCTTCGAGTTGTGGACCTCAAGGACAGCTATCTTGGATAACATCTGCGGTTCGTTGATGAGGTGCTGGTCGACCATGCTTTGGGCGCGGCGAGCATTCGACATCGCTTTGGCCACGATGGCTACCATAGAGGATAGCTCACCGTCATGGATCGCTTTGAGATTGTCGTTCTCCTCCTGCAACTTTTCCACCTCAAGCTCTGCTGCCTCGAGGTTGCTGACAGCTTGGTCGCGAGCATCTCTAGCTTCTGCACAGTCTTCAACCATTGCTTCCTTCTGTGCGGACATCATCTCTAGCTCCGACATCATCTCCGAGATCCGTTCCTCCTGGAGTTTGAGGTTGGTCTCCAGGCGGCGAATGTCATGTTGGTGAACGCCGATCTGCTCCGTGCGGCGGTTGACACGACCTTCAAGTTCCTGTATCTGTTCACGAAGCGCGTGAGCTACCCCAGTTGCTGACATGGTGGATAACTGTTGCGCTTGCAGAGCGCTATAGCGGCCATGAGCGTCCATTAATTCTTCCTGTGCAGCCTCCAAGTCTGTTTGGAGATTTGTGACTTGGAGGCTGAGTGAATTACGTTCGGATTCGATGTTCTGATACGCTCTTGTAAGGTCAACTAATTGTTCCTCTCCTTGCTGGAGTGCATCGCGGGTATCCTCGTGAGATGACTCTGCTGCCTGTACTTCGGTAGCTAGGGATCGAACTTTGGCTTCCAGCTCTGTGACCAGTAGGAGCAGGTGGTTACGCGACTCTTCCGATACGGTCAACTGCTGGCACGAGACCTCGAACTTGCTTTGAAGGTCTCGTAACATGGCATCTCGTTCTGCGACTAATTGGGAGTGGTGCAGGACTTGGTTTTTCTCAGCAGCATGCAAACGACTGCGTAGGTGATTCACAACGACGCCCAGGGCTGTGATGAAAAGGACAAGACGTTTGTTCCGCCGACTGTAGGCTGAGGCCCCATCCGCCTCCTGTGTGAGCTCGTGGATGCGCTTCTCCAATGTCTGGATTGTGATTCGAGCCTCGGTCGAGGAGAATTCGAGGGTGCGTCGCAGGTCATCTCGCTCGCTTCGTATTCTGTCTACAGCGGTGAGCAATGTTTCGATGTAATTGGCGAGCGTTGCTTCACCGGGGTGAGCAGAAACATTGGCCTTCGTCGGAGGCAATGGAGTAGAGCAATTTGGGTACAGGAAGCTGCTGTCGAAGTTGGATTGGATGTCGTCAACATCGATATCCATATGGTCCTGGTCAGTGGCCGTCGAACGCCGCGCTGATTCCTCATTGCTCCGAAGGTCCATAATCTCTTGTTTTAATCCACTAGTTCAATATCAGCAATCCATCGGGCTGGTGGCCAAGCATAGCATACCTCTCAATGACCGTCAGAGCTCTAATACGCTCCTTGCTGTCATGGAGAAGCTGATCCGTTCTGTCCAGCTCCTGGCGTATATTGGTACATGCGTCTTGTGCTTCCTTTTTCTCCTCCATCAGGTCTCGCAATATCTTCTCTGAGCTGGTAAGCTTCTCCGATTCAGCACGTAGCCTTCTTTGCAGCTTATCATACGCTGCCTGTGTGGGTCCACTCTGCTGCTCGCGTAGGAGACTTTCCAATGTCTTTATCTTCACTTCATCTTCGTCGATCCTCTTCACCAACTCTTCCTCCCTCTCCATTGCGTTCCCCGCGCCCTGACTTGATTTCAGCACCTCCAGCTCCTCATCCTTGTCCTCTATTACTGATACGAGCTCCGCGATACGGGCCTGCGTAGCCTTCTCCACTGAAAATTGCGTATTCTGTGTCTTGACAAGATCTTCCTGAGCTCGAGTGAGTTTCATTTCCATGTCGCGCAAGGTCTTCTCTTTATCCGCCAGGAGAATTTTCATATCATTGAGTTCTTGTTCCAATGCTGGTGATCTGAAACTGGACACAGAGGAAGACCGAGGCCTCCCACCTCGCTGCGGCAATCGTGAGTTAGCTGTTGGCTGGGGTTTTGTACTTTCCAACATCCTCTCTAGCTCACGCACGCGAGACTCCATATTTCGCTTCTCTGTCTCCAGTTTAAAAGTCTGAGCCCTGACTGACTCGGACTGGCAAGACATGGTGTCAAGCGTTGCCTCGAGCTCTCGTGCTGCTCGTTCTTCAGCTTTCAGTCTATCCTGAGCAGCAAGAAGTGCAGCTTCTCCATTCCTAGAAGCCATTTTCTCGATCTTGAGTTCGTCTGAGCGCCGCGCCAGATCGCTTTCAAGCCTGAGAGCACGATCGGCCTCGGTACTGAGCTGTTGAGCTAGGAAGTGAGTGGACTTGGATGATCAAGTAGACGGAAGTCAAAATGACCTTGTACAATGTTTCGTTGAACGATGTCTTTAACTCCTCTAGCTCGGCCTCTCTCTTCATTAGGCGGCTTCGTAGGCCTGCATTCTCAGTGTCTGAGCAGCAAGTTAGGAAAGGTTGTTAGATTACATGCTAAAAGCGTACCTTGACTTGCTAATTTATCTTTGAGAGCTTGCGCCTCTTCAGATACATCGTACTTTCCGATGTCCTTGAGGGACATGACTATTGTGGTCGAACACTACGAAAGTAATCCAGGTGGCAGGGCCACGGAAAGCACAGAAACCAAACACAGTTCAACAAACCGACGCGTCGTTTCACGTGATCGTGTTTTAGAAATGGCCCAGTTTCAAGTTCCACCATATGCATGATCTGTTGTCTCAGGCTGTTCTGACTGTGTGCATTTGTCCAACTTACTCTGTTGTGCCCCTCGGGGTTAGTGACATAACATTCCATGGTCTTGTGGTGCGCGAATTTGTGCCGTTCATACTTCGCAGATTTGCGTGAGTATGTCCATTTCCTATTTTCCCAGCACAACAAATGTTATTTTGACACTACAAGACCCACTACCAAGGTAGCAGAAATCTAGGTATCATGTTTCAAAGCAACTTGGGTCTTCACCAATTCCAGTACTTCTTCTGCCGCACCCCAAGACCTCTGGAAACCTGCCGGTCTTGTAAAGGTGTGTTATTAGGGAATCGCATTCAAACTTTCTAGAGAACGGCTTACCCAAAACCATAGGCATGTACAACGAGCATCGACTGTTCGCAGTCATGGTCACTGGCGGGACTCCCATTCCACGGAATAAGGTCATGCGTGCTCTGCAAGGGCATCGCGATCCGCTCTAGCTCGACTCGTGGTCCTCCTTCTCTTGTAGGTCTTAGGCCAACGTTATGTTTCAGGATTCTCGACTCGGCACTCTTCAAACAAGGAGCCAATGCGGCGCAGCGATCAAATATTCCTCTCGCAATCTGCATATCTAAAGAGGTGTCCCAATTCCTGGACTGGAATGTCCCACCGAGGATTGCGGTGTCAGATTGACCTTTTCCAGGACGGGGAATGATGTATGTAGCTTCCTCGGCTTTGGGATCACAGGGCTTGGATGAGGAGCTGATTACCACTGCTCATTCCGAATACGCACCTACTTGGGACTCGACTAACAAACATTCCTGCAGACCTGGTGCATGTACTAGGATCGTTTGTCCGCGAATGGGGTATAGCTTCGTGTCTTCCACTCCGATAATGGATCTGGAACCTTTGCGCTAATATTACGAGAGTGACTTCCGAAAGAAACCCCTTACCAAGCGCAGACGCATTCACCAGAATACCATCAGGCCCCACCAGGCTCCTCAACTCGTCCAAACTCCTCACATTTCTGCGTTCAAAGGTAACTCCGTAGGAGACCAGCTCGGATTGGAGCCACGGAAGATATTCGGCTGGATTGACTGAAACTGTGTCGAATGCGACTCCAGCTTTGAATGGCTCAGGGACATCAGAGGGGGAAAGTATCCTGATCTGCCCCCACAGTGTGGTTCAATCCCCGGTGTCCACAGTCATGAGATAAACTACATACATTCCGCACAAGGTCTTTCCACCACAAGTCTGAAATATCTCGCCCTCGCGTGGTATAAAGCTTCGTGGGTAATAGCTGGGTGGCTCCTTACTCATGACCAAGGACGACTGTAGGGGATTAGACTAACCTTAACCAACCCTGTTGGGATCATGTCCCATAACTTGTTACTTGGTTGAGGATCAGCTAACACGCATCTCACAGTAAAAAATCACACATACAAAGTTTTCTCCTCCCACTTCCTCACTCGTTCATCTCTGCCTCCAAGTTCCATGGGAGACCAATTAGCACCCTGGTTGTCATCTAGAAGCTGGCAGACTTATAACATTATGAACAAAACGTACAGCGTACGGACTAGCCCAAGCTTGAGAATCCATGTCTTCAGGAAGTTCCCTAGCGATCACCCTAATATTAAATGAGACATCGTCTGCCAAGGCGGCGAGATACGCAATCGTTAGCCCAATTACACCTGTTCCGAGGACGACGAGAGACTGCTCTGCCTTCGTGGAAGACATCGTTGATAGTAGTAGGGGTGCTACTAGACTTTTAGCACCTGACACAACGATGACAAACTCACTGGCCAGGGCTAATACGACCCTGATCAGCTGACTGATCTGAGTTCGTTGCCGCTATCCAGCCTATACTTTCATTGGCATCGGACCCATCGGGCATCCGAGTCTGTTATCCCATTCTCGGTCTCGACGGGCCGGACTCGTGATAAGCGAGGGGTCTTCCGCTTCGTTTGACTTTACTAGTACGACCAGCATAAATGCAACAGCAATTCACTAGATTCAAGTTGCAAGGGCCGAGCAAAAATTACTGCCAGCGTATAAACGAGAGGGTCAACTGCGCGAAATCTGGATCCCTGGCACTTACTTAGCTCAACATGCACTTCTAGCTCTCAGAAAAGGTAAAACTTCTGTCGTGACTAGGACCTCAGGAAGCAACCGCTATGCATCAGTCCGAGGCGAAAAATTCAATGGCGTTAGCAAGGCAGCTGGAATTGGTGCGTCCGAATCACATCGATAACTCGGATGGGATGGCATGGGAAACATCATGATGCGTTTCGCATGGTCTCTGGTACATCCTTACCAGTGATATTATGAAACAGGGTGAGCCCGGCTCAAATTGAAGCTGAAGGATTCATGAAGAGTAGCACAGTAGCTATATGACTCTAGACGACCTAGGTGTTCAGTAAGTACTGTGTATTTGTTAACTTGAACAAGACAGGCCCAGATAAAAAGGTAGTACCAGAATAGTGCTAGTAAGGAAATTTATATTTATGATTAGCAGCCTGCCTGCCTGAGCCTGCACGTTCTCCAGTAAAGATAGAACCTCGGATCTTTGGTAGCCTGTGGCTCTGGAACTAAAAGTCAGATCTCGTATGAATCTTGAATAGTTATCTCACTCAATTCCATGCACATGAACCACCGGTATCTCCTGTTGCTCATCTTCTGCATTCTCGATCACGCATGGAGCTAACTCGGCGCTTTGTCTGAGAGGAAGCAAGATCCGTTGGACATCCACACGTGGACTGCCCTCCCTGTCAGTCCTAAGGCCGACAGAGTGCCTCACGATCTTCTTCCCTTCTTTTAGACATGGCTCCAGCGCGGAGCACCGCTCAAACATCACTTTGAAACCGACATATCCAAGGAGATGTTCCTGTTTGTTAGGTTCCATTTAGAAGCGCAGCATTCACTTGAATCACTTCGATCATTCCAAGGCGAATGATAGATGCCACATGTTCCAACAGCCCGGCACCTACGCACAACTGCAAGTCGGGATGGCACGACCGTTGATGTGACTGAACAAACTATGCTCTACTGAGGCCATTTCCTTCGACTATAATAGATTGTCCCCTCATGGGAAAAAATATCTTCTATTCCGACCATGGACCTTTGAGTCCGGCCGTCAATAGGACAACTGACGTGTGCTCACTGAGAGATGTGCATCAGCCAACAGCCCGGTTTTCCAAACTGCTTGCGTGTTGATCGCGGCGGAATATTGAATAGTAACCCCGAGTTCTGATCGAAGCCATGGTAGATATTCAAATGGGCTGAGACTATATCATAATCATTTCCAATTTGTATGGTGCAAGAATTTGAAAATATGAGAGCAAGCTGAACCAAAATTCCTTAGATCTGGTGTCTAAAGAACGGCAAGAAAAAAGACGTACATCATCTACAAGGTCTTTCCGTAATATCAACCATCTCTGCAAACACCCTAAAGGGTAATTTCTAGAACCCCCTGTGTGCCGGTCGAGGTGCGTGCGATCAAGATCAACTTGACTAGGCCCGGCGGTATCATTTCCCATAACCTATCACTGAAAAACCTTCTCCGTAAACTTCGCATCATTAACGAGGTGCCTCTCACAAGGTTGCCTGCTCCTATCTTCGCACACGCTCGTCTGTGGCACCCAATGACATTGGAGACCAATTCGCACCCTAGATAAGATTGATGTAAGGAAGGACTTCAAGGAGGCTCAAAAGAAACAAACAGCGAATGGACTTGCCCAGGCTTCAGAATCCCAATCCCCAGGAAATGATCGTGATATTAAAGGTCACATCTGGGCTATAAGCAACAAGGTGGGCGAGGTCATCCCTGCTCCGAGGATGAATAGAGGCACATGAGAATTGGAAGCAGAAGACATGGCTTCTGTAGTGGATGTCGATAATAGAGATAAGGTGGAGACAATAACTCTCGCTTCTGAACTCGGAGTATGGGTGCCCCTCCAAGTGGGGTATAAATAAATCTGCGATGGACGGACAATTCAGATTTGGACGAACGAACTTGGATCGCCAGTACGGGATTTCTGGAAAGGGCTTTGCCTTGCCACGAATATCTACCAAATATCAAGATATTCTTCGATGGTAGATTTAACATCGTCCGAGGGTCATAAATAGCGCATGTTCAGGGGTTACATTCTGACCGGCAGTTAGCCCCATAGTGTCAACTTTCTTAGCTGTACATTCCGCTCCTCTGAGGATCTATGTGCAACAAAAAGCGCGCCCAAACGCGTAGCTAATGATAAATGAGACAAAAGAGAGATGTTCATATGGCGTGATTGCGCACCACCTGCAATATCGCCCTCCATACATGGCGTCGCAACAAGGCCTGCTGCTTTGAGAGCGACCATGACCTGGCCATATGTCCCGCGGAACAGTGCGTCGCGAGTATGATGGCCAGGAACGTTTGTTGAGACATCCGTCTGCTCCTCGAGTGAGGAGGGAGTATCCATGCCTGCCTCGACAACTGCGCTAGTAATCGTCTTTTGCAGACGCACAATTCGGCTTCGGCATGATGCACGCGGATCGTATGAGGGCGTGGCAAATTGTATGTGGAGCCCGTCCACATGGATGCCTTCAGGCTCTTGCTGAGGCACGGGGGGAAGGGGTTTCGGAACGTGGGCGGGTATACAACACCACGTGTCGATTGGGTTGTTGGATGCATTTTGGCTTGTAGAGCAAGGTTTGCGTGTGCTTGGATGAGATTTCTGGTGTTTGCGCTTGAAGAATGAAGACGCTGACCGCATGCCAGGCGCGGAACGAGATAAGGATGTAAGGCGCGAGATAGATGAGCGAGTCTGTAGTGGGGATTCCAGCATACATTGCGAGATATGACAAAAAGAAGATGTCGAGCTCGTGGCAGATGGGCATGAGTAGGTCAGAGATTGCTCCGAGACAGAAGCAGAATTCTCTGGTGGAGGAAAGGTCGTGAGTGTATCTTCTGAAGGAGATGCGGTTTTACGAGGCGCGAACGATACGTTGTTGAACTCGACCACATATGGGATACCAAACGAAGTCCAATGAATTTGTTGGGGCATTTCGAAACGCCTTACTGAGCAAGTATAAAACAGATAAAAACTCGAAGTGGTGAGCGCCCAGTAGTTGTCAACAGTGATAAACTCAGAGGACAGTCTGTGAGGCGTAATGATCAATGGAATCAACCTGTCGACCGGGAGCAAGGGAGACACATGTCTGGGTAGTGTAATGCGAGCCTGACTCGAATGCATTTGAAACACGTTGCAGCAGCATTACATCGATGAGAAATTATAGGGTTTGTGACTCGTAAATGCTAGTCAGTATCACGAGAGCTCTAGATTGGCATCGAAATCAAGTTCCAATGCCAAAGCACTTGAAGTTTGCGAGATATGTTCACAATTTCGGGATGTCGTCTCAGAGTCAGCGCTTCAGCTGTGAACGAGCGTTAATTGAAACGCAGTTATGAACCGAAAGTGGAAACGTTGTTGCAGGAACGCGAGGGATAGGTGAGGACTAGGACCATGAGGGAGTCAATTGTCACGGGGCAGCTTCGGGGTCAACTTCCCAAAAGAGGTGGCTTCCCGGGGAGACCTTCTTTCTTTGACCTATTCGGGAGGACCGTTTGTCATGACCAATTTCAATCAGCTACTTCTTGACATTACATAATACTAGCTCCTGACCTTGCTGTTACCCACGAACTTCTTGTGCAAGCCCCGACGCTTTTCGTTTGAGCATTCTCTTCTTTAAAGTTGCTCGACGTATCCATGTGACCTTTGGAGAGCAATGTAATGACGTCATGGTCACATGTGATTATTTTGATTAGGCTCGGGTGGAGCATGACGCGTGGCGCATATCCCTTGTTATGACCCGAGTAGTACTCCAGGGGAAATGGCTGAAAATGTATAGCCTAATTATATACTTCATCCGTGATGGCAGACTAGCTAGGCGCCGATGACTACTCAGTTTCTCAAAATTTCTGCCACGTAGTAGTGCTGCTAACCGTCGATGAAATTGCAACAGAAAAGAGAGTGCACCGCGGGTCAGACGAGGGGATATATATAGACTGAGCGATAGAAGAGATGCTCGACCAGTGGCCATTTCCGATCTTGATACGGCCAGTGGCAATTTTATCACATCATGACGTCGTTCCTCAACTTTCCTCTTTGGGAAAAACACTCAAAAATTCAAGGTGTATCGTCGAATAAAACCGTGCGCCACCGAGTAGCAACACCTCTTGGCGCTACCACCATTCAAAAAAGATAACAGTCAGTTGGCACAAGCAACGTCGTATAAAGGTTGTCCCATCGTTCTTCGTTCGCTCATAACTCCCTTTCTACCGCCTCCAAGCTTTCACTGCTCTTCGAAATGAACACTGATTACTTCCCTCCTATGCTTGTTCATCTAGTCGATCATACATCTATGGCTGAGACAGCACCACCTACAAATGGAACCAAGCATATCGACAACGGTGATAGCGCAATTGTCCAAGCAAATGGTTCTCCCGCTACCTACAGCGCACCATCCCGCGTCACTCTTCATCTCGGACACTTGCCAAGCAAGAAAGATATAAAGGCTCCATGGCCACGTACACCCTCACGGGTCAGTATAAGCATGAGTTGTCACCCGAACAGTCCATCTGATGTGCATCGGGATATCTTCTGCTAGATCGATCCTAACAACCCGCCATGGCCGGCGTATCGGGGCTACCACGAGTACTCGTTTGCACATGCAACCATGGGCGTCCGTTTACCAACCATCCTTGGTAAAGCTATAGATGACACCTCGCGAACTCTAAATGAGCAGTATGCCGAAGATAAGATTGTTGATCTTGTAGAATGTTTGGAGAGAATGGACAACCTCATGGCCGATCTCAGTGGAAATGCTAAGCTTAGACCAATTATTGATGACGGTGAAGGTGATGTGGCACTGTGGAATAAAGAAATTGCAAAGTATTTCCAAGGTATCGTGTTCGCCATATATAGCTCGCATCTTGGCTGACGATTTACATTTTAGGCAAGGACTTCATGAATGCACCTTGGCTGTTCGCAGAGGCCTATAAGTACCGTCGTCTGCATGAGTGCTTCAGTGTCAGCAAATACTGGAAAGACTATGATGTTTTCTACCGTCAAAAGGTATGCATCAGACTTGATTAACTTTTCCAGTCTGACAGCGCTTCCAGTGTGACACTTTTTCAAGATCGACAGATGCTGTCTTTGAGCTGTCTATGCGCTTTGCTGAGCCCTTTAAACAGTCAGAGAACATGTCAGACAAAGAGAAAGCAGAAAACGAGAGACTCATGTTTTTGGAGTTGACTCAAGGTAATGATAAGAGTTTCTCAAGTTTGCCCTGCTAACATGGTATGCAAGTGTGTCTGTGGGGCAATTCGACTGACCTTTCACTCTTGATCAACATGACGGAAGAACAGATCAAATCTCTCCAGTCAACTGGAGGAGACCACCTTGCTGCCACTGAAAAGAATATTCTGGGCAACCATCTGAACCAGCTTTGGGAGACTGTTAAGGTCCTCCGCGAAAAGACTGGTGGACGAATTGACTTCGTGTTGGATAACGCAGGATTTGAATTGTATTGCGATTTTGTGTACGGTGCGTTCAAGAAACAACGCTTGGTGGAGAGATTGACTAATTTTTACCAGCCGATTTCCTCATACAGACTGGTCTGGCTAAGCAGATTCGGTTCCATGGCAAGCGTTATCCATGGTTCGTGTCTGATGTGACGCGGAAAGACTGGGACTGGTTACTAAACACCATGGTATATGGGCATTTATTCCCGAAAGCCTCTGAAGCTGAGCGAGAGTCACTACGGAGACTCGGGGCCCGATGGAAGGTAGGGGTAGTCTAATCGGCGCATGAAGTTTCACTCACACATCTGCATTTGATAGCAATACGAGAAAGACGGTAGATGGCAATATGAGCAGCATCCTTTCTGGTGCACTGGATATACGTTCTGGGACCTTCACAGCGAGGCACCAGACCTCTTCCTCCACCTGTCTCGCTCAGATCTCGTCTACTTCAAAGGCGATCTGAACCACAGGAAGTTGACATATGATTGTGCTGCACCAGCCAGCGTCCCATTCGATATATCCATTGGACCGATGGCCAGCGCTGCTGGAGCTCCAAAGATTTGCAGTCTGCGGACAATCAAAAGCGACGTTGTTGTTGGGCTAGGAGACGATGGGGACGCCATAGCAGAGCGGTTGGACAAGGAAGAGCCAGGTTGGAAGATTAGCGGGAAATACGTGCGTACTTGCAGGCAGTTATGGCTTCATGTACTGAGAATCCACTCCATCCAGGCTGTCGTACTCCTGTCAGAAGGTCGACCAGGTGAGAAAGTGCGGTTTGCTTGAGCGAGGCGAATTCCACTGGTAGAAAAGTGTCATTATCTCGGGTACCTGTTTCTCTTGTGTCCCAGCACCTCCTGGTCGCTTGCTATAGCTGTTTGACTCGTTTATTGCAGAGCACTATCTGCAGAGTCTGGGTAGAGTACGTTCTCTGTAATGTATGCATTCCCAATATCATCTGTCGCTATTTTTGTTACTAGATACTTATATGTTGTCAATTTCATCGCTTCGAGAAGTAGGACAAGCAATATTACTGACATTTTACCCACTAGACGAGCAACGTATACGTACGTACGTGCGTATTTGAGTCAGGATTGAGAAATTTTACTCTGCATGAGAGTCACGTGATCCCCATTGTGGGTGAGCGAGCGGAGTTTGAAAGATCCCTTGCCAAAACATGGGATGTCGACCTTCTACACTTGAAGTGCAGGTGGGAAGGAGCCTGCTATCCTTTACAGTCTATTCGTACCCACCATTTTGTGAGTTACACTTTTTGGCGTGGAAATGATGGTTGGTCATACGATCATGATAACGGTAAGTCCCTGCGAAACAGCGTAACTCACAAAAGGGCGGGCACTCACGAATAGACCGTAGAGGATAGCACAGTAGCTTGGGCCAACTGTGTACTGCCACCCCGAAGGGGATTTAGGTAGACCGCCTATATCTCCAACTCGCATGTCAGATGTATGCCAGTCAAGAGTACCGGTCAAGTCGGTCAAACACAAGTACCAGCTTCTTGTGCATCGTTCACTTGTAGCATTTTTCACTAATGGCGGCCGGTGGAATAATTCAAAGGAGATATTCACTGACTATCACTGTAAAGGTTGTGTACACAGTCAACATTCAACCCGTTCGTGGTAACTGTTCGATAGGTATCAGGTCATTCGGACGTCCATGGGAACGAGGAGCTGGATAAGCATGCGAAGTTTGCAGCGGCGAGCAGACAGGACAACAATTCGCTCATCATGTTGCTCACGTATCTCCGCCATGACACTAGATCACAAGCTCTTGTAGTCCCTTCTTTATCAAACTCGCCGCGGAATACCCTAAGCGACTCGCCGGATTATACCACTTGCTGACCGCCTGTCCAGACTAGCAATGTGATTGTTATGTCAATGCCACTGGAAGATTGAGAGCGACCTTCGGTGAAGTACCACTTCCTCGCACTACATCCACTGCATTCATTTAGGTTCTTGTAGTTGTCTGCAAAGGTCGAGTACGTGTTCCACTATATTTATTTCACGCACGCGTACTTAGTCATTTTATCTTCGTGCGTCTAAAACAGCTGGTGGGGTATATCCCACACCAGGGTATTCGCAGATTCAGAGGTGCATTCGGGGCCACTGTGGGTCCTTAGAATAGACTGCATTGTCTAATGTCCTCCATAGATCATACTCTTGATAGGACATTAATCGGACATATGCAAGAAAACGTTTAACCCAAAGTGCCGGGCAGATAACATATAAGTGCATGCATCATGGTCACTGTGAAATTTATGCCCAAACTACCTCACGGTGCGCTTCAGCGAGAATCAATGAATGTACCTTTGCATGAGGTCTTCAATACATTCTACACAGAATGTCAAATCCATGAGGACATCGTACGCTTCATTTATTTGTGTTGCACAAGGAGCAATAAAAAAGGCTCTTACCCTGTCGTATTCTTGTGTTTTGTGCTAAATTCGAGTGCATTAATGACCGTTGATACTCATGCAACTTATGCGTTAGTATTCTTAGAGCACAGTTTAAATTTGTGGTCCCACTGCTTGCCTAACTTAAAATTACGGCATTAAATATACTGAGATGCAAAGCTCTGGAATTATGCTCCCAGGCTTGCTCGCCGTATCGTCGCATGCAGCAAGCATTAGAGCTACATTAACCGTATATGTTGACTTTGAGCCAGATTCCCATGAAAGGGAATTTTAAACAGTATTTGTCCGAGGCCGGAACATGGATGGGAGCTTCAAATCACAATGATCTTGTAATCACCGATATTTACCAATGTTACCATGAGGAAAAATCAGGTGACCGCCGCGACTCGGACTCTACTCTTCACAAGCACACGGATGCTAGTATCTTTGAACAATATTCGGTGGCTCTATGGGACTCAGACTATGGCATATGCGCCTGCCGGGCTTATCACTGGGAAGAGGTCGGGGTCTTAACGGGGAACAAGTAACACCAAAACGCTGCTGGGCCCTGGCTGCTAGCTACTAGGTATCATTCATGCAAAGTCATGCGGTCCTGATCTCCCCATCTCCAAACGGCAGTGACTCGCAAGACAAGATATTGGTATCATCATGCTCACACCATTGGCCACGAAAAGTTACATCACTGTCTTATTCGTTGTTTTCCATGTGCATCAAACTTATTTCTTATTCAGAAATAATGGGCCCGGTTGGTCACAGGATTGATAACCCAGGAATCAGTTGCAACTCCACAACTCAATTTTTGTGTCGAGCCGGCAGGTATTCACATTAGTGTAACAAGTTTTTCAATGCGACTTCACCAAGCCCAGGCGCTATCACTTTTCCCGGAAATGCTCAGCCTTTCCAGGAGTTTACATAGTGCAGTCTCGACAGTTATGCGCCCGGCAATGTGTACCGCGAAGGACCGAAGGTGGATTCGTCATATGTGCGTGAGCTTCACCATGTGAGCCAAGCATTCCCTTACCATTGATTGGTCCATGAATAAACTGGTCGAATTGCGCATCTTCATGAGTTCTTCTTACTCACGGCCAAAAAAAGGCTACCTGTCCCGCTATGCTGGTTTGAATCCAAGATGTGCGCTATGATACCGAGTCGGTTGTCGAGTGATTCCTGTTTTCGGTTTCTTCACGTGTGGAGGCCTTCCATACGGTTCAGCCTTCGTGCATGAGATTGACCATATACTCGCCTTTCAGCACCATGTCTTCACCTTTACCAACATCTATATAATGGGTCGAAATGTGGTATGATCCTTACCTCCCAGTACAGTTTAATCATGTTCCCAGCTGCATCTCTATTGACGACTCTCCTCCTGGCCTTGTCCATCGCGGCATCGCCAGTTGAAGTTCGCAACTCCCCCGTCACCCTCCCTATCGCTAGGAGGCTGAACACCTCTGGTGGTACCATCAACCTCTTGCAGCACGACCAATCTCGTGCAGCTGCCCTCAAAAGTTTCAAGGGAGATAGCACCCTCAGCCGTCGTACTGGTAGCATTACTGTGACAAACGATGCTGTAGGCTATATCGCAGAAGTTGGCGTTGGCAGCCCCGCCACAAACTGTAAGTTCAACACTGCACAAACTTGCAGTGCTAATGTATTATTGCAGACTACTTGATTGTCGACACCGGTAGCTCGAACACATGGGTTGGTGCCGATACCAAGTACGTGAAGACCAGCACCAGCGTCGACACTGGCGATGCTGTAGAGGTCACCTACGGCTCTGGCTCCTTCTCTGGTATGTCATACAAAAATATCATAAGTTGAAATACTCACGGTTATCTACAGGAACTGAGTACACCGACACCGTCACTCTCGGTAGTGGGCTCACCATCACCGCGCAGTCGATTGGTGTTGCTGCCACTTCGACGGGCTTCACCGGTGTCGACGGTATCATCGGCATCGGGCCCCTAATCTTGACAGAGGGTACCCTGACGAATTACCCGGACACGACGATCCCGACTGTCACTGACAACCTGTATAGCCAAGGCATCATTTCTGAGATAGTCGTCGGTATCTCTTTCGAGCCCACCACTACTGAGTCAGACGCCAACGGAGAGCTCACCTTCGGCGGAGTCGACGCTACCAAGTACACTGGCACCCTCGCATACACGTAAGTTACCAAGTTTCCGCAGCTCGGGGATGAATTCGGACTGACAGTAATTTATTATTTCAGACCTCTCACCACCACCGCACCCGCATCCTACTACTGGGGTATCAACGAGAGCATCACTTACGGCACCACGACCATCTTGGCCGAGACGGCTGGTATCGTCGACACTGGCACCACCCTCATCCTCCTCGCCAGCAGTACGTATCTCGAGTGCAGCGAGTAATCACGGTCTAATCAGTGTTTGATAGATGCCTATGCCGAGTACAAGTCTGCAACTGGTGCTACTCTGGACGCGACGACTGGTCTTCTCCGCATTACCACCACCCAGTACAGCGCCCTGAAGGCCCTGAACTTCGTTGTTGGCAGCGTACGTGCTTTCTGTCTCAAGTATTAATGCCCTTTGTTCACCATTTGCACAGAACACCTACACTCTCACCGCGAACGCCCAGATCTGGCCTCGTTCGCTCAACGCCTACATCGGTGGTACCACCAGCTACATCTACCTTGTTGTCAACGACCTCGGCACGCCCAGTGGCGAGGGTCTCGACTTCATCAACGGCTACACTTTCCTTGAGCGCTTCTACTCTGTGTTTGATACTACGCACTCCCAAGTCGGTTTTGCCACAACCGCATACACGGATGCCACCACCAACTGATGCAGTTTTTTTTGTTGGGTATTGGGTATTTGTACGTTACAAAATATCATTTCTTACAACCTTTGTCTTCTGGAAGCATTTTAAATAACTGTGGCTAGAGTCGTCGTTGAATTGAACGTTCGAATGTCAACTATTACTGTTCCATGAAGAAATCCAGCTCTCCTTCCCCTCAGGCTAGATGGGCAAGCTCATCGGCAAAACCCCGAGTGACTGTATGGCACTGTACCACTAGTACTTGCTGTACAGTGCCGTACAGCCACTCAGTACTCAGTACTCCTAGTACTCAGGGCTCACAGGAAAGTCTGCAAATTAGAGGCCATCTCGGACTTCGACTTTTCGCCCCCCTGCCATTTGTGCCAAAGAAGTACAAACTATGGAAAGCCTGACGGTCGCGCTTAATTTGACACAAATATGGCAACTTCTTCTCTGTAGGAGCTCGAATACTTACTACTATGTTTGCGTACCATTGTGACTCCGCCAGCGCTTGATTCTATGATGTCTGATCAAATGCCATGCAACCTGTGCCAGAATCTCTCAAATGAACATTTGGAAGTGCGAAAACGAGCGCCATTAATCCGGGAAGATGATAGAGCATAATGCCGCCATCCCTAGGTGCAGAGCGTACTTGAGAGACCACAAGGACGTGACAGAGCGAAAGATAACATACTGGACATGGAATCGGATTATCAAAAACGCTGAGTATGGCACAAACCTGTGATGAAGCTAACCAAAGTTGAAGACAATCCTAGGAGCAACGTCAAGGCTGCTATGACCTATGCGCAACCCCGGAACTGCATCCAGGACGGAAAGCTGGTCGACTCTACATCTTCTACTAAACCTTATATCGCAATTAGTTACGTGTGGGACACCTGTCCTTCTTTCAAAGAATAGGCAGGCGGGTCACAGAGCAAGCATTACACATCACCGACCAACTCTCGAAACACACCTCATATGCTCTGTGGATCGATGCAATCTGCATTGACCAGGACAACGAACCAGTAAAGATGGCGGATATATACCGCAGGGCCACAGCGGTGTTATGCCTTGTACCGGAGATAGACCAAACGACAAGCAGAGTCGTGGAGCATGGAACCGGAATGATAGATTTAGATGGGTTCCATGCACTTGAACATGCTGGAGACACGCACGGGTTGCGCACGGGATGTACGTGTTCGCATCCCAAGGCTCAAACAAGGCGCTGCACAAGCTATTTAGCAGCAGGTGGTGGACGCGTGTCTGGACGTTCCAAGAGGCAGTTCTTAACCGCATAACGTTTTTGGAGGAGAGAAAGAGGAAACTATAACTATTCCGATTTCCGACGTCCTTCTCTCACCCGATTAGCCGACGGGCAGCGACACAGAAGAAAGACAACTTGCTGGGGCAATTATCCAGTTTTTGAGACTCGGTTCATTCCATGTCGAACGCGATGAAGGTATCCATGCCGCTCGGGACAGCTATATCGAGCGTGTGGAGGCGTCACTCATGACACTCTCTGCTTGATGTGTGTCGTCTAGAGACAATCACACCTGACTATCAGCTTCCAGTGGAGAAAGCGTTCGCTGACCTTGTAGACAAAGCCAGTTTGAAAAGGGACTTTTCCTGGCTGAGATGGGGCCACTTAGTCGACAGAGACGCCGCATGTGAAGGAATGACCATGGTTCCCGTACCTGCAACTGTGTTAGAATAGCAACCCTTGCCAGTACTATCACGGAGTGGCGTTCCGTGGAAGTTCCTGAGAGTTCAGTTGTCCGTGGATGAGCTGTTGGTGTTTGTATTCCGTATCGGTCGACTGGCGTTATAAGATGGCAATCACAACCGGAAGACATCAAGGGAATTATCAAAATGCTCCAAAAGCTGTCATACGGCTCCGAAGACATATGGAACTTGTTATTTGGCCTGCACGTCGGATTAGCGTGCGACGTCGATAGAGCCGTGCACTGGGAGGATCTGGGCTGGCTCAGGCATTGCTCAACCTGGCGACTGGATACATCGATGGCACGTTTGAATTGTCTTTGCAAACCTGCCATTCGGCAGGTTCGGAACACAGTGATTGACACATAGCGACCCGTACAGGTTGGATGAAGGGTGTCGTAGGAGGAACATGAACACTATCATGATGATATCTTTGACAGCGTGATACAGAGAGCTGATTTGAAAAGGAGCGTGTTGCCAAAAGGTAAGCATTTACTATAGTTGTACACTACATGAAATCCATCAGTCTCGATCCACCATGCAGCAAAGACCAATACGACTTAGTTTCTACATTGGGTTATATCTGTTGAAAGTTGATTAAGTTATTTTCATTTCCGCAGTGAGTGTTCGTGTCTGAGTCAAACTTACGGCGTCATATTGAAGAACCAGTACTTGCGGTGCAAAGCTCCGAAATCCTGCCCTCCGGCTTGCTCGCCGTATCGCATGCAGTAAGGTACAAAAGGAGATGAAGCAGCATTAGAGCTACATTGACCATAGGCAGCGATTGAACCAGATTCCCATGAAGTGGAATCAGTAGTTGTCGGCCGGAACCGTGGCATGATGAGAGATTCGCGCTTAGTAGCGCTTACATATCAGCAAAATTACGAGCATGATCTTGTAATCACCATCATGCATGGCGTTCGTCAAGGAAGAATCAGGTGACCATCATGTTCAAGTATGGCCGCTGCGACTCACTACTTCACAAGCACACGGATGCTAGTATCTTTGCACAATATCTGGCGGCTCCATGTGACTCAGACTATGGCATACGCACCTGCCGGGCTTAATACTGGAAAGAGGTCGGGGTCCTAACGGGGAACAAGTACTGTCAGGACGCTGCTGGGCCCTGGCCACTACTAGGTATCATTCAAGTTCATGCGGCCCTAATCTTCCCATCTCCAAATGGCAGTACTGTGATCAAGGCAAGCCATCGGTATCATCATACTCACCATTCGCCATGAAAAGTTACATCACTGTCTTGTTCACTGTTTTTCATTTGCATCAAATTTCTTTCTTCTTCAGAAAAAATGGCCCCAGTTGGTCGCAAGATCAATGCCCCAGGAATCAGTTGCGGCTCCACGACTCAATTTTTGTGCCGAGCCGGCGGATATTCTTGTATTCACATCAGTGTAACAAATGTAACTTCGTCCCGACGCCATTCTTCCCAGAAATGCTCAGCCTCTCTTGTAATCTGCATAGTGCGTCTCGAAAGTGATGCACCTGATGTACTGCGAAGGACCGAAGGTGCGTGAGCTTCACCGTGTAACATAAGCATTCCCTAACTATTGGTCCATTAATAAACTGATGGAATAGCACATCCTCATGGACAGTTTCTCTTACTCACGGCCAAAAACAGGCTACCTGTCCCGCTATGTCGGTTTTTATCCAAGATGTGCGCGCAACGAGTCGGTTGTTTAGTTATTTCTATTTTCGGTGAGGGGGCGCGTTCCATACGGTTCAGCCTTAGGATGAGATTAACCATGTGCTCGCCTTTCAGCAGCGTGTTTTCAGATTTACCTGCATGTATATAATGGGCCTTGGAATCTAGTATGATCATTATCTTCCAGTATCGTTCAATCATGTTCCCAGCTGCATCTCTGTTGACGACTCTCCTCCTGGCCTTGTCCATCGCGGCATCGCCTGTTGAAGTTCGCAGCTCCCCCGTCACCCTCCCTATCGCTAGGAGGCTGAACACCTCTGGTGGTACCATCAACCTCTTGCAGCACGACCAATCTCGTGCAGCTGCCCTCAAAAATTTCAAGGGAGATAGCACTCTTAGCCGCCGCACTGGTAGCATTACTGTGACAAACGATGCTGTGAGCTACATCGCAGACGTTGGTGTTGGCAGCCCCGCCACAACCTGTAAGTTCAACACTGCACAAACTTGCAGCTGCTAATGTATTATTGCAGACTACTTGATTGTCGACACCGGTAGCTCGAACACATGGGTTGGTGCCGATACCAAGTACGTGAAGACCAGCACCAGCGTCGATACTGGCGAGCCTGTAGCGGTCGACTACGGGTCTGGCTCCTTCACTGGTATGACATTCAAAAATATCATGAATTGAAAATACCCACGATTATCTACAGGAACTGAGTACACCGACACCGTCACTCTCGGTGATGGCCTCACCATCACCGCGCAGTCGATTGGTGTTGCTGCTACTTCGACGGGCTTCACCGGTGTCGACGGTATCATCGGCATCGGGCCCCTAATCTTGACAGAGGGTACCCTGACGGATGAGCCGGACACGACGATCCCGACTGTCACTGACAACTTGTACAGCCAAGGCATCATTTCTGAGATAGTCGTCGGTATCTCTTTCGAGCCCACCACTACTGAGTCAGACGCCAACGGAGAGCTCACCTTCGGTGGAGTCGACGCTACCAGGTACACTGGCACCCTCGCATACACGTAAGTTTCCAAGTTTCCGCAGCTCGGGGATGAATTCGGACTGACAGTAATTTATTATTTCAGACCTCTCACCACCACCGCACCCGCATCCTACTACTGGGGTATCAACGAGAGCATCACTTACGGCACCACGACCATCTTGGCCGAGACGGCTGGTATCGTCGACACTGGCACCACCCTCATCCTCCTCGCCAGCAGTACGTATCTCGAGTGCAGCGAGTAATCACGGTCTAATCAGTGTTTGATAGATGCCTATGCCGAGTACAAGTCTGCAACTGGTGCTACTCTGGACGCGACGACTGGTCTTCTCCGCATTACCACCACCCAGTACAGCGCCCTTAAGGCCTTGAACTTCGTTGTTGGTGCCGTACGTACTTTCGGTCTCAAGTGTTAATGCCCTTTGTTCACCATTTGCACAGAACACCTACACTCTCACCGCAAACGCCCAGATCTGGCCTCGTTCGCTCAACACCTACATCGGTGGTACCACCAGCTACATCTACCTCGTTGTCAACGACCTCGGCACGCCCAGTGGTGAGGGTCTCGACTTCATCAACGGCTACACTTTCCTTGAGCGCTTCTACTCTGTATTCGATACTACGCACTCCCAAGTCGGTTTTGCCACGACCGCATACACGGATGCCACCACCAACTGATGCAATTTTTTTTGTTGGGTATTGGGTATTTGTACGTTACAATGTAGCATTTCTCATAACCTTTGTATTCTGGAAGCATTTGAAATAACTGTAACTAGAGTCGTCGTTGAGCGTTCGAATGTCAGCTGTTACTGTTCCATGAAGACACCGCAACTCCACTTCCCCTCAGGCTAGATCGTGAGACACAACTTTTTTGTCGGCTATTGGGTATTTGTGAGTCATAATATAACATTTCTCTTACTGTTATTAGTTTATATAAAATTTGCTATATAATTTATACGAGTAATAAAAACAAGGCTGAAAGGAAATGTGAGATTTTGCTGAGGGATATAGTGCACCACACGCCTCGTTGACTCGAGCTCCTAGATATTCGCAATTAGTTAGCAGCTATTGCCCATGTCTGAGGGAACCTCTGCAGCGGCTATGTTTTGCAAAGTGGAAAGCTTCTGAAAAAGGAAAGTCCTCAAAGCCTTTGCACAACAGACCAAAACAACGCTTACCCTCGTCTTCTGAACTATGCTCTCATGCACTTGTCCGGCACAACTGAGGGCTACGGCGAATTCTAATATGAATAAAACCCACGCGTGATGCGTGCAGCCCTGAAAATTTATTGTGAGCGTGTATCGTTGACGTGGCTATCTCAAACCCATACTAGTATGTAATGTATCATGATTTTGCTTATAGTATAACTGTTGACGGACCATCTAGCACAGCCTGAGAGAATACTTCCTTCATCTTGCGTCACATGGAACTATTACGATTACGGCCTGTGTTTCCTCTGTCTCATCACCAGTTAGCTCGTGGAATCATTTCATTGAAGTGCTAGGTCGAAACTATGGTGTCCATCTCAAAAGTATTGCGGTATGATGCTTTGAAAGTTTGAATGGTTCTATTGTATCACCCTTTCGAGTTACCGCATTAAAAGTAAGGACTACGCTGGTTCGCGACGTAGTGGACACACAAGGTAAGCGTCTTTGCACGTTTACAACAAAGATGCGACTGACCCTACTACGCATCAAAACTTTCAGATCTTTGTGATTCTACCGTGACGCACCTCCGTGTCTGCCGTTTCTCTACTGCGCAACTTTACGCTATAATATATAAATTCTCCCCTTATGCTCAAGCTCGTCTGCTACTGTCTTAAGCAGGTACCGCTTCCAAAGTTTATGGTGGTGGTCAAGTGTGCCGCGACAATGCTCCGAGTCCGCAAGAATTCCGTTTTTCCTATAATTGGAATCTGATCTGAGTTGTACTTCTCCACATGTGATGTCACCCTCTAGTGGAGAAGGACCAGTACTCACTTGATCGTCACATTCCAAGTTTATCAAGGGTCAGTGATCTTTGTGTTCTTGTGGACTGATGCACGCGTGGCGCTACAAAGCAGTGAATTCCACAGGTGTATATCCTATAGGAAAGTGTCCACAGACGCTTGCCTTTTCCCGACGTGTTGTCGGGGGATAATGTCAAATCGATGGCTTCAATGCACGACCACAGTCGTCCTTTGTCTATCGTTTCCCCGCCCGTCGAGAGATATAAAACCCAGTGTCGTTCTCTGCTCTATTTCTCTCATCTTCGTCTTTACTTTCCAACAGTGTCTCATCATCTTAGCCACTTCACTTTTTCAATTCATCTATATGTCTATGTAAGTCCACTCGCACGTCAGGTGGATATCCTTATATGCTAACACTACCTTATGCATCCAGTTCCTCGTGTTACAACCTTCATACGCCATTCAATAGGTTTGTGTTTGATCTCGAGTTCGAGGACGCGCCTCATCTCATCATTTTCTTGGCGAATCTATGCCCATGTCGGATGACCACGTGCCGCTCCCCGGCGATCCTGATTTTGTTCCGTTGTCCGAAGAAGATATGGCTAAGTTGTTCGCAACTCATCAAAGCGGTGAGACGTCCCCCGAAGTGCGCGCCCAGTTGGATGCGTATGTAGTTCTACCTAAATCATTTATTCAAACTTACGGTCGTACAGATTGTTTAAAGAGAGCGAGGAATTCATGCATAGTATAATTAACGAAGACGCGCTGGCAGGCCCAGCCGATGCTCACGTTGACGGGTAAGCCAATCTAATTAGTCTACCTGGACCAAGCAACTCACGTCCAACAATAGGACAAACTATGGATCACCAGCGACGCAACAAGGGTACGTGCACTCGCAACTGAGTCTTCGTCATTGCTCATCTGTTTTTCTAGAACTCGCGACGATTCACAAATGGTTCAAAATCCTCAGATGTTCAAGTCGTTTCCGACATTGGAGAATTTCAACGCCCCGGTGGCTGGTCTTCCCCTGTTGTCCCACATCGATCAGTGGCTCTACCCTCCGCAGACCTCTGCCATCCCTCAAGCGCCCCCGCAAGGCCATCCTTGGTCCCAGCATGAATACAACCCTGGATACTTCATGAACGGCCCTCCCAGCACATATATGCAGCCCCCTGCCGTACCGCAAGGCCCCGTATGGTCCCAGTATGAATGTAATCCTGGATATGATACCAATGGACCCCCTGGTGCGTATTATTCGCAACCCTCTGCGGTCGTTCCAGCACCACCGCAAGACCACGCATTGGCCCAGTATGGATATCATCCCGCTCCCTCTTACCCTTACCAGCAACCTCCCACCATTGCGGGTCCGTCCAACGCGTATTACCCTATCCCCCAAGGTCAATATGCTCCATTGCAGACGGAATCCAGTGGGGGCTCAAGCGTGGAGCCAACTTCTCTTGCTCTCGACGGGACAGCATCTACCAGGCCTCGTAAGCGTAAAACCCGCCAGACCTCTGAACTTGAGGATGGTTCGAGTTCGTTCGTTGCACCAGCAATGCGCAAGCGCAGACGCCCGAACGTCGCCGACGACTACAGACCGGGCAAGTTTGGTCCGTATACGCTAGCGGATACTAGTGCCACGATCATGGCCATGCCTGTTCACGACCCAAAGCCTGTTGACATCAGTAGCCGCAGGACCCATGATCCCAACGGAAATCCCCTTCGAACGAGGAGATTTGGGGTTATGGAGCTGGATGATACCTACCCCGATGCATCTGGAAACGTCCTTGCTCATTACTCGCCACAGTTGACGTGTGTACGCTCATGTGATTGGACCGACCAGCCGTGTGGACTGTTCATAGAGGTGGACAAGATCCGTATTGAAGACCACCTGTGGTTCTGGCATGGGGTTGAAGTGAAGAAAGCCACTCCCTGCCGATTCGAGGGTTGCCTGGACGCAGGGACGATGATGTATTTGAGCCGTCACATCGAAGGGGTCCACTTCGCTACGTCCTATCGATGCCCCTATTGCAAGAAGCTGTCGTCGAGGACCGATTCTTTGGCACGGCATCAGAAGGGGTGCAAACCATTGCTTGCTAGCAAGGCCCATGCTGAGCATGGAAAGTACGAATTCTATCACCAAGCGATGATCAAGTCAGTTTCTGGATATATCGTTCCTGCCAGCAACGCGACCTAGGACAGCGTCTGAATATGTATGTCCCCCTTACCCCGCATCTGTCGCTGCTACTAACGTTGCTCCTTATTTCCGTGCTCTAGTGTTGACTCCAATTCTTGACACAACTTTTCTCTATGGCTGATGACAATCATTATATTCTATTACCAACATTCCTTTGGGCTATTCTCTCTACTGCTAACGACACTCTCTATTACCAACATTCCTTCTGAAATTTATTTTCTCTACAGTCAACCACACTCGCTTCATTCTATCACTGACATTCCTTTTGAATATTCACTCTTTTTATCCTTGCTTAATACTTCTAATGGTTATTGGGTTATCTTTATTGCACGCTGGACGTGGCTATCGTACCTTACCATGGCGCTCGGTCTAATGGTTGTATGGGAAGGAAGTTGGAAGTAGCTAGTCACCATCGTATCTCGTTATGGAGCTTAGAGCTTTGCATCGTCATTGTTATGAATGAAATATACGGATAGTGAACGCTTGAGCGATTCGGAGTACATGATCAAGGAGCTAGTGCTCCAGCTGACTCAGTGGAGCACATGTATATGAGGTGCTTCCGTGGGATAAACCGTTTCATCGTGAGTATAGTCACGCGAATTGCTTCCACGAGATCAAACGTATGGACAAATTTAAAGTTGTCCTGAGGAAGCATTTGAAATGACTGACTGCTGTTGTTCTATGAAGACATTTGCCCTAAATCATGAGAGCACCCACCTACTAGTAGCGTGGACTAGATCGGATATTCTAATAATCGACCTTGCTCTTCCGTGAGAATGATCATATATGTGTGCACGTAACCATGAATAGTTGTAGTTACTGTAGTCACAGCTTGTTAATGCTTTCATCACGCACATATCCATATCATATGATTCATATGTAGTTCACATCAAGGAGAGCTATGCCGCACGGGGGTGATGATGTGGTAAATATGTAAGCGTGTGCGCGGCGATTCTCCTGCTCCTACTGCTCATAGCTGTCGCCACGACTCATTCCTCCACCACGCTATTCAATTACCCCGTCCGGTCGTTCTGAATCTTGATTCACCGAAGACTTGTGCTTGGCTTGCCCACGCGGGCAAGTCTGCCCTCAATGGAAAGCTTGCGAGGTGGCATTTCCGGAACTTCAAAGCAAGTGAGTACTAGTTCTTGCTGGTGATTATACTGGTTACCGTGCATTAGTACATGGTCATATATTCCAATGTATGGTGTATATGATGATATATGATGCATTGATCGCAAAATCTTCTTCTCGCCGCTGATCTCCGTTATTATAAGTGCGAACCTAATGCGAAAAGCACTCCAGTGTTGCTCTTGGGTCAACTGTAAGGCCACGGCCCACGTCATGGGGTATAATTCATAAATCATTCGCGTTACCGTTAACGTTTGGGTCTAATTACTTGTTTTGGCTCGATCTACATTTTCAGTAGATGTACTTACTCCGAGTCGGCGATATCGGTATGTCTTTGCACTTCGGTGGCTCGGTACACAGTTTACTCCGATGTTGCCGGTAACTCACACATTATTATACGCTACTTGTGTGGTATATGGCTTGAACTTGAACCGACTCAGTGGGAAGTTCCGGGCTTAATCAATTACTTAATCATTAGCAGTCACGGTGTAACTTAACTGACTACTTACTTCTTGCACTTGTCCACCACCTGGGTCAACCGAATATCGACGATCAATCTCCAGTGGACTTCCAGTTCTCAGGACAAGACTTTTCAATCAAGTGCTCGCACATGACGTATGTACAACACAAGTTGGAACCATGATCGTGTGATTCATTTTGACCTAGGTCTGTGGATTCCCCAGGGCCATAGGAGTCCGAGACTGGCGTGCGTCGCTACGGGGTAATATTCGCAATGTGCCTTCGTGGTCGATGGATTGACTCTGTAGTCATGCAACCTTCGGCAAAAAATTCTTACTTGCATAAATGAACAATCGGATCGTGTGTAAACAGCCTACGTGCTCCAGAAAATGGCGAGCTTCGTCACTGCTTCATCTTTCTCCATACCATCATTCTATTCCATGGTTTCGGGCCGAGTTGGCAAATGGCCTCAAACGGCGTCAGTTCAACGATTCGATTACTGGCAGGCCCCGGACAACCAGGGACAAGTTACAACCGCTCTCCTCAGCAACGCTTGCTACACCAACCTGATACTGACGTTCTGCCGAGGTGTATTATTAATGGGCGAGCGTTTCTACGGAAATGAACGTGAGGTAAGTCAATGAACTAATGGATCATGGATAAACAGGCGATTTGTAAATTTCTGCCGCCTTGGATCAAAAACAACCTTCTTGTCATTGTTATTTGATCAGGAAGTCGAATCTATGCACTCGTGATAACTCGGATCGCCACTATTTCGTCATCGCTTTTTGAGAGGGGACGTTTCATACGTAGTTAAGGTGCCCAATATTCGCGTTCGCCAGTGCATATATAATGGATCACTGACTCAGAGTATGATGTAACTTTCGAGTCAGTCATGTTCCCCGCTGCATCCTTGTTGACAATCATCTTCCTGGCTCTGTCAATTGCGGGATCGCCCGTTGAAATCGACAATTCCCCCATCACCCTCCCCATTGCCAGGAGGCTAAATGTCTCCAATGGTCTCATTAACCTCTTGCAACGGGATAAAGCTCGTGTGACTGCCCTCAAGGACAACTCCTTCAGCACGCAGGGCGGCCGTACTGGTAGCACTCCTGTGACCGACATTGTTCTAACATACCTCATAGCAGTTGGCATCGGCAGCCCCGCCACAACCTGTAAGTTCAGCACTGAAAAAACGCGCGGCTGCTAATGTAATATTACAGACAACTTGATTGTCGACACTGGCAGCTCGAACACATGGGTTGGTGCCAAGACCAAATACGTAAAGACCAGCACCAGCGTCGACACTGGCGAGCCTGTAGCGGTCGGCTACGGTTCTGGCTCCTTCTCTGGTATGACATACAAATATATCATAAGTTGAAAATACCTACGAATATCTTCAGGAACGGAGTACACCGACACCATCACTCTCGGCACTGGGCTGACCATCACTGCGCAGTCGATCGGTGTTGCTTCTACCTCGACGGGTTTCACCGCTGTTGACGGTATCCTTGGCATCGGGCCTTTAGACTTGACAAATGATACTCTGATAAATGAACCGACCAAGACGATCCCGACTGTCACTGACAATCTGTATAGTCAAGGCACCATTTCTCAAAAGGTGGTTAGTATCTCTTTCGAGCCCACCACTGAGAAGACAGTCACCAATGGAGAGCTCACCTTCGGTGGAACTGATACTACCAAGTACACCGGCTCCATCGCGTACACGTAAGCTGCCTCAGCTCCTAGATCAATCCAGGCTGATAGTAATTGTTTTGTTTTAGTCCTATCACTACCACCTACCCTTCATCGACCTATTGGGGGATCAACCAGAGCATCTCCTACGGCTCCACGACGATCCTGTCTTCCACGGCTGGTATCGTCGATACTGGAACCACCTTTGTTTACATTGCTAGCGGTATGTATCTAGAATGCAGCGAGTGATCATGGTCTAATCAGCGTTCATAGATGCCTACGCCAAGTACAAGTCTGCAACCGGTGGTACCCTGGATGCAGCGACTGGTCTTCTCCTCATTTCCTCTTCCCAGTACAAAGCCCTGAAGAACTTGAACTTCCATATTGGCACCGTACGCCATTTCTGTCAGCCCTCGTGCCCCTTGTTTACCATTTGCACAGGAAACCTACGCTCTCACACCCAACGCCCAAATTTGGCCTCGTTCTCTCAACTCTTACGTTGGTGGTAGTAGCAACGCCATATATCTCATGGTTAGTGACATTGGTACGCCCAGTGGCGCAGGGTTTGACTTTGTCAACGGCTACACATTCCTCGAGCGCTTCTACTCTGTGTACGACACCGCCAACTCCCGTGTCGGTTTTGCTGAAACCTCGTACACTGATGCCACTACCAACTAAAATAGAATCACCAAAGTACACAAAGGATCGATTTTCAGACGCAAAACAGCATGCGGATTTAATATTTAATGCCTGTACGGAGCTTTCTCAAGTAGGCTATGGAGGTCTTATTCCTCGATCGGGTTTGCGTATCATTTATTAGCCATAGTACTAGACTACTAATATCATATTTACTTGTGATCTTGATCTTCGCACTTCACTAGCAGCAGCTCGGTACACAATCAGATCTCCGATGTCTTGCCAATAACTCACATGAAATAAAATGAGAGTAACATTATTATTAAGGTTGAATGCTACTTCAAGGGACTTATCTGGCGTGAAAACCGACTCGGAAGTTCAACTTGTTACTTATTTAATCAACGGCACGGGTGTAAACTGAATTCTTAATGGTTATACCTTACTTCTTGTCCACCACCTGGGTCAAACGAATATCTACCAGTAGACTTCCAGTTCCCAGCACAAGGCTCTTCGATGAAGTGTTCGCACATGGCGTATGTACAACACAAGTCACAACCGTGATCGCGTCATTCATTTTGTGACTTCTTGACCCTTAGACGATAACTTACCTGTAGGTGGCCATGCATCACATATAGGCCTGTGGATTCCCCATACGAGTCTGAGACTGGTGTGCGTCGCTACGGGATAACATTCGCAGTGTGTCTTCATGCCGGTCGACTCTGTAGTCATGCAACCTCCAGCAAATTTTCCCCACTTGCACAAATGAACCATCGGACCGTGTGTAAACAGTCGACGTGCTTCAGAAAGTGGCAAGCTTCGTCACAGCTTCGTCTTTGTTGATACCACCATGGTCTCGGGCCGAGTCGAGTTGGCAAATGGCCTGAAATGGCGTCGGTTCAACAACTTTCCGATCACTAGCAGGCCTGGGACAGTCAGGGACAAGCCGCTCTCCTCAGCAACGCTTGCTACACCCTGATACTGATGTTCCACTGAGGTGTATTTCAATGGGCGAGCGTCTCTACGGAAATGAACGTGAGGTAAGTCAATGGACCGATGTACCATGGGTAAACAGGCGAATTGTATCCTGCCGCCTCTTGGATCAAAACAACATTGTCATTGTTATTTGCACTTGCGATAACTCGGACCGCCACTGTTTTGCTGTCGCTTTTTGAGACGGGATGTTTCATACGTAGCCATTCGCATTCGCCAGTGTATATATAATGAACCACTGAGTATGATATAACTTTCGAGTCAGTCATCATTCATGTTCCCCGCTGCATCCTTGTTGACAATCATCTTCCTGGCTTTGTCAATCGCGGGATCGCCCGTTGAAATCGACAATTCCCCCATTACCCTCCCCATTGCCAGGAGGCTAAACGTCTCCGATGGTCCCATTAACCTCTTGCAACAGGATAAAGCTCGCGTGACTGCCCTCAAGGACAACTCCTTCAGCACGCAGGGCGGCCGTACTGGTAGCACTCCTGTGACCAACGCTGTTGCAACATACCTCATAGCAGTTGGCATCGGCAGCCCCGCCACAACCTGTAAGTTCAGCACTGAAAAAACGCGCGGCTGCTAATGTAATATTACAGACAACTTGATTGTCGACACTGGCAGCTCGAACACATGGGTTGGTGCCAAGACCAAATACGTAAAGACCAGCACCAGCGTCGACACTGGCGAGCCTGTAGCGGTCGGCTACGGTTCTGGCTCCTTCTCTGGTATGACATACAAATATATCATAAGTTGAAAATACCTACGAATATCTTTAGGAACGGAGTACACCGACACCATCACTCTCGGCACTGGGCTGACCATCACTGCGCAGTCGATCGGTGTTGCTTCTACTTCGACGGGCTTAACTGGTACTAGTATTGACGGTCTCCTTGGCATCGGGCCTGTAGACTTGACAAAGGGTTCCCTTAAAAATAAACCGACGACGACGATCCCGACTGTCACTGACAATCTGTATAGTCAAGGCACCATTTCTCAAAAGGTAGTTAGTATCTCTTTCGAGCCCACCACTGAGAAGACAGTCACCAATGGAGAGCTCACCTTCGGTGGAACTGATGCTACCAAGTACACCGGCTCCATCGCGTACATGTAAGCTGCCTTAGCTCCTAGATCAATCCAGGCTGATAGTAATTGTTTTGTTTCAGTCCTATCACTACCACCTACCCTTCATCGACCTATTGGGGTATCAACCAGAGCATCTCCTACGGCTCCACGACGATCTTGGCCTCCACGGCTGGTGTCGTCGATACAGGAACCACCTACATTTACATTGCCAGCGGTGTGTATCTAGAATGCAGCAAGTAATCATAGTCTAATCAGCGTTCATAGATGCATACGCCAAGTACCAGTCTGCAACCGGTGCTACTCATGATGCGGCGACTGGTCTTCTCCTCATTTCCTCTTCTCAGTACAAAGCCCTGAAGAACTTGAACTTCCATATTGGCACCGTACGCCATTTCTATCAGCCCTCACACCCCTTGTTTACCATTTGCACAGGAAACCTACGCTCTCACACCTAACGCCCAAATTTGGCCTCGTTCTCTCAACGCCTACATTGGTGGTAGTAGCAACGCCATGTATCTCATCGTTTGTGACATTGGTACGCCCAGTGGCTCAGGGTCTGACTTTGTCAACGGCTACACATTCCTCGAACGCTTCTACTCTGTGTTCGATACCGCCAACTCCCGTATTGGTTTTGCTGAAACCTCGTACACTGATGCCACTACCAACTAAAATAGAATCACCGAACGACACAAAAGATCGATTTTCAGACGCAAGGCGGCATACGGATTTGATGGCTGTATGGAGCAGCCTGTGTAGGTCTTATTTCTCGGTCCGGTTTGCGTACGATTAGCAATAGTATCACATCTGCTAGGACATTTAAAATGGTGAAATGCTCCTCTGTTTAGTATGCTTCTGGTACTACTATACACCTGATGTACATCCCAGAGCATGCTACGATCCTCTTCGCAGCTCTTAGAACTATCACCCTCCCACAATATTGTACAGCTTATCAGCTTCTCCTGCCAGTGACGGACAGGTGTGCAGTGCTGTGTCAAGAGCGATTTTACGCTGTTGCCACGCCAGCGTTTAACCAAGTGCGAGATAGCCAAAATCAAGATGCTGAAACCACGTTAGCAAACGGGCACGAAACAGGGGCATATATGTGGATGCAAAATGGTGTTGCCGGAAGAGACGACACGAAAGAAGGAAAGGGGCGAGTTTTGGGATGAAGTATTTGAGTTTGCAGGAAGAGCTTGGAAAAAAGGGGTGGAAGACATACTTTTTGACGCTGTGAAACCTGGCAGGGTCACACCGGTAAGAACGGACGCGCTTTTCAGTTTGAAAAGAGGGTATCTTTGCGGAGTCAAAGGTGCATCATCGATGCCTGAAAAAATACAAATGATTCGGACGAGTTGCAAGAGCGAGAGGTCTTAAGAGGAGGACATGTGGGAAATGGACAGTCTGCATGAAGTCTGCGCAGGGTCCAAACTCAGCGCTCAGCGCCAAAGTTCGGGACGTCTGGAGACATGCCTGTGATCGGCAGGTTCCGGGTGGTCAATCATAATCTGTCTGCATCATCGCAACCACCCTGCCGTCTACGTCAACCACGATTGGCACACATCCCGCCATCTATGTCAACCGTCATGCTGATATCGTCATCTTTGTCAACTTGCCGTCACGGTTCTAGTCACCTGGAGGGAGGACATAGCAGTCATAGACTGGGAGCTGCAGACAAACAGGAAATAGGCAAACACATAGGAAGTAGTAGTAGACAAACAGGCAAGCGTGAGTGACTCGCAGGGATCAGAAGAGATGGAGGTGAAGATCCTGATGGCAGGCAGGTGGGATGGAGGTTGGGTGGGATGATATATGCGGCGCCCTGGAGTGACAGACTCCCCGGCACTTTCGGAATCCGAACAGCTCACTGACAGGGTACAGGAATCCTGATGCATCCCAGCTATTCGGCCAAGGCATTGCATGAGGATTGACAGAAATCTACAGAAATCCGTTTGCAAACCCTTGCGGAAGGTTACCGGTTACCACTGGCTCTTTGACGGTGACGCTGGGGAGCTTGTATCTTATTTCTGTCCATAGTGGAGTGAGATAACTTGTCAAGGGTTTGCCCACAAATATTAGGTAGATCATTTGAGTTGCCGACGTTACTGGCCGCGGCGCGAGGGGAACATTCAAAGACTCCGCACCTCGGAAAGCTCATAACATTATGTATCTTTACAACTTGCAAGAAGGAAAGTGAGGTCAGAAGACTCAGAAAGCATCAGAAAAGATATGCATATCTACAATAGACCGCCCGGAAGTTGCTCCGCAGGTGGTCTAAGAAACGAAGTCAACGCTCGATTAGTCTGTCTCTTCGTCCCAGCGCCCAGGGAAAGGCGGCGTACTGCCCTGAGGCTCGTTGGACATGCCCGCGCGACGTGCTCCTCTTGAACCTGAATTTCCTCTTGAACCTGAATTCCTACCCGAACTGCCACCCGCTCTCGAGCCACCCATGCTTCCAAAAAATGAATGGAACAATCCTCCACCACTGCGACCCGAGTTCCCAGGCGATCGTGGACGTGGTGGAGCTGATGGTGGGCTTGTTGGGCGGCTATTGGGTCCGTTTCCTGGTCCCGGGGGGCTACCTGGTGAGCGCGGCCGTTGTGCTTGTTCTATAAGAGCATACCTTTTACTCAGCGTAAGATGATGTGGAAATGGACATGAAAAAATGACCCACCGGCAAACAGGACACGTTCCGCTAGATTTTAACCATGGCAATATACAAGGCTGGTGAAATGGGTGCTTGCATGGAAGAGTTACAATTACTTGCTCTTCCGGGTCTTCGGTTCCCAGTTGGAACTGTTCTTTACATACGGCGCAATCTTTATCCAGTAGTGGAGCTAACGATACATGAAAGTGAGCAGCGGGTGGAGGATACGATTGACAATGACAAACATCGTTCCAAAAGAATTTCTCGTGGGAGATTGTTAATGATGTCGTCTGTTGCTGGAATAGGCCGTGATGCGGAGTTTTCCATTATCTGCGTTATTACTTGGTCCAATGCTACCCAATTATCGTCAGGCTTTGTAAAACGTTTCAAAGAGATACACACCCTCTTGATTGAAAACATAGTCACCCCAGCGTCCACCCGGTCCTCCTTCAGGACCAAGGGAGAACATTTCAGCAAAAGGGTCTGCGCCTCTACCGGTGGGTCCCTGTCCCAATAAAGCCAATAAGTATTGGGCCATCATTGGGCCAGTGATGTCTCCGGGTCGTTGACCATTTTGATTATCACGACGCAGGAACCTATACCAAAATGTGCATATAAGATTTCGAGATGATCACAATGGACGTACTCGGACATGTTGGGAATTTCACCATCGCGCTGCTCCGGAGAGCGCGGACGATTAAGGGCGTTGGGACCAAGAAACACGGTCCTTGTGGCACCCTGACTAGGTCCAGTACTATGAAACTCAAGACGAATACCAGCCTGATCGTATTGTGAGCTTTCTTGCAGCGTGTATAGAAGATGACAGACCGGTACTGCCTCGGGGCTACGAGGGAAGGTAGGTGAGCGAGGTCGAGGACTTCCTGTCAATGCAGCTGTGGGTGTTTCCTTCCATGTAAGGTCTTACTGCACGCATGCGTGAACGCGCACCTAGCAAGCCACCTAAATTCGGAGGAATTTCGTCATCGAAGCCTCCTCTCGGAACGTGTTGCTGATATGCCCGAGGATCATCGCTCGGATCCTCTATCTGTAGAAGATTATGATACATCGTTATCATCAAGTACGAAGATCGGGGTGCGCACCTTCTCGACGAACGTGCCCTGACATGATGCACAAATTGGATCCGGTTGCTAATAGATCACATTGTCATACGTTAACATCGGAAGTCAGCTGAGGATCTGCTAACCATGAGTGGTCTCATCTCAGCATGACACTATTGCAATGTTATATTAGTATAACCTGACGTGCAAGTTATTATCAGGGGACAAACTTCGTGACAATACCACATGGGCTCTCTGGAAGACATGGTAGCAAAAGCCTGAGCTTGAGCGCTGAGCAAGTGGATGGGTGGTGGCAATGTAATACAGGTTTCGGAGCAGTGTTGTAATGACGCCACAGCGTGCCACAGCCCGCCAGCGACCCGGGGAATCCGCCCAATGTGGTACAGAAAGTCGGCGGAGTTTCTAGTTTCTTCTCTCACGCCGACCCTCACGAGAACAATGACCACAAGGTGAGCCTGGTACCATTCTCTTAAATTATGATGAACATTCTGGTTCCCTATTATACGAATGCTCTTTTTCGAAGAGACATGAGATCAATACCGGGTTTTCCTGAGCGTTCCAGCCGTGATTTGGATTAACTCGAATCGACTCAAATCCTATCTTTTGCTCAGGTTAATCACGCTGTCGTCCCAAACAAGATTCCCGTAACCCGGAAGAAATTCATATGCAATCGATGAATATACTAGTGATAGTGTACGGTCCTAACGTTCCATCGAAGCAAACAATTGTGGCCAATCTGCACTCTTTCGACACATCTCTCGGAAAGCCCCTCCAACCTTCGCCAAAAGTACTTTTGGCTCATCAAACTCAACGATCTCCCCAGCATCTAACACTAAAATGCGATCATAATCGATGATCGTCTTGAGGCGATGCGCGATAGTAATAATAAGCGCACCGGAAAGTTCTTCACGAATTGTCGTTTGGATCTATAGGCACACATTAGTGAGACACAGGACTGGAGTAACATGTCAACTAACCTGGTCATCCAAACGCGAATCTATCTGAGACGTTGCTTCATCCATAATGATGATATTGGTTTTTCGCAGAACTGCCCGAGCGAGTGCAACCAGTTGCCTTTCTCCTGCGCTGAGCGAGCCACCTTGGCTTATCGGCATCTCAAGTGTGAAGCCACCTTTTTCAATCGCCCGACTGAGCAACCTTGTTAAATGACATCGCTCGAGCACATCCCAGCACTCCTGGTCGGTATGCTCCTCGAATGGGTCCAAGTTGCTTCTGAGTGTACCAGAAAACAACTGAAACGTCCTGACTAACAATGGTCTGGGGACAAATCAGCAATTTCCTCAAGGGACTAAATAATCGACCCACTATCCTTGACCGAAGATCTTCTAAACCAATTGTTGAGATATCTATTCCGTCAATGCTACAAAAGTGGTCAGACGCTAGGAACAAGGAGCAAGACATCGACAATAACATACACTTATTCTTCCAGCGCTAGCCTCTATCATACGCAGCAAGGACAAAGCCAAGCTTGATTTCCCGGAGCCCGTCCGTCCGACCTGTCGATAATAATGATCAATTGTGAATGCTAGATGTTCCAAGGATATGCGACAAACCACCCCAATTTTTTCAGACGGTTGAACAACAAATGATATATTTTTGAGCACGTCCGGTAGGTCAGGGCTGTACCTGACAACAAGGTTCTCGACAACCAACTGACCGTCGCTTGATGGCCAGTATGCTGGAGGTCTGCTCTTCTCGATAATAGCAGGTGCCTCCTGTGGTACACCAAGATACTCAACCACACGTTCGACCGCATTAAAGTCAAGCTCCAGCTGGGCAAGAACTCGCACTAGTTGGCGAGATGCCTCAGCAAAGATTCCAGCTTGCACGATGACAATTGCAGAAGACCCATTGGAAACTCCTTGCGAAAGAGCGAAGAGAGTCGTGAGATACACCACAACTGAGCCGAGACCTGCAAGGCGTTTGAGTCAAACATGATGAAAGATACAAGCCACATACAGTCATATCTCCAGCGGAGCCAGCCGTTGACAAGCCACTGGCGAAGGGGTTAGTGCGAAACATTGCAGGGTGAGAAGTGCATCTTACGTATACGTGGTCGTACGATTGAAATTTATCTACTTTTTCATAGAATTTATCTTGGTATCTTGACTCCATTGCAAATGCACGAACGTGTGACAAGCCACGTAGAAGCTCATCGAAACCGGCGAATGCAGGCGACAAGGCGACGCTCTCAAGGCGACGTAGGTCTCGTTGAGCTTGTACAAATCGAGGAGCAATGCGGATATATAACCATGCTATCACCAACGCTAAAGGCGCGAACGCGGGTATAACCACAATTATGACAGTGAAGGAAGCCAAAAAATTAAGGACGCCGGATAATGCGGCGCGAGCAGAAGTTTGCAGAGCTCCGTCAATAGTGTTGATGTCTGTCGTAAAACGGTTAAGAATCCTCCCGATGGGTGTGGTATCAAAGAACCGGGCCGGTGCTCTCGTAAGCCTTTGGAGTAGTCTGAGGAACAGGGAGCGGGAGGCCTGGAGACTTGCGTAATAGCCCAACGAGATGTAAGCCAGTACTGAAAATGCCCCTGCGATAGAGATATAGAGGTAAATCAAAAGCCATGGCTTGACATTGACATCAGGAGGGGGTAAGTCATCCCAAGGATATTTGACATTTGGAAGGAAAACCGAAGCGGAGACGTCGTAAGATTCACCCCATTTGGCCAAGAACACCTTGAAAAAATTGGCAACATGTTTGGAGTCAAGACCTGCAACCGCACCTGATTCCCGATGTTAATCATGCGGATCATGAGCATCAAGACAAGAGTCAATGCCCAGGACATTAAACCTGCTGCCTTGATATAAACCCAATACGTTCTGAAAGGCACCCGGCCTTCCGCTCGAACTTCCGCTTCCACTAGTTTTTTAGCAGTTTGAGACGGCCGCTGCATTGGAAGAACATCTTTGGACATGTTGTCATCTGGGGTTTGAATTCCCGAAGTAGCGACTTCTGTTTCTTCATCGTCAACTTCGTTAAGAGCATCAAACTCTCCGATATCCTGGAACTCCTCTTTATCGCCAGCACGGGCAATGCTGCCGCGAGACAGCTCAACCACGTAAGATGCAATCGGTAAACATAAACTGATATGGTGGGTTACTAGGATAATTGTCCGATCGCGAGCCAGTTCCCCAGACAAACAGTGCTGCACGATGTGTTGTGCAGTATGCATATCGACCGCGGCAAGTCTGAAGAACATTCAGAAAAAATAGTGACCTTGACCAGAAAATGCCTACGGATCATCAAGAAGGATGCACTATCCAGTAATGAGGTCGGTTAAGATAATGGAACAATAGATTGGCAGAAAGCTCACATTAGCTTCCGAGTACATAGCGCGTGCCAAGGCAACACGAGCTCTCTGTCCACCAGATAGCGTGATGCCTTTCTCGCCGATTTCTGGGGTTCAAAGTAATGTCTTAGCAATGATGGATGGATAAGAGAACTCTTACCAGTCATGTCGCCAGCTTCGAATACAGCAAGATCACGTTCAAGAGCACATGCCTCGACGACTGCGTGGTATCGCGCCTCATCGAAGCCGAGCTTGGAGCCAAAAATGATGTTGTCCCTTATGGTTGCGTGTTCAAGCCCTGCATAACAATTTGAGTGAGCGACTAAGTTGGACTATGATGACATCACTTGCAAGGAGTTTGGGCGCAGTAAGCCACTTGATGCCTCCTCTTGTTTATGGATACATCACCGGACAAACAATGCATTTCTAGAATGAACACATCTAAGGGCCGACTTCTGGCCGCAAAGGATGCACTGACCGCCAAGTAACGCTGTAAGCATGGCACTTTTCCCAGCACCAGTCGCGCCACTGATAAGGCTCAGCTGGCCTTTCGGAAACTTGATGTTCAGAGGTCCAAGTTGGAAGTGAGTTTCAGTCATCGATTCTTTGTGAACTCCGTGCCATTCAAAGGTCGCATTATTAAAGCCGATGTCCGAGAAATCCGCTTCAGAGCCGGTATCCACTGTCGACAGAGATAAAGCCCATTCAGGAACCTCTTGCTCCGCAAGGAGCCCCTCAATACGCTGCATCGATACGTAAGCTATGAAAGATAAGAATTGCATATCCAGTTGTAGTGTCGCATGACAAACCGTGAAGCATTGCAAAGAATTGTCCAGGAAGAGCGGTCATCGGTTCCTGTAGCTGTGAGAACAGAGCGACTGCGGTAAATGCCTTGGATACCGTCAGCTGCTCTTGTTCGCCCAAAGTGTACCAAGAGAATGTCGCAAGGGCTGTCGCTGAAGGTATCCACGTCCTATAAGTTGTCGTGAGTACGCGCGAAGTCTGGACAACGAACAGCTTACCATATGAAAGAGATGATAGTGTCGACAACATTCTCTTTAACCCGCCAGTCGAGTTCCTCTTCTCGTGCCTGATGAGCAGTGCGAGACCACTGATTTTCTATGAAACGCTAGTCAAGTAGAATTATGTGTCAGCTTCTGCTCACCCACCCCAACCATAAAACTTCAAAAATCTGATATTCTGAAGTAGTTCGTTTACGACATTCATCCTTTTGTCCTTGGCCTTCCATGATGCTCGGGTAATCTGTGTCACATTAGCCAGGAGAATAAAACGATCGAGAATCCAAACCTTGATGTTGTATGTCGCCAATGGGTAGTTCAGAATATAGGCAAAAAGAATCACAGCGACGCCTGACATTGCACTCCATCCCAATATCCTAAGGTATTACTTAGCTTGATATCTCAGAGGAACTGTGACATACTTGTAGAGGAAGACTAGCGCTATCACGAGCCGTAGAGGAGACGAGAAGATTGCGGCAAAATCCCAAAATCGTTGAGCGACAGCATACGCATCGCCTCTTTAGGGTGGATTGAGTTATTCACAGGAGACTATAACCCTGAGGAAAACGCACTGCATGAGATTCACGATTTTTCCAAGGTCAGCACTTCCTTCTTCGTCGCTAGAAGTTTTTCCGCTGATATCCCTGCGGCGCAGTGCTTTATAGTGCAAAGCACAGAAGAGTTGGCCGCGAGTTCGTTCGTAACATCTGCGAGTATGCCAATTTTTGAAGAGATCGACTTGCGCAAAAGACAGATGTGCTACAAATGTAAGGAAGGCCCAGTATTTGGCATTCGCTACCGACTCGGGAGTAGGATTATCTAACGACGATAGAATCATCCGGAGTGCGTAAGCCGGCACGAACCCTGCGGATAAATATGACATTACTCTACCCGGACCGGTCTATATCTGAGCATAATACACGCACCGACAACGGCGCCCCACATTTCCAATGCAAGGTCCAAGATTAGATCGAGGGAGTTAGATACCAACAAAAAGCGCAGTAGAGAATGCGTCGGATAGCTAGCTGCGTATAAGAGACTGACCTAAGTAGAAGACAGTGTTTGCCTACCGTGAACGGTAACGGAGGCATTTGTTGAACAAGTTCTTGTGTCGGAAAAACGGCGACAAGGACCAGACATCGGCATCATTCAATGTTCGCTTCCACGCCAGGTCCAATATGGGTTCTACAAATGATACGGTACACCATGACCAAAGGTTTGCGTCATCTTCGGGAGAGGAAAGATTGGATGACGGAATCTAGTCCGCAGGGTCAGTATATGGGTGGGGGACATAGTTGAACGAACAAACGTTGGTTGAGCTGGCAACGTTGAGCGCGGGTCGCACAGCCTGCAGTGGCAAAAGGCCAGCCATGTAGATGAAGGTTGCTGAAGATATTGTCCGAATTAGAATGGCGATCATGGGACCGGCAGCATAATCCGGCAATGAAAAGTAGTAAATGCAGGCAGCAGCAATTTGCGAAACTGCAAGTAGAATAAGCATATACGGAGGGGTAGACGGTGCTCTCAACAGGAGTCTTAGGGTTGCATAAAACTGCCACGACAAATCACAACGTGAATTTGACGTGTAATAAAATATTGAACAATCCTACCCATGCAATTGATGCCACTAAGGCGTTGGTCCAGGGTTCCTGCAAGACGATGATATACCCAAAATACGCAAGCCAGCTAAACGAGGAAACGAGTGCGATAGAAACAAGCGCTCGAATTATCCAAATCTGTTGGGGAAAGTCATCGTCGAAGGGACCCTCGACATCGTCTAAAGTGATAAAGTTACGAAAAGGTGCGCTCAGCGCATTCCAAGTAACTTGGATAATTTTTGGAAGCTGCCTGCGCGCTAGGAAGTCGATAAGGATTGCTAGGATAGTGATAACAGCGGGACACCAGGTTCCAAACGGAACGTTATGAAGTTGCCCGCTGAACCAGGGTTCCTGTAGAGGGATCAGCACAGTTGAGGGAGGATAATAAATACCTACCTGAGCAGAGTGCATAATTCTTAACCACGAAGCAAAGGTCAAACGCCTTAAAAGTCGCGGATTCAGAAGAAGTTGCCGCCGATCGTGTAAGGAATTCAAGCTTTAGAAGATGAACAATTACGTTATTTCTCACGGAAGCTGAAACAGGTTTGCATCACTCCTAGTAGATACATTTTAATATTATAATTTGTTATTGTAAAACTGATTTCTTAGCCACGTGACCGAGGACGCGAACATACGTTTTACATAAACCTTGTCCTGTAGTCACTCTAGCAGTCTATAATCTCCATGAGGTACCAGCACCCTCTTTTACTTCTAATCCAGATCTATGGAGCAATCGCGATTGCACTGCCAGAGATAACAACTGCGGATTATGGCTCAAGCGTGCATTCCGGAAGAGACTTACTCGGTATGCTCGCAGGCACTGCTGGCAGTGGTACAGACTCGCCTGCAACATCAGACACGTTCCATCTTAGCTCACCTTCATCTCCTATACATCCTGCTTTGAAAGATCTAGGAGGCTTGTTCACAGATCCGGTACTCCCCACGGCATCCTCATTGGGAAAGGTTGACCTAGCGACTCCCACAAACCTCGGTGTTACGTCGTCCGCAGGCTCTCTAAACCCATCTCCGGGACAGATAACATCTACATCCACCACAAGGCCGGCGAGTTATCCAAATCCCTCATCAGCCGCCATGTCCGAAAACGCGTCCGCTGACAACAAGACCTGGAAAATCATTGGGATCGTCTTCATCGCAATCTTGATCATAGCAATAGCGATTACATCCAGCATATGCTTCGATCGATGGTGGAAGATTACACAGGAGATCTTGTGCTGCAAGGGTCGAAGGGACAGTGGCATCGAACAGTTCGTCCCTGACTGGGAGAAGCAGACCTGGGAAGTCAAACTAGGATCAGAAGACCGTGATTATAGACAGCGAGCATCGTTTATGTCTTTTCGGTCTGATACGGGCCCACATCATGTGAAGGAGAGAGATATCCATACGATGAGAAACTCCGCGGACCACACTATCCCTACCCTGCCAGTCGCGGTGCCACCTCCGTTACTCAGAGTCGTCTCTCCATCAGACACTCGAGAGCTTCCTTGGGATGCCGATAATCTCCATAAGTGCGCTCTCCACCGTCAGCTTTCCGCACGCAGCGGTCGCCACGGACTCGGAGACACATAGAGCGTGGAATTTGCCTGTAGCTCCCTCATACCACACCCTGCCCTAATACTACCCCAGTTTCTTTCCCAACAAGCAATTAATTTCAATTCGCGCCACGATTAGCGACTATCACATTCAATATCCACCCAATCGTTTTGTATGACTGTTCATGCTGTACCTGCCGCGTTCCGGGACGGTGGGGACGCGACATGGGTAGGCGGGGTCCTTGGCGACGCCACTGGGTACTTCTTTTCCAAATAGTCGGACACATAAATTCCTACTGCGCCCACCGAGCACACAGCCATTGAGATGTATAGTCGAGTTCGGGCCGGAAGAGCTTGAGAGAGTTGTCTGAGCAGACCTACGTAGGATTAAGGAAATTAGTCTACACACCTTTGTATGATTGCCACAGTGATCTAGCAACCACTGGCTCAGCAGATGGCGGTGATCGTTTGGAAGTCATCACAATATGATTGTCTGGAGAGACAGCGACTCTAGACAAAAGCGAAAAAAAAGTTTGCCTACAAACTTTTGAATACGAGGAATTGGACGAGTTTGGTAATCGTCAGCCTTCTTAGGTCAGAACTATATTATCACTCAGGCATGTTTACTGGTCTGGCAAGTACTACAATTCTATGCAGCTACTCGTTCCCTGTAACTTGACTTCAGATTGAACACCTTGGAACAGTGTCTGCTATCCACCGGGATGATGGCGGTTGTGCTTTAACCATATCGCAGTCAGCACCTATCTTAGTGGACTGTCATATCGGTGACTCCATAGCCGTCAATGGTGCCTGTTTGACAGTTGTCGAATTCGATGTCGAGCATGATGGGGGTTATTTCAAGATATGGCTAGCCAACGAGACCCTCAGCAGGACTGATCTGGGTGAGTGACCAGCGGCAAACTAATGCAGTCGCTCATAGGTAATCGAGGCGATCGCAAGGTCGGTGATCAGGTGAACCTTGAGCGCGCTATGGGTGCCCATGTTCGATTCGGTGGTCACTTCGTGCAGGTGCGTTCCTTCTGACGATGTACAGATCATCATTAACGAGTCATTTCTCATATCAGGCTCATGTTGATATAACTGCAACTATTCTCAAGAGAACTCTTGATGGTGATTCGTTGCGTCTTTGGTTCCAACTTCCCGAATCAACCGCAGAAAGACCTTCTCTTCTTCCTTATATCATCCCCAAGGGTTATGTCACCATAGACGGTGCTTCCCTAACCGTTACTTCTGTCGATGATGCCGAAAGGACCTTCGGTGTTATGCTTATCCAACATACGCAGCAGAAGATCACCTTGGCAAAAAAGGCCAATGGCGAGAGAGTAAACATCGAGGTTGACATGGTGGGCAAGTATGTTGAAAAGAGCGTATTGGCTGCTCTGGAGGGTGGTGGTGGAGAAGCCATGCGGACCTTCGTCCAGAGAATTGTGGAGGAAACGCTCGTCAACAAGGGAATTCTACCTTTTGCTTCAGTCTCCAATGACAGTGGTAATATGTAGGTACTTAGACGAGGCTAGTATGTGCGTTATCTTTTGACTTTGAATGACCGCCAGTGTGGAAGCCAATTACCTTTTGATGCTCGGCTATAGCAAATACATCCGACAGTCAATGTCCGATAGACTATACTAGTGACTAACTATTTTGTGGATACCGGTCCAAGTGCTACTTAGTGGTTCATTCTTTCAAGTACAGTAACCATCATCTGCAAACTTCCAGCACGCGCGGTAAATCCTAAAAGGCCTGACAATCTACCAGGTTTATTTTCATCGCGCGTTTCATGAAGGAACCACCGTTTAATAGAAAAGTGAGCGTTGCACTCATATGCCGCGACAGTCCATGAAACTTACACAGTGAACAGATCACCGCGAAGCTCGACTATAACGGCGGTCATGCACCTCTTCGTTTTAATTCACCATCTAGACCAGCATCACCAACAAAGCAACCGGTGCAGTCATCTCTCTCACCGCCAGGCTTCCGTCCGACAGTCAAAGTCAGCTCAAATGCGACCAGCGCCCGGAGACTGTCAAGTTCGGTTTCATTGAATAACATCAACAAAGTAACACACTCTCGACCTGGGTCACCTTCGAAACCAGTCCGAAGTCCCGGTCCTCCCATAGTCACGAATCCCGTTAAAGCTCGCGTTACGGCGCGGCCTGCATCCAAGTCGACTACCACATCTCCCGTGTCCAGTACATCTCTAGAGTCGCGTCAGCGATCATCCACAACCGTTGTGTCAAAGCTACGACCTCCGCCCCGGCAAGACCGACCACGTAGCGATAGCGTTGCCCCACATCATGCACAGTCCACCTCAGCATTACGGGGAAATTCACCATCGCCCCGAACTCTACTATCTTCCGAACCTCCACTCGTACGCGTTGACCCAGACCGTGTATCGCCATCGGCTCCCATCAAGATTAAATCCAAGGTTTCTGGGTTAGCCAAATCTTACCATAGTACCGAAACAGATCCCGCTCGCTCGTTATCCCCACCGTGGGTTACCACCAGGCCTACTCATACAAGACCACCCATACCTTTACTTTCTTCAAGCCTCTCATTAAACGCGCCTCCAAGTCCTCCTAATTCGACTACGGTGCCAAATTTCTATCCCATAACGACCGCAGCTCCTGCTGCCAATCCCCATAGATATCCCTCGCCGCGACGCGGCCCCTCTCCTACACTCTATCCATATCAAACATTCACTCCACCTGAAAAATCTTCGAAAGCAGCCAGGCAGGTCCTGAAAGCTAAGGTCGACCCTGCTTCCATTCCTCTTCCTCCACATTCACCACCAATATCCGCATTATCTTTATCTTCAAAGTCGTCTATATCTAGAAGCTCATTGTCTATGGATCCCTCTCATGCAAGCGCGTCAACGCTCAACTCTCACATGAACAAGCGTTCGGATACTGAATCTGTTCGAGCCAATAATGGCCATTTCATTCAGAGCGACCATGATGACACAATTTCGCCTACAACCAGTGCTCGACAATCTAGCCAAGGTCGGGACAGCGACCTTAACTCTGAAAACTCAGAGCACAAGGCGAGGGCTGCAGCCAAGTCTGATCGAAAGGTCATACCCACTCCCCGTGTCATTAGTACTGAGCTAACTTGTACTTCAGATTGCCGACTTGGAAATAACGAATAAATCTCTGCTTCTTATCAACACATCACTTGAAACTACGAAGAACCGTCAAGCCAAAGAAATTCGAGACCTCAAACGGAAACTTCGTGAATCTCGACTTATTCTTCCCCCTAGAGCATTCAGGGCCGTCGAGTCCCTTGCCCATGAAGAAGAAGAGGAAGAAGAAGAAGGGGATGATGATGATAGTGAGGAGGGTGAGGACGGGCCTGACGAGGCTTACGCAAGGGTGAAGGATATGCTAGAGGGTCTCTTAGAATCAGGCAGGAAAGCCTTGGAAAAGACTCCCGACGATTTCCGGCAGCACCTCTCTGCCAAAGTCCTGAATGCCGATGAAGTACGCTCATGGAGAGATTCAGGGCAGGAATTTGACACTGTCCTTGATGACCACGGCAGAGGAGACAATGCGGAGATCCAGGTTACAGTCCACCTCTCTCCCTCACACGTTGCTGTGCCTGACATTGATGCTGATGACCTCTCGGAGGACGAGATCGAACGGCTAACCTTGGAACTAGATACGCCACCGCCTCCAATCAGGATTGATCATTTATAAGTTTATGGTGTCACGTTTATAACGCTCTACGTCCTGCTATGCTTCATTATGTAGACCTCGGAAATCATCTCTTGATACCCCACAAGCATTTCACTAACATCTCGCGTCCCTATCGCATTATCCAATATATTCCATCAAATCCTGGATTCCACGTTTCTAATTCCACGTTTCTAGTAAAAAGTCCTTGAAATGGTACTATTGTACGAAGTCAAATAATTCATTAGATCACTCATCGGCTATCTTCTGTGCACGCTTCGCGAGCTGGATGGTTATATACATTAGGTGTATTATCCTCAGGGCAGCTAATAGCACTTACCGCAGCAGCCAAGTCCATCTGACCAGCAGGTGCACTAGGTTTAGAGACCTTCGGTGGCGCAACGCCGGCACCTGGTCGCGGGGCTGTGGGTATAGGTGGTTTAGGAGATGGCTTGCCGCCGCTTGGCTTCGATGCGACAGGTGGTGGTACAGGTTTAGGTTTGGGGGCAACTGGAGGGGGTTTTACTCCTAATGAACTCGAAGGGCGGGAGCTTGCAGGCGTACTGCTCGATGACCCATTAGCTGACACAACTGCAGACTTCTTCCAGGGCACTGCGGAGCCATTTGATGGCGCAAGGCCAGGGAAAACAGCCACGGGCTTAGCCGACGCATCCGCTGCCAATGACTTCACAGACACGATCGAAACAGTTGGTTTTGAAGCTGAGGAAGCAGGGATAGGAGCGGCAGCGACTGCTAGCGGAGCTGAAGGTGGTGGTGGTGGTCGAGGTGGAGGGGAACGTGCGGCAGGCGCCGCTTTAGGTTTTGGCGGTATAAGTTCCAGGTAATTGTTTGGGGCCCAGCCCTCTTGCCCGTCCTTCCTTACAAGCCACCACCCATTCTCGTCCTTCTCTACCAGTTCCACGGTATCATCCTTCTTCAAAGATATCTCGCCTTCTTGACCCTCGAAAGCGAACTTTGCCTTGTATAACTCTGCCTCGGGCTCTTTGTGCGGCGGCGGCGGCGGTGGCGGCGGAACTGAAATAGGAGTAGAAGGCGCGGGGGCTGACTTAGGCGCCACCGGTGTTGGCCTGACGGCAGCAAATTGTGCAGATTTCCCTGGTAGTGGTTGGGCGGCTGGCTTCGGCCTGGAAGTCTTTCCCTTCTGGAATCGATCGTGAGAAGACAGAAATCACAATCACAAAACTCACATCTGAGGGGCCGCCAGCGCGAAGGAGCTTTCCTTGAGTGATGGGTCTAACAATACCAGGTTTTCTTCTTGCAGCAGGTCGAGAGGTACTCGATGAAGGTTCGCCAGACGGGACATGCACAGAGTGGCTCTTGTATACATCATCTTTTGCGATCGTCTCGTCTCTGACAAATTGGATCTGTGCCTTCTTGTCCTTCTTTTTCGCATATTCGATCCTTCCTAGCAAGTGAGACAAAGGTAAAGCGAGATAAATCAAACACGCACGACGGGCCAATCAAGACGCTGATACTAGCTTGCGTGAGCGTAAGAAGATTCGCGGTCAACTCCGTCTTGAAATAGCAGTGAAGAATCGGATCACCCTCTTCAGAGGCATTACAATTCAATGCCTGATATAGGGTTAGCGATACTCCAAGGACGGATAGGAGGACCAACCAGCCAATCATCCCTTAAATTAGACATCGATATACTTTTGATAGTTACCAAGGGAATTTTGCGTTCAAGCGAGATACCATCCTTCTGAGAAGTTGCAGCGATGTACACAGCTTTTGCAGTCTACCATGAGTCCATGACGCATGTCAGATGAAGCAATGTAATGAGGTACATTGATGCATACCACTACAAGGAAACGAGGGCTAGGTTTGCTGGACTGAAGCCATTTGGACACTAATATTTGCACTCTTGAGCTGAATGTGGCCTGCTCCGCTGTGCGACATGTGAGACGACAAAACAGCATAAAAGAACTAGAGGGCTCACTACCAAGACCACAGGCGGAGCGAAGGTCAGATCCAACGATGTTCTGGCCATTGACATCAAGATAGTCGCCCAGAAAACGGCGATAGCTGAGGAGACTGTAACGTCTGCGTTCTTTTCTTCCTGCCAATACGCGATGACCGTAGTCGCGGACTTTGGCATATTCAAGGGCTTCTTTGTTGTTCTTCCAGAACCTCTGAATGCGTCTAGCGCACTCATTCTTATAGCGCCAATAGTTTCTCCAGGCTCGCTGGATACGTGCTGCCATGTTATGCCAGTAACGATCACGCATAGTCTCTAAGGCAAATAGCTGTATTGACGATGTCAATTGAATTTTTTTGTGCTGTCGCATGGCGTACTCACTGTTTCGGGATTCTTGATAAAAGCCTTTGTAACCCCCATCTGCCATTCATCTTTGGCTATCCCCGTATCTTTGAGAATTTTTTCACAACCAGATTTCGCATCTCCCTGCCATGTATATTCACCAGCGTATGACGTTGAAGGCGACAAAAGGTAGAAGCGTTCCACCATTTTTTCGAAGGTGTTCCTATACGCAAATCCCGCGCGACGTACACGAATATTTTCCTGTAATCCAAGGTATTTGATTTGATGCAAGATGGCCTTTGTGTCATATTCAGTCGGGCTACGGTTCTGGTTTGGTTTGATTGTTCGGATATAAGAAGGCTGAGCTTTCATCAAATTATCCACCAGAGCACCTGCCGACGCCTTTCCAGGATATGAATGATCTGTTCTGGACCGATAAAAGAGTAATGTGAAATACCTTGATCCTATCACCAGCAGTCGGCGGTCTCTTCTTGCTTGAGGGATCGGGTCTGTCGGAGAACAATGTCTGAAGGAACTGGTTGCCGCTGCTACCAACCAAATCGAAAAGATCCTTCACTAGTGCGTCCTTGTTCTTGTCTGTCATGCCCGCGATGTTGTACATGACATCTCCGGCGTAGTGACGAACCAGAAACTGAGATCCCCGGGCTTCGAAGTGGGCATTGGAAGATAGCATGGCCGTACGCTGGACGAAACTGTTATCTGCCGCAGCTGGATCGGCATGCGCTGTTGCGCAAGCGTCGTTTAAAGCAGCGAATATTCCAGGGGGTTTGCGCTCTTCAATGAGGTCACAGACAATCTTGTTGTTGAAGTATTTGATGGGATTCCACTTAATCTGCTCCCTGACATACTCCTCCTGTTCAGTCTTGAGTGTTAATTCGATAAAAATCTGCTGAAGTTTCTCGTTGACATAGTTTATGCATAATTGCTCGAAAGAATTATCCTGCAGAGTTCTGTAAATGAGGCTGTTTGGTGCGCACAATATGATTATACCTCGAAAATTTCGAAACCAAAGATATCCTGTCAATACCTCAATTGGTGGCCAAATCAATAGTAAAAGCGTCACCTACCAGGATACCAATGACTTGCGCCGAGGCACTTCGAGCCTTCATCGACACATTGATTCTCGAAACAATCCACTCGAAGAGATTATTGTAAATCGCTTTTGCAAGTGCGTCCCTTCCAGCGGTTGCTTGTGCAGGATTCAGGGGAACGTCGTAAACAGAACCTCGTCGTCCCCCTCGCTGAGTTTCAACGACTCTTGACGTCAGAACCTTCTGAACCATCGCCGAATCTACTTCTATGAGGTACGCAATAAAATCTGTTATTCCAGTGTCAGAGATGGCCGAATTTCCATCATCCATCTCCTCAAATCTGACGTTCCCCAACCATAAAATGGCTGCGAGCATCCGAAAAATTTCGTTCTGCTCCTGATTACTGAGGCCAATGACTCCCATGGCGTTCTGACCATGTTTAAGTAATGATGTAGAACAATAGACCAATACTCACCAGGGTATCCGCATAGTCGTTTGAGTCGTCGATGCCCTGAACCTCGAGGCAATTGCTTCTGCTGATATATTCGTATGCATCTGGACCCTGTAACCCGAATTGCTCTACAAACAGTTATGAGATATCAGTATGGACAGACAGGCAAGACGCACCTCGCTGCTCATCTGAAGCAGCCTTTGTGAACTGATAGAAGATGTGGAAATTGCGCTCGTTCTCTAACTGCCCTACCACTCGGCCTTTCTCAAGGAGATAATTCGTTATCTGGGCCCCGATCGGCTCGCCGTGGGTATTGAACATGATCTCCAGATATTTACCCTGTGAGGCCATGAAATCAAGATCAAGGTACACATGTACAACAATCATTCACTTACATGACGACTTGAATTATTATTGCGAAGAGTCTTTGCACAACCAAAACTCTCCAATAGAGGATTGGTGGCCAATACCATTTCTTTTATCTCCTGTATACTGCTATCCTCCCCTCCTGATACAGCCGCGATGTATTGCATGATGCGTTTGGCAGCCTCGGTCTTTCCAGCACCAGACTCGCCGGATATAATGACGCATTGGTTTTCGTGGTATGCATTCATGTTATAGTATGCGGATTCTGCGATGCTGAATACATGTGGGGGAACTTCGAGTCGATTCTTGCCCTTGTACTTCTGAAGGGTTTCATCTGTATAGATTCCTAGATCTGAAGAGTATTTTACCCCAACGTTAGATAGCACATTTTGAACACATAAGGCCTCACCTTTAAAAGGGTTCACGGATATTAATACGCCGCCGATGTAAGTGTAGATCTCTCCGGCAGTCCAACGCTTCTGAAGGTTGTTGTTGATGTTATTCTCATCAATAGTTGTCAGAAGCGTCATATCGGATACTCCGGCTTGTTTCTTTTTAAATCCCTCTTTCCAATCTGCCTGTTTGTACCAATATCGCGGCCGTTCATAGGTGTAACGATGTCTGAAAGCGCACCTTGGCAACTTTAGTCACCCCAGCTGACTTCGGAGCAGTCTTCTTGCCCGCCTTCTTAGATATAGCCTACATGCATATACTAATCAATCATTCAACATTTCAAGGCAACTTAAATCTTACCATGGCCGACCCGCTTGAATGAGAGAACGTAGTTAAGTTGCTGGGAGAAGTCCGCAGGCACAGCGGAGAACGGCAATGCCCGTGGCAGTACTATTAACCCGGTGGTCAACGTGAACTCCCGAATTGTAATTTGTAAAGAATAATCAGTCTCAAGTTGGTCTCAAGCTATTCTTACCACACTGTCAGCACTGCCTCAATAAAATACATTCTACCTGCTTATCATTTCACACTTATCACAAAGTACAGTACAAAAGTTTATTAGACAACGTAGCTGTTCGCTGGTCTTCTAAGCTCGATCAGGTGCTTCAAAACCTCAGCAGCAGGGGTAGTTACAGCAGTGTCAAATGATCCAAGTTCACCTTTCAGCAATCTAGTCATGACATTCACCAAACCAGCTTTCTCTACTTCCTCTGCGAACGATATACGAGGGAGAGCACACTGAGGATCGAGAATGTGATGAAGGCATACGACTCCACGATGTACAAGCCCTGGATTTCCGGCTGTTTGGTCGTCATCGGGGTCGTCGTCCTCCAGAGTTACAGATGGGTCGATAAGACGTGCAATAATTGAAAATGCTCGGTGACGATCCAACTGGAGTTCAAATACTGCCTGACAAGCAGTAGACACGCTGGTCACGGTTGCCAAAGCACCGGATGCAGCGAGTCTCGTTGGGAGATCATCCATGTCCGACATCGCAAGAAGTACTTGTAATTTGGACTTTGTTGCATGGACATCCGGAGAACCACCATACCTCAAAAATGCCTTCTCCGAACCCCCAATAAGATTACATATCAGCTCGGTGGCTGCCCGACGGATGAGTGTATGCTCCTCTAGCATGAGGAGCTCAACTTTGTTGAGAAGGTGCGGGGTGCTATAGATGCGATCGGCACACCCTGTGCTCTGTGAAGCAAGATTTGTTAAGGCCATTAAGGCTTCGAATTGTTGTAGGAGGTTTGAAGATGGATGGAGCAGCAGTTGTGACAGGGGCCGTATTGCATCAAGCATAGCGCCGTCATCGGGCCCGAAGACTTGAAGGGGAGAAGACGTGATGGTCAATTTCGCTAAAGCTTGGATCGCAGGGAGAAGAGAGGTATCAATCGGTGTAGATGTTGATGTAGAGGACTGTATAACACGAGAAAGACTCCGTGCACCTCCGCTCTGGAGGACCTTGCCTCTGTTATCTTTGTCCTCCACGATGCTCAGGTAGATTTTACCCAATGCAAGTCTGATGCCTTGGCTCTCTACACCAGAAGCCGCAGACAAAACATCAAGGGCGCCACTTGCAAGAACTTGACGGCATCTGGACCTAACCGCAACATCATCTTCCAATGCATTTAGCGGTTCCTCGGACATCGTCCTGTTGGATCCATTTCCAGCTTTAGCCATGCGTTTCAGCTTAGCTACCTGCGCGTCTTCCTGACTGAGGCGAGGACGGTAGGCACAGAGGTTGGATATGATAAGAAGGATGCCAAAGAGGAGGCTAGAATTACTGGTAGATGTTGGCGGTGGCTTACGTCTAGGGACAAGTGTAAAGAGCTGCTGCAAGAACTTAGGATCATTCGCCAGGGCATGTTTGACGTCTGGGTCAACACTGAGGTAGGCAAGGCCTTCAACGACGTCATTGAGGGAGGATAGAGAGTCCTTGTCACTGATGACCATTCCTTTCAGCAGATTGGCTAGCTCCATATCCTTGGAGGTAGATTGCGTTGCCTGAGACGCATCTGCGCCTTCTGTGGCATCCGTTGCCGTCCCTCGAGATAATTTTACGAGGGCAATGGCTGCTGCTGCGCGCAAGTTTTTATCGGCAGCCTGACGTGACTTGTTCCCAAGCCAGGTGACAATTTCCTCGGGTATCAGAGCCCGGCATGCCTTGTGTCCACTAGCCTGGCCGATCATACGAGCGACCTCTAAGGCAACTGAAGCTGATAATGAAAATAAATCAAGGGCATCTGTCACGTATTCGACCACGCCATCTTGCGCGAAAATACAGGAAGCGGACTGCCAGTCGACGTGGAATAATGCAGAGAAGAAAGAGAGTCCAATAACTATAGCATCCTGTTCCTGATGATTGGATATACGGGAGATGATGAGATGCTGGAAAACTTTCTCTAGTGTTTCCGTGGCAGAGTTTTTGGATCCAGACTCCTGAGGGTTTTGCGACCGCGTTCCTTGACAGAACGCAGAGAGCACGAGATACGCTTTCGAGCGCGATGGTTCTGGCTGAGAAGGCGCGAAAGCTTCTACGAGGTAAGAGAGTTCATCAGGAAGGAAGGCAGCAACATCCTGAGATTTTCTCATTAAGAAATCTAAGCTGATATCTCCATTCTGAGCGTTCATTGCGGTAAGTGATGAAGTAGTGTAGACTTTGAGCAAAATGTGTTGGAACTTGTCGGAGGTCACGGCAGTCAGTTTCCGAACACAGTGCCACAACGGATCATTTCTTTCGCAACACCACCATCCAAATTCGTCGGTGGACCATTGGGACGGCGAAGTCCCATGGATATCGCTGACTGTGAAGATGCAACAAGCGCCCTGAATTCATTCAAGGCGACCACCATCCAGTCAGGACATACAGTTCTGCTCAGACTACCTAGTGGCGAGACCAAAGGCTTCAAGGTAGAAAAGGATGCGTGAGTGCTTTTTTGTCTCTATTCCTACCATCTCTGAAACTGAGTCGAGAAGCACTATCTCTATAGGAAGAGTTGGCTCCTTTCGCGCAAACGAGCTGATCGGCCATCCATACGGATTGACATATGAGATTCGTGGCAAAGAACTCACCGTCCAGCCGCCTCATACTCTACAAGAAGTAGGTAAGGCATTTGATAAACACTCTCAAAATTTCCATTCATGACTAATGGTAATGAAGAGGAAACGGATGCTACAAATGAGCTCATCAACGATGGTGAATTCGTGCAGCCACTTACCCTCGGCGAGATCGAAGGGTTGAAAAAGTCTGGCGTACATGCCTCTGTGCGTCTTGGGCTTCATTTCATGCAGAATCCCAGTATAATCTATTTTCCACAGGACATCATAAAGGCTCAGATTGAACAACATGCCAATTATTCCCTGAAAACTGAATATAGCAAGGAGAAATATAAGCAACGCAAGGAAGCCAAGTATGTCATCTCTATGTCATCCCTGATTTTTTGACAATTAGATTGATGCGCCGAGCAGATACTCCAAGACCTTCAGTACGGTTGAGCCAACAATTTACAATGTTTGCGACCACTGGTTCAAAAAAGACCAGAACAGGATTCGTGATATCAGACCGGATACCCTGTCTCAAATATTGAATCTGGCGAATGTTCGCCCGGGCGGCAGGTACATTGTTGTTGACGAAGCGTCTGGCCTTCTTGTATCAGCAATCCTCGAGAGACTGGGAGGTGAGTGAGTTGTTGGTTCTTTGTGAGAAAAACATCTGATTCTTGCAGGGGAGGGACGGCTGATTTCTATCTGCGATGTTGATTCGCCACCCGCATATCCTGTCATGACTCTGATGAATTTTCGCAAAGACATCGTTACAAACATACACTCATCATTAAATTGGGCAACTGCCCAGGAAGACTATACACCAGGTTAGTGAGATTCTCTGCAGACACGCTATACTTCCCATTCAGTGGCAGCTGTAGCACAAGAGTCATCGTCGGAAGTAGGAAAATCAGAGCGACATAGGATTCGCCTCGATAAACGGAAGAATGCGGCAGATACTCTTTTAAACGCAAGGGAGGAGTTATTTGCTGGTGAATTTGATGCGTGAGTGTCATTAAGTGATGTCATATCTCCTCCGACGTCTGGCAGGCTTTTAATCGCTAGTGATTACGACCCGCTGGAGATTCTACAAAACTTGATTCTATATGTAGCGGGATCAGGATCCATAGTCGTTCAGAGCCCATTTAGCCAGGTATGTTGCGCTTTCCGTTTAATGAACCAATTCAGCTAGATAACTAGACATTAGCCTCTCACGGAACTACAATCGAAATTGCGTCTTGATCCAGGCTATCTTGCACCATCAATTACGGAGTCGTGGCTGCGACGCTATCAAGTTCTACCAGGTCGCACACACCCGACGATGAGCACTTCAGGATCGGGAGGTTTCTTATTACACGCAATCAAAGTGTAAGTGTAATAACAGGTCAACTCGCAAACGAATGCTTACCGATTGCTTGCTAGATATGATGACCCGAATGCTTCCAAAGTGTCATCTCATCGACAATCAAAACGACAGAAGAAGGAAGCTGACGAAGGAAATCCGACAGTGCCTCAAACCCCAGAATCACATCAAACTACAGAGCTCGAGGAAAACGCGACAGTCGCTGACCAAGCTAGCCTAACCAACGAGATGGAACCAACAGGCTAGCCTTTTGGTGTTGGGTTAACTGATAGTACAACAGTGGTGCAACAGGTAACAAAGTAGTGTGCCTTCTACAATAACTAATATCAAACAAAACTACTCATTGATATAGCCTCAGATATCAGGGCTCAGGAAACATTGTGGCGACCACCTGAACATGTTCGTGAGCAACGTTCTCTGCAGTTCAATGAAAACGCACCTCGTCGACAATAGTGTAGGCAATATGCTGGTTCAAGCGCTTGTTCTGCAGGACAGCAAATATTCGTCTTGCTCCTCGCCGAGCGTTTGACCGACCTATCATGTTCGCAGCAAGATCTGTAGATCGTGGTGTTAACTCCATATTTGTAGGGGAGAAAATCCCAACAAACCTGGCACTAAAGCGGAGAGCTTACGGTTTGCCTCATCGCGACTACGTGTTATCTCCTCAGTTGACCGTGGTTGACCAGGCGGTTTCAGCTTACCACCTGGCCATAGAGAGTCTTTGAAAAAGGCCAAGATAGGCATAATGCGACTTTCTTCAAACATCGACTTGATACTTTGACGGATTTGCCTTTAATCACGTCAGGGGGGCAAAAGACTATGCAAAGTTTGGTCTCACCGCTCAATGGTACCACCCAGTACTTGCTGGAGAATGATCACAATTGCTTGTCGTCGGAGCCAGTTGTCCTTCTTGTTGAGCTCAAAGATAGCGAGGACAAGGTCACATATAGGAGCAGAGAATGTCGATGTGCTAGTTTCTCCTTCCAAAGGACGCAGGTCACTAGACATGTGCATGAACGTGTCCTCCGACGTGAACTTCCCGAACGCCTTCAGTGCCTGAGCGACGAGATCCTCATCGTGGACTGCAGATCCGACTATACCAGCAAATTCTGCGGCCTGTCGGGTAAGCCTTTGAATCATAACATCCAACATCGACGGGCCAAAGAACATATCATCAATACTCTCTGCCACTGAGCGATAAACAGATCGGACTAGGTTTTTCCCTGAAAAACTAGCGGTTCCTTTGGGGACATCCTCTTGAACTTCAGACGCAATGAATGGTGAATCACGGGACAGAAATGCGCGAAGGTCATTGCTTTCGCAGACGACAGGTATGGCAATCAAATTCTACAACCGTCAGTATGCGCGAAGAAAGCAGCCTCCAGCGAGTTCCTCACCTGCAAATATTTCTCAAGGGCTTGTCTCCTTGTGTCCACGAAACTGCCGGTCAGCGAAGTAACAAGTCTCTTGCCTGGGAAATCGAGACCCTTAACAAGCGCGTACCGATCGCGCAGTTTGTTGTGCATCCTAAGGAACTCGTTGTATCTCCTTGCAACAACCCACCCAGAGGCAAATGTTCCATCGGGTGCGAGCTGCTGGACCTCAACGAGGTATCGCACTACAGATTTCCCCTCTTCCTCTCCCACTGTCGAACTAACGATAGAAACCTTCGTTCGATGGGAGATGAGACGGTTTGCGGATTCTTGCTGTTCATATTGTGTCTTCTGGAAACGCAACTCTCGAAGTTCGCGGGTCATGGACGACTTCGATTTTTGAAGTAAACGCAGTTCTTGAGCGTCGCCTGTTAGCTCTGCCTTCTTGATAAGCGTGTCGAGCATGGCATCGTGGGCCTCTAGTTTGGTGATCTTGTCGCCAAGGCGTGCAATCTCGTATGAGAGCTGAAGGTCTCCAGGTCCGGCTAGCTGAAATGTTCCCTGCTCCGTATCTACAGAACCTTCAGCTCTGTCGTCATCTTCTTCGTCGATCATATCTTCTTCAACACCGAAAATGCCCTTCTTGCTGTCGAGTGAAGTCGCGCTGAGGTGACGATTTCCGCCTCTATCCTGGCCTCGAGGGAGGAAACTGTGGGGAAGTTTCTGTGTGGCAATGATGTCCGTCAGCGCGGCCTGGATGGCTCTCATTCTTTCTGCTTCATCTGCACCCTGGGCATCTTCTGGGTCATCGAAGAGAGGAGCTCTGGATGTATTTGATGATGTATCTGAAACCGGGGACATGAGCACATCAATGTTGGTCCGTAAGGCAGTGGTTGGACTGGTCCGTGTGTCATCAACGCGCTGAACCACAGAGCTCAATGAAGGGGAAGATTCAGAGCGGAAGATATGGACAGATCCAATGCCAAGAGGACGTGACGCCGGCAGTGGCGGGGGTGACATCGAACGTGTCGAGATACGACCTGCAGGGGGCTCCAGCAATTTAGCACTAGCCCGATTGAAATCCTCGATTATTCGGAACCACAGTTCAGATCTTTGAAGGTCCTCGAAGTCTTGTTCCATCACCTGTTGAACCTGTCTCTGCGCCAACATGACGCTACGACGGACTTTCTTGTCCTCCAAAGGCCCCGGAAGGATCTCACTTTGTGCATAAGAGCGTATGCTATCGATGTGCTTCTTAGAGATGGACGATAAGGCAGGATGGGATGGTGTGACAGAGAAGTAAAGGTCGTTAATCATTGAAATGTCCTCTTTGAGCGTCGAGGAGGTTGAAGGACCTTGTAAGGGTTCGTCTTCATCCCCAGATGAACTCGAGTCTATTGACTCCAATGGGTTTTTGAAGCTTTCTACTGTCAGCCAAAACTGAACCAGGAGCGAGCGGTGCCGACGATCCATAAACTCCATGAAGTAGGAGAGTGATGTCGGGTTGCTTAAGATGTCGCGTAGAGTGACTTGGGTCCGCGAACCAGACTCTAGCGAGGCAGCAGACTTCTACGGTTGTCTGTAAGTAGAAATTATGAATCTCGTAGGGCAGCGCTTACCGAATCTTCGCCACCCAGTACTACTATTCGTTGTTCGACAGTCCGCTTGGCAGTATAGAGCCTGTCAAGGAAAGCTACTACGTCTTCTGTCTTCTCGCCACTTATCCAATCCTCCTTCTCGTGATTAGCTGTGGGAGCGTCAACATAAAATGTAGTAATCGACTTGAATAAACTAACCGAGAAGTAATCTCGTCCTCCGAATTTCTCCCATGATATCATTCTTCAGGCGACGAGCATCCAGAAGTGACGAACAACGATTGATACTTCTGAGAAACGACTCAAACTGTCGCATATCAGTTCTAACCGTGATAGTGTCTCCAGTTGAAATTGTTGAAGGAAGGCGGGTGTGCCGGCGGGGTGATTGTGCTTCTAAAACATTTCTCACTTGAGATATGAGTTTCCTAGGTATACATTGTTAAAGGTACAAAAAAACAGTCGAGCACGTTTGCCACATACTGCTGGTGTATTGCAGCGCCTGCCTATCTCGGAGTCAATGACTGCGCTCGCACTTGAGTTGAGGATATGACATACCACTTGCTCAATCATCCGATTCCAAAAATCAGGGTCGCTTACCATATCCATAATTGGATACAGCACTGTGCAAACCAAGATTTCTCGGACAACTATTCTCAGAGCCTTACTCTGAGCCTCCTGTTCCGGAAGAACATGCGAGAGCATCCGCTCCGCAATTGTTCTGAGATATATTTCTTCATTCTGTTTCGTAAACGTAGAAGACAGATTCTCCACTGCAGGATGTAGTTTTCCGCCCTTCCCTGCGTATCTACTTGCCAACAGCGTATCCAACTCTTCGGATTGCGTGAGACGGCGTTCTAGGGCTGCACCGCGAAGTGCGACCTCCGATTGGCGGAATTGCTCGATATGCGTAGTGACTTTGGGCAAAATTCGCTTCACTAGGAGAGCAGAAAGGTCGACTGTTGCGCTTGTTTGCAGAAGCCGCTCAAGGGAGTCATGAAGCACCGAAGAAACTGCCGTAGGAAAGGAAGGGGATGAAGATATGTCCTTGTACCAGGTGAGCACGAAGTCGCGTACGACAAAAATCATGATATCGTTAAGGGTAGACGACACAACAGGTAGGTCAGGGTACAAAGGTGATAATGATTGTGGAGTTTTCTGAGACCAGTTCGAACGAGTGAGGACTGCCTGCCATGCTGCGGGAGTTGAGAAGGCAAGAGGTCTAGCTGCATATGTGAGCGCATTCCTATGAACCGGTTTCTTGTCCAAGGCAACTCCAACAAGAATGTTCGCGATGAAACACGAGAACGCCACGAAAAGTATGATCACAGGAGAAAGGAGGATGAGGGCTATCGGAGACGAGAACGCGCGTGCGACGACAGGAAATACAACGGCGAGAAAGGCGACAGCCAAAGCAAATCTGGCACTAATGAATGAGTGCATGTCACGGCGAATTTGGTACATCACTGTTTACTAGAGCACATTATTCGTCAGAGTCATGTTGAGATGCGCAGTGAGGTCACTGACCGTTCGCTCAGAGGACTTGAGCAACACTTGCCATATCCAGCATCACTCTTTCGGCTTGAACTCCACGATGTTGGAAGGCTGTAGAGCTCGATATCCCTCAACTTCAGAAGCGTGAATTAAAACCCTTCAGTATTCAATGAGTTTTGTGTGAGGAAGAATTTGAAGTGTGCCGGGGACCGGGGTTCGGACTGTGATTGGCTCAGCCTAGGTGCTACCGTACGCATACACATTTTTTGACATCTACAGTGACAAGCTGCACAGTGCACTTGCGCAACGTGCCATTCTGGCTATTGGCATTGTGGTATGGCATCTTCTACTATACCACCGCCTCTCTCTATGCTTGAAAGTTTTCTTTGCGGTGGACTGGCAGGATGCATAGCTGTCACTGTCAGCAATCCTGCGGAAGTAGCCAAGACGCGTTTGCAACTCCAGGGTACGTTCAATCCGATGGTGTGAGCGATAAAATATGATATATCGACACGCTGGCAGGTGAGCTTGTCAAAGGTGGGGGGAAACGAGTCTATAAGGATGTTTTGGATGTTTTGGCAAAAACTTGGAGAAATGAGGGTATCCGGGGCTTGCAAAGAGGACTTGGACCCGCGGTGTGTAAATATGCCTGTATCCATTTTTTTCTCTGTCTGATAGCTTTCTAGTATGTTTACCAGGTCAGATATCATAAACTTCAGGGATACTTTCTTGATATTGATCTTGTTACCTGGTGGCAGATACTTTTGAATGGATCACGTCTGGGTAAGCGACATATTCTGCCCTGCTGTCCAGACCTTCTCTTAGTTACAACATAGGGTTCTACGAGCCGTTCCGACGGACAATCAACCGCTCGATAGGTAGATCTATCACCGACCAGATACCATTCACTTCTGCCGTAGCTGGTGCTGCAAGTGGTATAATAGGAGGTATAGTACCATTAAGTCCGACATGAGTACGATTTCTTGATTCGCGTGTATCAGCTTCGCTCGGGAACCCACTCTTCCTGATCAAAGCAAGAATGCAAGTACGTGGGACATACCCTTGCATTATTTAATGATATCGATGACAGCGTCAACAGGCATATTCTCCTATATTACCAGTTGGCACACAACATTACTACAAGAGCTCGTTTGACGCATTGGTCACTATTTTTAGGACAGAAAAGTTTTGGGGTCTACTACGGGGTATGGATGCAGCCATTCTACGGACAGCTATGGGATCTTCGGTTCAGCTTCCTACGTACAAATGGACTAAAAACCAGCTTGGCTCGCACGGATTACTTCCCTCAAACAGCATACTGACTTACCTTGTTAGTTCGTCCGTGTCTGGAGTTTGTGTGGTGTGTTTTTACTCGTATCAAGCAGCCAACCATCGTAGTCTGACACTTCGCAGTGCATTGTCATGCAGCCTGCTGACACGGTTAGTTGGCTCCCTGCTTGAAGTGAAATTTTTGGCCTCATCTATATTCACGTCCAGGCCTTAACCCGGGTATACAACCAACCAACAACACGCACGCCCGATGGCCGTTTATCAGGGATGCTGTATAGGAATCCCATCGACTGTCTCTGGAAGACTTTCAGGACCGAGGGCGTGTTCGGGTGGTACAAGGGTATGTAGCGGCATGCATAATGCGACAAGTCTTATTAAAAATATCCGTCTAGGTTCAACTGCACAGTTTCTTCGTGTTGCACCTCATACGTGAGTTGTTCTCGGCTTGCAAGATTCATGCCCTTCTGACTGTCATTCACAGCATTATTACCCTTACTGTGAACGATATCATCTTAGGTTTGTATAAGGACATCCGTAATCGTAGATCATGACCTCAACCTGATATCTTTCTTCATACTGAGCGAAAGCCTACAGATGACTGAGTGCGTCGTATGGTAGTCGACGTGAGGACCTGTGGTAGAAGGCAGAATCTGTTCGTTTCAAACAAACACCGTGACGGACTCTGGTACAGTGTGGGTCACACAATTCGGAACAGAAAATCAACTTACCTGTTGAACGCCTGTTCCTTGAGAGCATCCTACTGCAAAGTGTCCTTGGGTCTGATATATTAATCACTCGCTCTTGCCACTCAGGATCATCTTTTCCATCTGAGAGAAGGTACCGCAAGTCGCACGGTCGGCAACTGAAATTATGTGACTATGATTCGACAATCCCAGAGAGTGGGATCATGGTGGGAGCACAAGGGAGTGCCGAATGTCCGTGATGTACGAGCTGAGTGCTGTAAGTTATTTGTAAAATCGCCCCTTGGACCCATACCAAGTGGCACCCCGACTAGGACCCCGGAAAAACTCCTTGTCGACACTGCGCCCAACAGCGTCAGCGCTGCCTAACGGCAACCCCTGCTTCAGAACGAACGATATCTTCCTCTCTATACCTTCTACTACATAAAACTAAGACAACAAAATCAGAAAACTAATACAAAAAGAACCCAAAAACATAAGAAATGGCGCCAACAACGCTTAAACCAAAAATAAATCAAAAGACGACTACCCCAGCAACGAGATCATCATCCAGATTAGAGATAAACGAAATAAGAGTAACGGATAGTGAAGTCACAGACGCAGTAAGTGCCCAACTCCACCTAGATCAAACAGCAATGGCTATCAGCGGCAAGCCTTTCTCCACTAACAATCTCTCAGATATCCTATTCCATGTCACCCAAATGCCAGGAGTCACCCTCCCAGTCCAGCTCGCCATTAGATCAGTAGCTTTCCTGCTCGAAGAAGCGGCGGAAAACGAAATGGCAGACAAGGTAGCTAAACTCGTCCTCACAGCAGTCTCCCCGCAGATAGCCAAGATCCAAGACGCATCCGAAAGCATCTCCTCAACAGCACTTCACCTGAACATCGCAGCAACCAAACTTCAGGATATCGCCAAAGCAACCACAGAAGAAAGCCCAGACTCACCTGACAAACCGTCATCCATCAACTCTCAACTCGAAAAGATGCAAGAAGCGGTCACCTCCCTCGGCACACAGATCAAGGACCTCCCCATGCAAGGAGGCTACAAGGCCGCACTGATGACAGGCCTCAATGAAGACTCCTCAAAGAACCCCCAACTGGTCCAAAGAGCAGCTAGAAATGCTATCAAAGCCCGCCAGATCCTCATCGATATCCCTACTGACAGCCCACTAGCCCCAGGCAAAGTATCTCACGCTCAACTCACAGAAAAGATCAAACAGGCTCTCACCACAATCGCTAAGGAAGGCGCACCAGACCTAGAGACACGCGCAGTCACTCAATTCCGCAATGGAGGCACAGTTATCGAAATGCTCACCGCCCAGGCCGCAACATTCCTCAAAGATCAATACAACAAGATCACCTTCCTTCAAGCGCTAGACCCTGGGGCAATCCTCAAAGACCGCGCCTACACAGTAATTATCCAATTCGTCCCACTAACCTTTGACCCCAGCAAACCAGAACACATACGCAACCTCGAGAAAGAGAACGAATGGGAAGAGAACTCCGTTACCACAGCACGATGGATCAAACCTCCCGCCAAACGGTCATCAACCCAAACCATCGCTCACCTCCTCATTGCCCTCAAAGACCCATCAAGCGCTAATAAAGGTATACGAGATGGTATCACGCTAAACAAAAACAAACTACAGATGAAGAAAAACAAACACGAACCAGTGAGATGCGCGAAGTGCCAACACTACGGACATATCGCCCGCAAATGCATCGCCCATCAAGACACATGCGCCAACTGCGCCGGCAATCACAGAACAAACGAATGCGACAACATCGAGAACACACGCTGCGCCTCCTGCAACACGGATGACCACCCCAGTTGGAGCAGAAGCTGTCCAGAGCTAGATCGCCGGTGCGCAGACCTAGACGCGAGAGACACTGACAACACTATGCCCTACTTCCCCACAGACGAAGAATGGACCCAGGTACAGGCGCCACCCAGACCTAAACCCCCCACGAAGAATCAAACTCAAACTCAGCCCCAAACGCAACCTCAACCTCAACCTCAACCTCAACACCAACGCAACGAATGGCAAGAGCCAGCAAAACGATCCCAAGACACCCTGGACAACCACTTTACCACCAGGGACCCGCCCCAAACAAGAGGACACAGGAACATGAGAGGATGCTACCTCCCATCGCAAGCAAGGATGTCATCCCGACCCCCATCACGTGACCCGAGACACCCGCCTAATGATATCCAGCACCACCGCACTCAAACGTCAGGCCCTCCCAACCCTAACTATTATTATGAATGATACACCCGACCACGAAACATTTCGTCTGCGTATCTGGCAGGAAAACCTCAATAAGTCGTCTACCGCTCAACACTGTATACTAAGTGGCCCTTTTACAGCGAAAGAATACGACATTGTAACCATACAGGAACCCCACATCAACTTCCTCGGCAACACAAGAGCAACTCCGGACTGGAACGTAGTCTACCCAACGCACAAATATACACACAAGGACCGATCGCGAGCAGTCACCCTCGTCCACAAACGACTCAACACCAACAACTGGCGCCAACTACCCTTCCCCTCAGCAGACGTGGTCGTGATTCAACTCAACGGCACATTCGGCAAACTAACCATATTCAACATCTACGATGACAGCAAAATCCGCAAGGTCATTCCCCTCTTGGCCACCTATCTCGACAATGAAATCCGCAACATCCGCCCAAACCCCAACGACCACATCATCCTCATGGGGGACTTCAACGCCCACCACCACCTCTGGGAAGAGGCTCGAAACGCTCACCTCTGCACCCTGCCAGAAGCACAAGAAGCCGCACAACGCATCATCGAGCTACTAGCAGACTGGGACATGAGAATGGCTCTACCCCGTGACAGACCCACCTTGCAATCAACCAGCAGTGGCAACTGGACAAGGCCCGACAATGTCTTTTGCACAGCCCACTCCCTCGACGCATTCACCCTTTGTGACACAGCACCCAGACGACGCCCTCCCTGTACTGACCACGTCCCCATATTATGTACCCTAGACCTCGAAATACCACGCACCTCGACCACAACCCTCCGCAACTACCGAGAAGTCGACTGGGAAGAATTCCGCGGACGACTCGACCTCCACCTTGACGCAATACCCCCCCCAAAGGCCATCACCTCCGAGCAACAATTCCAAAAAGCTGCAACCGATCTCAGCAACACCCTCAAACAAACAATAGCCGACAAAGTACCTACCTCAAAGCCCAGCCCGCACTCGAAGAGATGGTGGACAAAGGACCTGACGAAGATGTTGAAAGAGAAGAACAAGCTAAGTGGCCTATCCTACAAGATGAGAGGATTACCGGATCACCCAGTACACGAGGAACACCGCAAGCACCGCAACAAACTCACCGAGACCATCAAGAAAACCAAGGAAGAACACTGGATAGACTTCCTGGAAGAGTTAGACCAGCAAAGTATCTACACCGCTAACAAGTACATCTCATCGCCCTCAGGAGATGGCGGCAGAACAAGCGTCCCAGTCCTCAAGATCAAAAACACTAACGGTCTGCCCACAGAAGCCATCACTAACAAAGACAAGAGCAAGGCGCTTGCCGATACATTCTTCCCTCCTCCTCCACTGTCAAGTGCAATCCCAGAAGACTACGACTACCCGACCCCAGCTACGCCCTTCAAACCCTTTACCGAAGACGAGATCAACCGCACGATAAGCAACACGAGCTCATACAAAGCCCCAGGACCCGATGGGATATGCAACATTGTCTTCAAACGCGCCGCTTCAACACTCGTCCCCTACCTACTCCATCTCTTCAACGCTGTATTCACCCTCAGAACGTACTTCGACCCCTGGAGGGAGTTCACCACAGTAGTGCTTCGCAAACCAGGAAAAGCCGACTACTCTACCCCAAAAGCATATCGCCCCATCGCGCTCATCAACACTACCTGCAAACTACTAACTGCCCTAGTCGCGGAACAAGTCACTCTTATCATAGAACGCTTCAACCTCCTACCCAGCACACACTTTGGAGGCCGCCCTGGACGCACAACTACTGACTCCCTCCACCTATTAGAGACAACCATCAAGAACGCGTGGCGTAAAGGTCAAGTAGCCTCTGTTTTATTTCTAGATATTGAAGGAGCATTTCCTAACGCAGTCACTAACCGCCTAGCCCACAACATGCGCAAACGAAAACTCCCCCCGGAAATTGTTGAATTTACTGAAAGAATGCTCACAGGACGACGCACACAACTTAGATTCAACGACTCCACCTCAGACTGGATAGATATTCGCAATGGCATTGGCCAAGGGGACCCCCTCTCAATGATAGCTTATCTAATTTATAACGCTGACCTTATAGACATCGCCAACCCGAAAAACGGAGAATACGCCCTAGCTTTCGTCGACGACACCGCCTACATCACCATTGGACCAACATTTGAAGACACACACGAAACCCTCAAAGATATGATGGAAAGGCCCAACGGCGCAATCCAATGGTCAGGAGACCACAACTCCAAATTTGAAGTCAACAAGTTCGCCCTTATAGACTTCACCCGCAGCAAGAATAGAACCAGACCCCCTCTCGTCATTCAGAACACCACCATCAACCCCACTGAGCACCATCGCTTCCTCGGCCTTCTAGTGGATCAGGAGCTAACGTGGAAATTTCATATAGGCTACGCCATCGCGAAAGGTACAGAATATGTACTCCAAGTACGCCGTCTCTCGAAACCCTCCAACGGGGTGTCAGCAAAGCTCATGCGACAACTATATGTAACGGTCGCCATTCCGAAGTTCACGTACGGAGCAGACGTATGGTTCAAGCCCATATACTCAGAAGGAATCAACAAGGAACAACGAGGGTCGAAAGGAGTAGCAGAGAGGCTAGCTAAGGTCCAGAGAATTGCCACGCTAAGCATCACCGGCGCTATGAGATCCACAGCTACTGACACCCTCGACGCGCACGCTAACCTCCTCCCCACAGATCTCCTCCTCCAACGCACTTGCCATAGAGCAGCGCTTCGTCTAGCATCCCTCCCGCTTCGTCACCCCCTACACAAACACCTTACTCACATCGCCAAACACCCCAACATCAAACGTCATCGATCCTCCCTTCACAACCTCCTCGACACGTTCAAAATATTCCCGAAGGATGTCGAGACCCTGGACCCGATCCGCAGATCAAACGCAACAATCCCAAATGCCTACCAGACCCATACCGCCCCCAACAAGAAGCAGGCCATCAAGGAACAGAGGGAACTAGTAGATACCATCCAGATCTTCACGGATGGATCAGGACACGACGGGAAAGTAGGAGCAGCAGCGGTACTCATCAGAGAAGGACAGGAACCTCGTACCCTCAAATTCCACCTCGGTCCGGACAAGAAACATACAGTGTACGAAGCGGAAGTAGTCGGCCTAACGCTTGCGGTCAAATTGTTAGCAACGGAGCGAAACGTCCAATACCCAGCAACCATACTCGTAGACAACCAAGCAGCCATTCTATCCGGTGAGAGTCACAATACGAAACCTGGTGGTTACTTAGTAGAGCACTTTCGCAGCATGACAAGACACCTAGCCAAGAACAGACGAGATCAAGAGCGCAACTTCAAGCTAACAGTAAGATGGATACCCGGACACGAAGGAGTAGTAGGAAATGAATTAGCAGATGTCGCTGCCAAGGAAGCGGCAGAAGGGCCTAACCAGAACAGCACGCCAGAGACGCTACCCAAGTACCTTAGAGGCAAGCCACTCCCCGACAGTATATCAGCCTTGAAGCAGTGGCACGAAGACGCACTGAAGAAGAGATGGGAAAAGAAATGGAAGAAATCACCACGCTACGCAAGGGCAACCGGCATAGATCCCTCAATGCCATCCAATCGCTACATCAAGCTAGTAGCGACCCTCCCCAGACGACAAACCAGCATGTATACCCAACTCCGCACCCGTCATCTCCCACTAAATCAGCACCTCCACCGCATAGGAAAGAGCAACACTCCCCACTGTCCCACATGCCCAGATACTGACGAAACTATCCATCACTTCCTATTCGACTGCCCGCAATATACCCGGGAACGCCATCAACTCACTAACGCGCTGCGAAGACAAGCATCATCCATCCAATATATCCTCACCGCCGAGAAAGCCACCCAACCACTGATGCGTTACATCAACCAAACGAGAAGATTCAAACCCATACTCGGTGAGCTCACGAACAGTTAAAGAACACTCTTTCAACCCACTACCCTACAGACACAATTAATCAACTAAATCTCCCCTCCGCGCAACATACATCAAGAACTAATACAAAACTACCATACACCACCCAACTCCGACACAGGAGAGAAGAAGTCTCGCTGCGCGAGACACCATTCGACACTAATCATCTCCGAGACAGAAGGGAAGAAGCCCCGCTGCGCGAGACACTACCGTAGGAGTGCAGACACTATATACGCTCCACACCACATCACTCCCTCTGTACGAACTCAGCGTCGGCCTTCGCCCGACAATATGCTGACGGAGTACTTGTTTTCCATTGAGACCACGGCAGTACACACATATATATACGCTAGAATAGGCGGGAGCAAGCCCCCCGCGAACAGGGCTAAGTCCAACATAGGGTCAACGACCCCAAGAGGACAATAAACTTGATTTAAAAAATAAAAATAAAAAAGTTATTTGTATCGATCAACTCCACAATAATTCTGCCGGAGCACTGAAGCCGGCTCCCTCGTCAGCTTGTGGTACAAGTCCATTGTGGATATATCTGTACCACACGATAGGTGTGGATTTAAATTGTGGATGGGCCACATTCCACCGCATCACGCAACTATGAAGAGCACTCCGCTTGTTCTCTATCTTTCTTTTATACAAGCTCGTCAGTCCGACGACCAGCACTATTTTTCTCTATCTCTATCTATATCGCACATCTCAGCACCTGCTCCTTCTCGGGACACTTGACATGGACGAAGCTACACTCCGTAAGCTCACCCGCATAAAGCTGCAAAAGCTCGCGAAGGTGTGTATCTCATTTTCTTTCCTGAATACCACAGTAAATAACCAGAAAACAGGAAAATAAGATCAAGGCTAACATGAAGAGCGAGACAATTATCCAAGAGCTCCTAAAGCTCTACGAAGTTGTTCAACTACAGTAGGTTTTCCTTCATGGTCAGCGTAATGAACTGTTCTGATAGTGGCTCAGTCAGGATGAAGGGAATGAAGAGCCTCCGAGGAAGAGGTTGAGAACTAGCATGCAAGACCGGCCTCCTTCTGGGTCAAGAAGAGCTAGCGAGGAAATCCCTCCAGTCGCTGCTCCATCAACACAGATTATGGACGTACCTGTAGACACAAGTCGTGAGTGTCATGTGCCATGTCACAGTACAAAAAAACTGACATTTGTCTAGTTGATAATCCTCCCACCCAGAACGATTCTCAGAAATCTGCGCTCAGCACAGAAAAAAGTGCTCCGATTGCAGTAGCCAGAGATGCCGCCGACGTCGCCGCTGTAAATTCAGCAGCAATACTGCAAGGCCCTTCCCCAGTGCTGGAAAGTCACACTGGGCACCCAGCTCCAGACGAGGACACCAACGATACTGATTCCTATTTATCCTACCCGAGTCAGCATGACTCCCCCCGTAGCTCGCGTTCAGAAAACCCCCCGCTCGAAACACCACAGATGCTCAACCGGACAGTGAGCATTATGAACCAGGTCACGTCCAAAGATCAGCGTATTCTCGCTCAGGCTGCCGCTCTGCGCAATAGAGCGAAAATGCTGAGGGAACAGGCGAAGAATGTGAGGGATGTAGTGCGCGCAGAGCGAGGACGACGTGAAAGATTGGAAGCATACTTCACGTACTGGAGGGAGATATCGCCTACATGGCCAACGGGATGGATATATGATGACGAAGAGGAGTAGATCAGAGAGTATCCGAGGACCATGATGATGATGACGAATGAAGACACCTTGATTACTGTAACTTATAGAGACCCAAGACATCTGGTTTGCGCTTTCTGGAACGAAAGGCGTGTGATAAGGAATAATCGTAAGCCCTCATCGATCATCAATCGAGTGTAAAGAGATTATATTAGGTACCTAAATACATAAGAACTCTGTAAGTACCGTAAGTGGGCTAAGCGAATGTATCGTAGACGGTGTTTCCTGATATGGTAATTGTGCGAACGAAAGTGCTGTATTGACAGGTTGGATTTCCAACACTTTCAAGGACATCAATATTGGGATTGGGCTATAAATTGAACACCGTCCTCAAATTTCAAGTCGTTATTCATGTAGAGCTGTTTCCTCTGTGGTGTGCACAGTCATTGGTTCCATGCCGAAACCCTCTCGTACACCTTGCCCTCGAAAGAGGTTCGTAATAGTACCCCTTGCTTCAGTGAACTTTTCGGCCGGCGAGTTTCCACCTACATCGAAGTGAACTTGCAGAATGATGAGGCAGAATGTGATCCCCTGGATAAAATTGTTATGAATCGCTTGGGTCGCAAGTTCTGTAAACTCACCACGATGGGAGTGATAATGTCCAGCATGGTATATTGACTGTTGGATCCAACGAAGAACGTTAAAAGGAGTATAAGGATACTCGCGGAATAAAAAGCGCCGCTCTCGACGATGACAACAAAAACGGGTAGAAAGGCGGCAAAGCCCTCTGGCACGGAATAGCGAGTGCGATAGATGCGCCAAGCATTCAAACCTGCATTACTATGGTCATCAGGAGCCTGCAGATCAGATCCAATTGACGTACTGGTACTGGTAACACTGAGAACCATGGTTAAGGTATCGAATGTGGCGATACACCCATAATCAGCGGGGGAGATATCAGACAGCGGACGGGCCCGAGAAAGGGACCCGATGCCATAGTATCCAGTGGCTGGAAAATGTTTCCGGAAAAGACAATGATCGAATAGCACTATCGAGATACTCACCTATGCTGGCTAAGAGTATGATACAGCCAGGAATGGCAACCTTGAGACTTCTGTCGTTGAGCACATAACATCGCCAAACCTACGGCCCTGCTCAGAGGGAGAAGTAAACGTGCCATGTAGAGAGGCTCACAACTATTGCATCGGCGAGAATGGTTTGCGTGATGCAAAGTGCCGTTGATGCAACAAACAGTGGTGAAGCAAAGTTGGAATAGTAGTCACTTGCACCAATCGTATCCACCTTGAATATGAATGCCTCTAGCGCTCGAACAAAATCGATGATTAAATGCTGAAAGTAATCGTGTTGAGCTATTCCCCGAAGAGGTTTGACTACATTCAGCGACTTACGGCCGTTGCAATGCAGAGCAGCAAGGTTGCCACTGGGAGAAGGAGTTGCCGTTTAATGCCGGTCTTCTTGAGCAGGATGAACAGTGTGAAACAGTATAAAGTAAAGAACACGCCTGTTGGGGATAATAAAGTTTGGCACTATGACCTTTCCGCTGGTGGCTGGTTACGCACCATATAACAAGGTGTCCAGAAACAAACCCAACAAAGCAGCCATATCCATGGGTATGGCCATGATTACGGTCGTGCCACTGACCAGTTGAGTCAGATTTAGATAGGAGAGCCACACGGTATCTTGGACGATTTCCGTGCACGGAGGCAAGACTCGAGAGTATATATGTTTCCTCATGAGAAGCTGTGTTGGATCTATATGAGGGAATCAACGCTCATCCATGGAATTCTGATACCAACTTAACTGACGCTGAATGAAATTGCTGGCCAGCTCCTGCCACTATCCAACCATTCCCTGGCACAGTGGGTGAATTGGCTCTTGTGCCGTTCACAATCATTTGTGAATAACTTGCACTGTCACAGGGCCGCCGCGGACCCACGGTCGGATACAAGGTCCAATGGCACGCTCAAATTCTGCACACTGGCAGAACCTATCAGCGTAGGCACATGATCCGATGGCACTGCTCAACCTGTGTGGATAGAACATACATGATAGATTGCTGGCAGTGGCATGGTAGAAGCCGTAGAACCAGCCACCAGGGTGAGTACATGCCTAATCTGGACAGGGTACGCCACCACGCGTTTTTCACATAAAAAAGTGAACCCGACCCGGATTGAACGGATGACCTTATGGATATCCAAACTCAGCTGGAATCATACGCGCTACCACTGCGCCACGGGTTCATGTGAATACTGAACTCATATAATGCATAATACTAGGACTTCGAGCTGGAACAGCATACTCTCCGAGTGTCTTGTACAGGCAGTCAGCGTTTCAACGGCAGATTGTGAGTTTTGAAAGGCGCAGTGGTGTCTAACCTCTAGCTAGTAGCTTATTTATATTTGTATATTCAAGTCCTACTCCGAAATCAATTCATTCCTACTGATCGAAGACACGAAAAATATATCTGTAAGTTCCTCGATATTCAATAACGGTATTGGACCATCACGAAGGTAAAATGATTCGGATACGGGGAATCGAACCCCGAGCAACCGCGCGCCCCATGAAGAAGGAGAAATGAGAGGCGGATATGTTACCTTTACACCATATCCGAATGACAGAGCCGGTGTGTACCGCATTACAAGCTTCAGTGTCAGCAGCTTGAATGTGCGTCGACAAAACCTGCAAAGTTGGCTTTGAACATATAATATCATTACAATTCGACCTACACTAAACCTAATAAGAAGCCTCACTCTCGCATGACCTTCAGTAATTGGCCGCTCATGCTAACCTTTTCCACCTAGAATTCTTTGTGGTAGCAAGGTACACTTCAGATCCAGGGCCACGGTCCATCCAGGCAGATATTTGCTTGGGCATCAAATTTGTCACCTGGCGTAATCGTAAGACGAGAATCGTACTGCTCTACAAAAAAACATCACTCACGAGGAACTTCTGGCCCAATTTAAACTCCCCTGCTGAGGATCCTTCAGCAACCAATAAGTTAAGTACATCCCAGACAGTTAGCTGGGCTTTGCGACCACTATCGCCGCCTCTTGTGGGTGCATATGCATCTTTCACGATGATAACACGGAAACTGCGCACTTCCCGAGCGGGACATTTATCCTGGGGGAGCGCTCGGTGAGAACAACTTCGTGTAAGTGTCAAACTTACCTGCAATTCTCGCTCGATATCTCCCGCGACAGCTTCACGATCCTGGAGAAGCTTCTCTCGAATGTGTGCAGCAAGACTGCCTGCTTCAAGGCGGCTAAGCCGTGAGAGTATCGCCTGGGCTTGATGACGGTCGCTCTCCTCCAAGGATTCATATAAATCGTCAAGATTGTCCGGCATTTCTAAAGTAGCGCGTGAGCAACACACAGCTTTGGTCACGGTCTTCTCACCTTCGCTCTTGACATTAAAGCCCGGACCCACACGTTGTTCAAGCCTATCTGCAAACCCCATCATCAACGCCGCTCGTTTTTCAAGGTCTGACCAAATCTTTGAGGCAGCGAGTTCGCGCTTCCTCTGATATAGAATGTAAGCGCTAGCCTTGGTGCAGAGCTCTTCATCTCACCTTCCATTGTTCACTCAAGGCACTTTCATCCTTGGCACTGCGGGGACCCTCCATCCGCTTTCCGTTTTCGTCTTCGAAGAATTCGATGTATGCGACGGGATGAATCTTTGAACTAGAGTAAGCTACGTCTGGGTGTTACACGCTCGTCATACCTTGATAATTTCGACAGCTGCAACGGCCACGTTTCCACCGTCCGCTGTGAGGCTGTTTAGCATTGCAATGAATGGACTTCGCTGGAAGCCAAGCTTTGCGTGCCAGGGGGCCATATGGGACGAGTTGCCTGTCAGCACCAGGACACTCGAATCATATGCCTCGAGGACTTCTTGTCCATCTTTACGCTCCGCAGAGAGCTGCACGAAAAGTCAATTAACATCACGATGTAGGGTAGTTCCCGTCGCTTACCCTGGCTCCAGTAACAGCAATTTTCCTCCCGATCTTGATATGACCCTTACGGATGGCTCTCGCAAGCGGTTTATCGACCCTCGCGCGCAGTCTATACCATCCGTCTGTCACCTCTAACTCGGGATGTGAAGGAATGGGAAAACCGTCGTCAGTTTCTCCGGCTGGTGACCAAGTGACATTTGAGACGCAAAGCACCATCGGGGATGCAGCAGGCGCATCTCTTGTAGTAATCAGTCGTAGTGGTGGTCGTGTTGACCCGTTCAAGTCTCGTTCGTATCTGCGCCAGTGGTTAGTCAGGGAAGAAACGGTTAGGTAGATAGCACAAACCTGTACAGTAGCTGGCGGATTACTTCAGGCCAGCACCATCGTTTGCGATCGGGATCGGACTCTGCTTCTGGTTCGAGTGAGACCATTCCAGAGAGCTTCCAGAGGATAAGCGGCCAATGGTTGTTAATCCATTCCTGTGTGGCCAAGGAACATCCTCTTGCGTAGAGTTCTTCTAAAGCGGCAGTAGGTCCGAGAGGTTTCGCATCAGAGGGCTGAACACCTTCATTCGGTGTAGCAGATGGCGTATAAAACGAGTAAAAGAGAGCAGTAGCTGGTGTTATCTGGGATAGTTCTGTGACATTTCTATGTGGAAGGGTGTTAGTAATCAGTATTGCAGCTGAACTGACTGACTGACATTCCCCGATCCTCAAGTTCTGCGGTTGTGTAGGCCTGAGGTATAAGACTGGAATTGGCAAGTGTCATCCTTCCTGCAGGAGGTACTGTAACAAGGGTGATAAGTTTACCGGTGGATCATTGCAGTGAAACACTTACCAAGGTTGAATACTTTGCCTGTACCCTTTTCAGGAGCTTTCTTTACTGGCCTGGGAGACTGGGTTGCTGAGGGCGGATACATAGGTCGCTGTAAGCCGGGGCTTTGGGAAACAGACGATGGTGTAGCTGATGCCGCATTGTTCAAATCTAGAGGTTTGACGCCTGGTTTAAAAGGCGTCACAAACTTGTTCTTGACCGGACCACCACGTAGATTTCGCGGTGTAAGGCCCAGTGGTCGAAATGCGCCACCAGGATTAACCGATGGTGAGGGACGAATAGGCGTTCCTGGTACAGCAGAACTAGATGGAGTCATATGAGAAGATGCGGACGCGAAGCTCTGACGATGAGGATTGAGGGGTGAGTTGATATATATAGAGGTGGCTATCCCCGTGATTGGCTGTCGTGATGGTACGGAGGTGATCAAAGGAGATTTAAAAGGTTTCTGCTTTCCCTTGAAGTCGCTGACACGAAGCGTTGGTGTGTCAAGTGTTGATCGTGCTGCAGCTTCAATTGACCTGCGAGTAGCCATCACAGGAGTCGGCGTATCCGGAACTTGAGGTGACAATGAATTGTGCACTGCTCCCAGAACGGTGCGCTGAGGCGAGGATGGTCGTGCTGAGGAAGAGGGCGCAAACCCTCCAGATCTTTGGGAGGAACTCGAATCGTCAACCTCTTCCTGCCACAGCTTAATCTTTTCTTCGGCCTTTCGTAATGCGATGGTTGATGGCATAATTAGATTCCCTTTTCCGACGGATGTAAAACCTATAGGTGTGTTGTGACTGACAGTCGCCTCGGGGTCATTCTCTTTGGTTTTGTCAAGGCGGGACGCAGCAGATTGAAAGCCAGGGAAAGCCGCAGGAGGAGCCGAGGTAAACCACGAAGAGTAATCGATTTCCGGGGGCACCTCGGGTGAAGGTGAGCGGTGTGAGTTATCCACATTCTGAATGGGCAAAGCCGATGCAGACTTGAAGCCTACTGGAGGGAGAACGGCAGACGCTTTGGAAAAAGATGAATATACTGCTTGTTTCGTGGCGTTTGAATCAGCGAAGGGGTCAGAAGCAAAAGGATTGTTGTCGTCTTGAGATGTTATGTCCTGAGAGGAGAGTAGGTCCTGATCGGACGAAGTGCTACGATCTCCAGCTTCGCCAAGGCTGAGCCTGCGGTGTGAGTTTGTTGGTAGGGGTAATTTGTGGAGTGGAGGAGCTGGCTGAGAGAGGCGTGCCTCTATGGCATCGAAAGCGCTTATATCGTCTTGACTCATGTCATCGACTTGTTCGTCGTAGGTCGGAGAAGACATTCTCATCTTCTTCCTGGGTGGACTAGGAGAAGAATCTACAATTACAAAGTCAATGTGAAGCCTGAAGGAAAGATACTTGAAGTATCCCACCTAGATTATACATTTTTTGTTACAAGTTACAGGGTTGTTTGAATGTTTGCCATCTACGCGACGCGTCTTAAAATTTGATCACGTGTGGCATTACATCAGCCTCAGCCGTTCCGCTGTGAACCTAGCCATTGATCTAACGTATTGTCGTCCACGCTATATATGTTTTTATAGAGTGTCCGTAGAATTTTTGAATAATAAAATTGATTTCATTGAGATTGATTTTGGCTAGCTAACGACCTACCGGTACGCGTATATAGTTGAAACCCAGATATTGATCATCCTCTTAGCTATTAACGCCCGTCGCCAATCCGCGTAGTGCATGACTTTCCGTGTATTCCGTCTTTGAAAATTTGTTGTTAATCACTGGCAATCAGGTCTGGCCAAACAAAAAGCATCCAGCTAACCTTCACGCTTTCAAAACATTGCTTTCCTAAAGTTCTTCATACCTTGTATCCCTCGCCGACCGCGCAGGTCCACCAGCACGACGTCTGGGGATCAAATACCTATGAACGGTACAAACATCATTCCCAGTCAGAATGCAATAGGTTCGCGGCCAGCCAAACCTCCTCCAACCGGTCTCGCTCCTTCTGCGCCTTCCGTCGCGCCTCCCCTTCTTCCCAATCATCCGAATCCACCCATTCCAAATCGAACACTACCACCTCATTCCAATAACACCGTCGTTAATGGCACTTATACGCATAATCAGAAAGGGAAGAAAAAGAACGATACACCTGTCGATCCTGCTGCTATGTACGAGTCTCTAAAGAGCAGGATCGCTGCTCTGGAAGAGGAGGAGGTCCTTGAGGAAGAGGAGGAGAAGATATTTGGTCCGTTTGTCCTGCCTCTCAAATACATACACCACTCATCCGTTTATCAGCTGAGGAGGCTGTAAAGTCGGTAAAAGGCATGGAGGAGAATGCAGTTCATGCCAAGTACATCGAACTCGTACGTTATCATTCGCATGTCCGATATATGCATCTCTCAATCACCGAACTGCAGTTCGCAGAGCTAAAGCGATTGGAACGCGACCATGCAAAGGAAAAACAGAAATTGGTCAAGGACAAGGATGCTGGTACGTACCACTGACCCACTTCGTTCTAAGATACTCATACTCCACTGTATCCATAAAGCAAAGGGTCAACTAACGAAAGCTAACCAGACTAAAGTTAAAATGGAGAATTTGGCACGCGAGCTCCAAAAGGTCAGCAGACTAATGTCCTATCTCTATTTTCCTAACCGACTTTTGTGCAGGACAACAAGAGACTACGGGTACGCATTACTGCGCAACGAGGTTCATCCCGTATGCTTACACCGGCCTAGGAGGACAGTAAACGTCTAGCACAATGCATAGAAGAGGCACAAGAAGAGGTGTGTCATTTTTTCAGCTGGTAGCCTCACCAACACTGCCTTCAGATCATGCAAATGAAATCCGACATGGCAAAACGAGTGGACAAAGCCAAAACGCAAGACGTCAAATACCGCGAAATGCCTGACATTGTCGTGAAAGTAGTCTGCCGATATCGAGCTGAACTCTTCTTCAAAATCTCACGCAAGACCAAGTTCTCCCGACTGTTCAATGCGTGGACGGATAGAATGGAGGCGACAGGTGGGAAGAAGGATGAGGGGAAAACATCGGTGAGCGGGAAGCAGATGAATGGCACTGCCAAGTCGGAAGCCGCCAGCACGCACACTGTCGGTTCCAATGTGTCATCCTCGATGCAATTCATCTTCTCCCACAATGGTCGGACAATAGATGCGGACCAGACACCAGAAGAGCAAGGAGTAGAAGACGGAGATGAGATTCTTGCTGTGGAGCTCATGGACCTGACCGAAGGACCCGGCATGGATGACTTCGTGAGTGATGACACGAATCGTGTTGGAAACTGAGGGTAAGAGATATACCCATACAGGAAGACCTCTCAGAATCTCGTCGCCAGCGCCTCAGGAAGAACTGGACAGATGATCCACAAGAGTGGGTTCCCTCGCTCTCTTGATCCGCCCAACTAACACTGATTAGCGCCCGGCGGTCATTGGAAGATATCTTTGATGGCGTGTGCGTACCCCATTTTCAAGAATGCTTGCCCACTAAGTTGTGACTATAGCGTACGAGAACGACTGAAGGAAGTTCTCCGACAGTATGAGCTTCGCGAACGACATTTTGAATGCGTCATCCGTTCAAAAGAGCTAGAGGTTCTCCTATCTCGCGCTCGAGCAGCCGAGCAGAAGCAACTGGCTGAGGGGGAGAAGTCCCGTGCCGACAGAATGGACGACGAGGTAATTCAAATTTTATTCATATTTACAGTGCATCCCCCTCAGCTTTTCTCAACATCAATCCAGAATCAGAATCTCCGAAAGGAGTTGGAAGATGCGCAAAACGGACAAACAATGTTGATCGATAAGCTCATTACCTGCTGCAAGGAGGTGTGTGCATCTATGCCATGCAGCAGTGCGTCTTCGATTTGACGTACTGATACACAGCCAAATGCCGAGCGGACCCAACGCTTATTCGCCTCTCTTCGAGATGAGTTGGAAAAGCGGGGAGCCAAACTTGCAGATGGCGGCCCTGTAGGAGGTTGAACGTCATTATATTTATTGTTCAGCTTGTTTTCTAGGGGATGCGAATCACTACTGATATCAAATGATCGGGTGTACAAGTGAGACGTATTGACTGAAAAACTGAAAGAGGATGTCCATGTACCGATGCGAAAGAGTAGTTGTACAAAAAAAGTCCACAATCCAAATTCGATTAGAGGTCCATGAAGATATACTATACCGACTAGAAAAGAGCATCGAGCTCCTCGGGGTTTTCAACGTAACCTGACTTGGTAAAGGTCTTGCCCTTTACAAACTCCAGGCCCTCGCCTGCATAGCTGACACATGGAGAGAGCTCGATCTCCACACCATCCTTGACCTGGGCACCAGCCCTCTCCAGGAACCGTTTGTGCTGCGCAAGCAGGTCGCGACGGCTAGTCTCTGGGTTATCTGCACCACTTCCAGGCGCATTTTTGAGCGGACTGAACTCCTCATTACGTGCAACTTCCAAGACCGCAAAGCGCTTCGTAAAGGGGAAGACGTCAAACACAAACAGCTCAAGCTTCATGCCATTAGGTTCACTCGGCTTGATTGTTTTCCCGGTCTTCAGATCAACTGTGGGAATCTTCTTGCGAGCGATGTGGAATGCAAGGTCATCTTCAAACGATTTGACAGATTTGAGATAGCTCGTCGTGTAGAAGTGGTTGGCGATGTTAGCGGCATTGAAAGCTAAATCTCCAGTCTTGGCGTTACGAAGTTCCGCTTGTTCCTTCGAGATCTCCGAGTACTCGACAACGCTGAACTTTTCTCCTCTACGAGCGACAACACCGACTGCCTCCGAAGGAGAGGCCTTGGGAACTACCTTGGCAGCACAGTCAGCCTGCTTGGATATGCAGTAGCCGAGGAAAACGGGGTCGGCGACTTTGACAAGGCAATTGTCAACGCAGTATGCATGAACGTAGAGAATTCCGCGATCAGTCAAGTCAGAAAGAACTGTTGAATTGCTAGACTCGGATAGAGGTGTGCGTGTAGCGGCATACAACCCGCCGTTGCCGTCAGGAGCGACCGCAATACGCGATGTGTTCTCGAGCATGATCTTGCCTTCCGCAGTCAAGCATGGGAGAGTGCCTGAAGACCCCGGTCAACATAAATGAGTTACAAGGAATAAGTATTATTACCTTGTTCGAAAAAGACAACGTTCTTTGAACTCAATCCGAAGAAATTGTTCTTCGTGAAGAATGCCTCGGTCTCACGACGCGTCGGACCGCTGGTCATGACATACCACGGCACGATGACTGAACCTGCAGCTTTGTTGCATTCCTTCCCGGCAACAACTTGGAGGCGAGCGATACGCTCAGCCTGGTACTGGAAGAGACTTTTGTGTGAAGGCAAGCCGATGTCATAACAACCCTTGGGCGCTGAACTGCCCAGACGGGTACCTTGACCACCCGCCATAAGGAGGACACCCACCTCCCCACGGGCGATGGCCTGGAGGCCCTGACTACGCCATGACTTCTCGCTTGGAGAATCATTAACGATAGACTCACACGCCCCAACAGGAAGGGGTTCAATAGGCTCGGGGTCGGCAGCGGCTTCCTTCTCAGAGGCGATGGCCTTCTTGTAAATCCTGTTGACGCGATCGACGTCAAGGTTTTCGAGTTGGCGGGAGAGCGATTTGCGTTCTGATTCTTCAAGGGTCGACCAGAAAGTGAATAGGTGGTCGTGGCCAGCAGCCTGGTATCTGTCGCGGATATTATCAACAGCCATTATTTGTTGGAATGAGCTAAAGAAATCGTGATATGCCGTTATTTAACCTATAGAGCTGAGTCATCACAGTGGCTGTCGTCGTGGAAGGTGCCGGTTCCTGAGTGCTCGGAAGGAATCGGCGGCACACGTCCCAGATTAGTGTGGGGCATCGGCACCTCTCCGAGCGCAGTTTAAACTCCGCGATGTTAATCAATCCCGTCGACGCGCCTGCCGCCGCCAACTACCGTATTAACATCTCACTGGAATACTTATTTGCTACATGTTCATACTCCGCCTCATTGGGGGCACGAGGCTGGATGATGTCGTCCTTGAGAAGGCTAACATGCAAGAATCTGTTCAGGCCCCAGATCAATAAGTCCTTGGTGCTGTTGCAGACAGTGAACAAGCGTGAGAAACAGTGACGAACGCAGCAGAATTCATACTTCGCTTGGAGGTCCCAGACCGGCCATTTTTCAGAGATGCCCTCAGCAGTGAGTCAGCACACGTCCAGTGGCAAGCCTTTTCCTCCTGACCTCGATTCCCTTTCATCGCTGCACTACACAATTCGCTCACATATTTTGTATCGTCCTATATCTTCTATATTCGATATGACTTGCAGTCGTTTAGGTCTCAATGTACCTTCGCAAGGATCTAATGCTTCAACAGCTCCTTCTCAAAGCTCTACCACTTCGATCAATACCGGCGCACAGGCGGGCCATGTCATCCAGTTTCGACATTCCTCGCAGTTACCTATTTCGCTTCATTACATTGTCGTTATCGCACCGTCGCATATGGGTACTACACTGTCGTGAGCTCGGAGACCAGAATTTTCAGTTCTGACTCGAATACACCGTCTACCCTAGCTCATTTGATTTATCAAGATTCTCATGTGCTTATTGCAAGAGGTGTGCAAATTTGCAATATGTGACTTATACAGCTGCACAACTTCGGAGCCCCCATCTTGCAAGAGTCTTAAACTACACTCCCACAAAGTTGGATTTTTAGATGCGCCGTCCACGTGTCAACATGCATGTCATCCCCAAAACTTATGTTTTAGTTTTTGTAAAATAGTACACAGCCCGAGATGTGACAAAGACAAGGAGTGCTATGGCAATGTTGTACTTCCAACAATGGAAACCTTCTGAGATGAAGGATCAGAAAATGAACTAAGAGAAGGACGTGGGGCTAGAGTGGGCTGGCCAGGACTGCAGGAAGATTCGCCACTATTTATCACACATCGATGCGGCAGTAGCAATTCCGGTGAGTACTGGCCGTTCAATTATTCTTATTTCTGCCTTTCAAATGGGTTGTTCAGCCCAAGGTGAGAACACTTTTCCTTCCCCTAAGTACTTGAAAGAATTCATGTGGTGATCCAGCGCTCCAAGCTCATTCTCAAATCGTAGGTCTTCCGTACATATCTGACGTACTTAATATGACAAGGATCAAATATAATTTAGCACGTGTGCGCCCTTAGCTAAACGAAGCGCTGCAAAGAAAGTCGGCAATGTTGACAATGACTTTCAGAGTCGTTCACTGGCAGCTGCGTCAACAATCCAATTCACTCAGGATGCACATTGCACACAAATGATTGCAGCACACCAAGATGCGACCTTTTGATCAATTTGTACATCGATTATGACTGTGGTGGCAATTTACATCATTGACGCCGGGCCCGAACTTCTTTTATGAGGTCACCATGTGACTGTACTAGCCTAGTGATTCAAGTATGTAATGTGAGTGCCTTCTTGCAACCTGATATGAACTTACTCACTTCAGACTTGAATCACATTGACCAGCGTCCATCAGCATATATGCGAGTCTTTTGAGTATATGTCAACACGAATCGTGATGCGACCGCGCCAGTGTGCACGCATTAGACTTTCAAGCGCTCAAGAGCGCTCAAGGTTCATCCATTTGTGTCAATCTTCCTGCGGTGTAACCGATCTTCCTCGGATCACAAGCGAACTACCGATGTGTAATTGAACCAAGCTATTCCTCATATAAAAGACAATAATGTACTCACCCTCCTCCCAGCTGCCAGACCAACATGCCCCTACTGAATCGCTTGCTCAGTCTTGTTGTGCTCGGACTTTCTGCAGTTCCATCCGTGCTATCCTTCCAGCCGGGCTTTAACTACGGTTCCGAAAAAGTGCGAGGTGTTAATCTTGGCGGCTGGCTTGTCCTAGAGGTAAGGAACCCATACATATTGTGATACCCTCTTTTTATTAATTCATATCTAGCCTTGGATCACCCCAAGTATATTCCAGAACACTGGCAACAGTGATATTGTTGATGAGTGGACCTTCGGCGAGTATCAGGACTATAATACTGCCTTAGCAGCCTTACAAAACCATTGGAACTCTTGGATCACCGAAGATGACTTTGAAGCCATCGCAGCAGCAGGGTATGGTCTGACCAATGCTCATTGTATTCCCTCTGAAATATTCTACAGCTTGAACCATGTTCGTCTCCCCATTGGTTACTGGGCATTCGCGGTCGGTCCAGGAGAACCGTACATAACTGGGCAGCTAGATTATTTGGACAAGGCCATTACCTGGGCGTCAAACCATAATCTCAAGCTCATCATCGATCTGCATGGAGCCCCTGGCAGTCAGAACGGGTGATTCCAACAGTAATATCATCCTGGCATTGCCTGTCGTGCTAATATTTTCATCACAGTTTTGATAATTCCGGTCAAAAAATGTCGTACCCAACATGGCAAAGTAACCAGACCAACGTCGATAGGACAAATGATATCATCAAGACCATTATTTCTATGGTCGATTCGGAGTACGAAACAGTGCCTATCATTGCACCACTGAATGAGTGAGTTCCTTTATATCCTGCTTTACTCTCAGTTAAATTGATGGTTTATAGACCCGCAGGATTTGACGGTGATCAAATGCTCTCAGTTGTGAAGCAATATTGGACAGATTCGTATCAGAGCATTAGGCAAGCACTTAGCCCTCGTCCTAATTTTAGCCAATAACAACGGGACTTATAGATATCCTTACGGTTCATCCACAGAAAGTAATACTGTTGAGCTCATTCATGACGCATTCCAAAGTCTTAGTTATTGGGATGGCTTTATGGTCGACGGATATGACGGCGTCGCAATGGACACTCACATCTACCAGATGTTTACATACGAGGTATGCACACTCCCTTTCCTCTATGATGCAACAATGTACTAAAGACGTGAACAGCAAGTTGCCTACAACTATTCTCAGCACATCAGCGAGGCGTGCAGTCATGGGTCTAGCCTCGCCGACTTTGACATGTGGATATTTGTTGGTGAATGGACTCCTGCATCGACAGACTGCGCGACATGGTTGAACGGTCGCAACACTGGAGCACGCTATGACGGAACCCTGTCAGGCACAACCGCGGACGGCAGCTGTACGGGCAAAACAGGCGATGCGACGAACTTCAGCACAGAATACAAGCAATTCATGCGTCAATACTGGGAAGCTCAGGTCATCTCCTACGAGAAAGGCAGTGGATGGATTCAATGGACCTGGAAGGCTGAGAATGCGGATGATTGGAGTTACCAGGCCGGGTTGCAGTATGGATGGATACCACAAGACCCAACTAACTTGGAGTACCCGAACATTTGTGGTTGAACAATGGCAGCAATGCCAAACATTTTATTAGCATTACAGCGGACTCATGGTAGCAACTTACATAGACCAGCATATACCCGTACTTTGTCTTGTTTAATCGATCCATGCATATGGAAGCGGAGAAAACTTTGCCACAGCGCCACTAGTACGGCGTGATGTAGTAATAGGCTTCGAGCTTGCCATATAAACTCCAACTTGTTGAAGGTGCAACTCCGCACTCCAAACTTTCATCCAGTGACTGAGCACTCCATAGAAGACACGGATCGCACTGAAATGGACTCTAGATCTGTTATACTCTGTTCACAAATGATCGAGCACACAAACCACCGTGGCCGCCTGGTGAAGGAGTGGCGTGCCTCCGCGGCGTCAGCATCATCTCGACTCAGTACTCATCGACATCTTTAGAGCTGACTGGACTATTACTCAAGCTCAAGCAAAGCAGGATGCATTTTTGCCAGATTCCCGGGCCAGTGTGCGATAAATTGACAATCGGAGTTATGCTATAAGTATACTATATGTGTCTCTACTATCGAGTTGCCCAGGAGGGCAGAAGCCTTTCTGCAACTGTATTATCCTGGGACGATCCAGCCCGTCTGGCATGACGATGGATCCTCACGTGAAGCACAATTTCCGTGCCATTCTATGAACGCATTCTCCATTCGATCATAACACCTTGTTTCTAATATGTCTGATGGATCTAGGCGTACGGCATCCTGTGCTCTGAATTGGGGATCCAAATATGTATCACCGGAATGGCGGCTGCGGTCATTGGATATTGGAGCCTCAGCCTGCGCATGAAAAGTCCCTACCGGCATCATGATGGTGCTGAACACGTGCGGAAAAGTGAGAGCCTCACTTTTCGCAGATTGGTAGTCTTCTCTGCTTCTTGCCAGTTCTATTAAATAATGCCCGAGGTCGATGGATTAGCCATAAAACCCGAATAAAATGCGACTGGGCTTGGTTCGATGAATTCAATCTCTGCTAATTTTTCGATGTTCTCTGCGTTTTTGGCCCTCATCGGGCTGTCTCTGTTCCACTCAGTATCGTCTCAGTTTTCTCCTGGTTTCCCTTATGGTTCTCAGATGGTGCGAGGTGTCAACCTTGGAGGTTGGCTCGTACTCGAGGTATGTGCAATAAGGCGGACGACGGTCAAGGGTCTTAACTAATCATCATGTTTGGACGTAGCCATGGATCACCCCCAGTATATTCGACAACACAGGAAATCCTAACATTGTCGATGAATGGACATTTGGACAATACTATGACCGTGCCACTGCGACAACCGTACTACAGAACCACTGGGACACCTGGATTACGCAGGATGATTTTGCAAATATCGCTGCTGCCGGGTACGCGCTCGGCCCTGCAGGCATATATACCATAATTGACTCGTCGGCATGCTACAGATTGAACCATGTGAGACTGCCTATTGGGTACTGGGCCTTTGAAGTTGGCTCTGGTGAGCCATACATACAAGGCCAGCTTCCTTACCTTCAGAACGCTGTACAATGGGCTAGCCAATACGGACTCAAGTTGATCATCGATCTCCATGGGGCTCCCGGAAGCCAAAATGGGCGCGTACTATTTGTGTCTTGGTGTCTCTTGATGGCTCACGCAAAATTGTAGGTACGACAATTCTGGACACAGAATGTCATACCCTACATGGCAGTCAAACCAAACGAATATTGCCCGGACAAACGCGATCATCGAACAGATTGCTTCCATGTTTGCCGACCAAGCTGATGTTGTTCCTATCATCGCGCCCCTGAACGAGTGAGTGTACCCGAGAGAGCATCCTTGAATGAATGTGACGTGCTTTTCTAGACCAGCTGGATACTACGGATCATCTGTGCTAACACCTTTGAGACAATATTACTACGATTCTTATGGAAATATTAGGTGAAAATAATCACCCGTTGTCTGCTATAGAAGAAGAGTGCTGATGCGTTATATAGGTATCCATATGGCACGTCGACGCAGAGTAATACTGTCGTTCTACTTCATGACGCTTTCCAGTCTTTGAGCTATTGGAACGGATTCGAGACCACGCCTGATTTCCAGGGCGTGGCGATGGATACACACATCTACCAGGTGTTTTCCAATGAGGTATGTCCCTAAGATAGAAAGCCCTTTCCAAAGTCTTATCCTTATGTTTCCGCAGGATGTCCAAATGTCTTGGCAGAGCCATATTGATACTGCGTGTGATACTCAATCTACTCTTTCCGATTTCGACCTTTGGCTTATGGTCGGTGAATGGTCACCCGCCATCACTGACTGCGCCACCTACCTGAATGGCAGGGGCAACGGGGCCCGTTATGACGGTTCCTATCCTGGTTCCACTTACGTTGGAAGTTGCACCGGACTTACCGGGAGCGCATCTACTTTTAGCTCGAGCTATAAGACTTTCCTTCGTCAGTTTTGGGAAGCACAAGTCATTTCCTACGAGAAATCGAACGGGTGGTTGATGTGGACGTGGAAGGCAGAGAGTGCAGACGAATGGTCATACCTGGCTGGATTGCAAAACGGCTGGATACCCTGGTCTCCTACTGACCTCGAATACCCCACTATTTGCGGATAGATGCACCTACTCGCTTTAGTAGAATTCTCTCTCTCGCTCCTTCCTAATCCTGTGTTTGTTATTGTTCTGCATGATTGCCCAACCATCGTATTTATACCCAGTTTTTGAAGGATCACGTACTCTGACATAGTCGCCAAGTTTCTCCCATTTGTATAGAAGAACCGCATGGTTAGTTCCGCAGACATAATTCACTCCCATGTGCGAATTCCACCTGTGCCCAGCGCTCTCAAACCGCTCCCCATCAAGTTGATGTGCGCAAGATTGGAAGTTCAAAGTTCAGCTTCGTGTAGTACTGTATGATCGTGAAGAAGGCTGAGTTGCCAAGAAACGAGACAGTGTGATTATAACCAAATTGGCTCCAAAACTTCCGATGCCGTGTTGCGCTACAGCACTTGTTCACGCCCTCTTTTACGTATCATATCGATTATTCCATGCACTGCCGAACTTGAAAACAAGCATATCAACACAGGCACTGAATAGTTGAACGAGCCTTCAGGCTCATCAACAGCTGTACTTTCTCCCATCAGGAGATACGAAACAGCATTTTTTGCACGAGCGTGGCCGATATTTCTGTTAACTTGATTATGCAGGATATACTATCAAATTCAGAGTCGCTGGCTGGAGATCTGTGTGGGGTGATTGAGTCAAATCGCTGAGTTCGAGGTGCGTAACTACACTATGCAGTGATACTTGTGAGCAGTACTGTCGGAGTAGGTGAGCCATGAAGTTAGTGCGATACCGAGGATCAGCTAGACTGCTGCAACGAAATTGTCATCACCATTGGGCGCTTTGAGGCTAGGATCACTTACTGACACCGCTTTGCTTGAAAATGCCTCGTCAAGGCACACCACGTATGATGAAAACAATTTGTTGCAATAACCGTTAACTAAAATTAAGTACAGAAAATATGCAGTGATCTAAGCGTTCAAACCTTCATGCTCCTGCGACACCATATTTTTTAAGTGTCGCCTTCCAATCTCCTATATCCCCGCGCCCCATGGTCAAAATCGTAGCCTTGTTTCCAGATGAAGGTGCGAATAGTCTAGTAGCGACGCGGCGCACGCAGTCAGGAGTCACTTTGTCGATGGCCGCCGTCATATCAGTCACAGGAATCTTCCGACCGTGGACAAGCAACTAGAGTAACACGTAAGTATGCAAGCATGTTTATGATAAAAGTTTGTCATACCTGTCGGCCAAGATCCTCTACCTCCACCGCCCGACTTTCGAGAGCCATCATGAGGCTCGATTTGAGCTGATTCTTGGCACGCTCAAGTTCAACTTTGGGGACAGATTGGTATATGAGCAAGCTAAGCTGATTGGCCAGGTGGGGCAGCATTTGTGCAGGAGTATTGCCTCTCTGGCCAGGAGCATTGGGGACGAATGACGCAAAAACACCGAAGAGCGAGGAATCTGTGTAAATATGATGGAAGGAAGCACAGTGGTCGATTTGGGTGTAGTGATTCAGGATGTGCGTATAAAGTCGGGAGTACATGCCCTTCCCAGGACCACCTGCAAGAAGTTAAATAAAGCATGTGGCGCAGGAAATAATTACGCACCAGCTGAGAAACTTCCACCTCCTCCCAGGAGGACTTGCATAGTGGCGAGGGCATATATATCCTCATCATGAATACCTACGCCCTCAAAGGCTAGATAGAGCTGATCGAACTCTGTCTCGCTCGGGATGTGATGGATGCCACCAACATAATTAGAGTGAGGGTTCAGTGGAGGAAGCGGTGGCTCGGTAGAAAGGGACGTAGGGTATAGATAAGTTGATGCAGCACGAGTTAATGACTTATAGAGTGAGGGTGAGGAAGAGGGAAGTAAGTGGGGCGGAAGATTTTGAGTAGCTGACGGCTGAAGTGACGAAAGTGACGGTGTTGGCGCAGATTTGAGAGATGAGAAGTATTTATCGGCTAGCTCTACTAGTCGTTCGTGATGCATCCCAGCACCAGCAATCACCATCCTTTCCGGGCGGTACCAGTTTGTAATGCAGTCCCGAAGTAGGTCTCCAGTAATCGCGTCTATTCGCTCTTCTGGACATAGGAGGGGATTCCCAAGTGTTTTCCTGCCGTACGCAACCTCATGCAAGACCTCTGGCAGAATCATCTCAGGCTTCTGGCTAATTTCTCGGATCTCGTAACGAGCGGCATCTCTCTGGGCGTCAAGTTCATCAGGTAGAAAGGCAGAATTCAAGATGGTGTCTGATATAAGCGAAAGCGCGAGGGGAGTAGCTTGGTCGAAGTTGGACGATTGGTACATGATGGATTCGCGTGACGAAGAGCACATGATTTGGCCACCTAGCTTGTCCATTGCGGTCGCCATGTCTTCCGTGGAGCGAGAGCTGGTAGTCTGAGCAATGGAGCTATAAATAATGGCACAGATACTGCCTAAGCTACGCACCTTGAAGGCCATCCTGTCCAGAAAATGGCTAACGCCTGAGGTTGATGAGTCCTCATACCTGGACCCCGCATTCACGTAGAGTCCAACGGATGAAAAATGACCGGGAGTCGACTCTGTAGCAACTCTAATCTTGTTGGGCAAAGTAGTGATCTGCAATGGAGGGTGTACTGCTTGAGAAAATTGCCGCTGGCTGCGACGGACGAGCGACGTTGTTGCCTTCCGCATGGTGAGTAAAGTCCAAGGTCGAAAAACTCCGAACACCGAATATTGTGAACTCCGGGAGTATAATTACGTACTCGGTAAACAAAAAATAGACCCCACCGTGGTTCGAACACGGGACCGCACGATCTGCAATCGTATGCTCTACCACTGAGCTATGGAGTCATGTGATAGAGCCCAAAACATAATTAGCCAAAAACACATTGGATGTCACTTCCAAGTAGTCTATGTAGTCTAAGCAAGATAATAATGATACTGAATCTATCCAACGACATCGCCCACACTCCATTTGGCAAACTCCAGGACTTCAATACCTCCTTCTTCATCATCCCGGACAAGACCTCGTTGTTTACTCCAGTTCTCTATGGCCATCCGTACTGGTTTATTTGCACTCTCTCCTCCAAGCATCATGAACGGTTGGTTGTATAGTGCCGTCTCATCACCGTCCGATGACTTGATCGAGCGAGTGTCAAAGCCAGCGATTTGCCGTGCAAGTGCACGTTCAAGTCGCTCTAGATCTTTGACAAAGGCCTCACTCTCAAGGCAGCGTGCAAGCTCTGGAGATTGAAGAGCGAGCACAGCCAAAGACCCGATGCGGCCATGAGGCGCGGAGCCCACAGATCCGTGCAGGTAGGATGCGAGACGGAGACCAAGATTGGGAGACTGTCCCGATAACGGGTTTTGCACGACCGTCACAGCTCTCTTCAGGGAAACCTTCTCGCCCACTTTGGCAATGAGGTCTCTAATAGAGCTTGACACTGTAGATGTCGAATGAGATGAGGGGTTGTTTTGAGATAATAGTGGGGCATCGTTCAGAACATCCAGTGAACAAGATCTGATGATAGTCGAAGAGTCAGTTGGTTCCGTGATAAATGCGGCGGTATGAGCTATATCTGCCGCTAATTGACCGAATAAGACATTTCTTCCAACAAAATCTGTTTCGCAGTTCAATTCAATCATGGCTGCCCGTATACCGCCGCCCCCCAAGGATTTTTTCCCCCTGCTACCTCCAGAGAGCATGCAGACACTAACAAGCCCTTCCCGAGTCTCCCGAGACTGGACGTTTGCGGCCTTTTTTATGCCCGACGCTGCGAGATCATTTTTCACCCATTCGAGGGCTCGTTGTATGTCGTTATTAGTTTGACTGAGGGCTTCTCGTGCTTTTGAGATTGAGACCTCTGTCAGTTTGCGGAGCTGCGCAACATGCTGCAGAGAGGGCTTGGATGGAGTTGTAGAATAACACGACTGGCCAACACGCGAGAGCCTCGATGCGTGAAACGGTTTCGATGAACGGACAAATTGGGCTATCATCGTGAAAGGATATTGATGGAACGAGAAGGGTTCTATACAAAATTTTGTGCGATGCGCGACTAGGCACGCTCACGTGATGCCCAAATTTCTTGTTTTGGGATATGCCGCTTTGCTATCCATTTCACTGTCGCCCGTCAGTCATGGATTTTCAGTTCAAAGTCCCCGAGTCGGTCCCCCAGGATATACTCCTTATTCAAGAAATTGTCGGAGTTATCCCTCCACCAAAAGCGGATGTTTGGAAGGATGTCCACAAGTCTACAGACTCAAGCGATGATTCAATCGCAAGCTCGTCCAGCGAGATTGACAGTGAGGACGAGGTTGAAGCCGATTTAATGGTTCCAGAGGAGGAATCTTCCAATCCCACACCTGTTTTGTGAGTCTCTGAATGCTATCGGTCAGTTGATATCTTGAGAATGTTGCCAGACCAGGATCACCGGAGTCAGACTCAAGCTCAGACTCTGAATCCTCTGACTCGGATTCCGAGTCAGGCGAGGATGAAACTGCTGATAAAGCAGAAGATAAAAATGCGCTGAACCCTCGAAAACCACAGATTGATGTGGACGATGACGAGGAGTCAGGCGCTACAGCTGTTGCATCATATGTACAGACCAAAAATGAGATTGTCGAGACAGACATCGTTGTCCCTTCTATATCAGGAGTCGGACTCGAAGAAGTATTGGAAAAAGTTGGCGAGGTGATGAACATTATTGGGAACGTAGTAATTGTGAAAGGCCTTCCTGCTGACTCCTCCAGAGCTGCGTCTGAAAAGGCACTCGATGTCGAGACATTACTAGTATTCGACGATCGACAAGTTCTCGGCCATGTGCGTATTTTGTATTCTCAGGATACCTCTTCTGACCTTATGCAGGTGTATGAAACGTTCGGGCCCACTTCTCAGCCCTTGTATCAAATAAAATTCAACCAGAGCTACCCGTTGGATACTGAGAAGATTCGCGTCGCTCGCGAAGTTTACCATATACCACAACGAAGTAATTTTGTCTTCATGGCATACCTCAAAAAGCTTCGCGGCAGCGACGCAAGTAACATTCATGATGAGGAGCCCGGTGAAGATGAAATGGAGTTTTCTGATGACGAACAAGAAGCCGCGTTCAAGCAGGCACGGAAGAAAAGGTATGTGTATGCACTCAAAAATATTCTCATTCTCATTCATTCTTGGCAGACGTGGCATGTCTGTGTCATCGTCTCGACAAACAACTCCTGTGCCATCGCAGTCTCGTTACAATGATGATATTGATAAAATTTTCTACGGGGCAAACCCATATGACGCCCATGGCCCATATGACGACGGGTACCGGGTTGCCGGGCCGTCACGTCCGGCGCCCATCCCATACGACGACCCGTATGCTGACGAGGTCAAAGTGGACATTGTGAAGTATGAAGAACACTTGAACGGTTCTTCCACTGAGGCTCGTCTGTCTGGTAGGGAACCCGAGAGAGACTTTGGAGACAGCAGAGGACGGGGTCGGGGGCGTGGTAAAGGTCATGATAGAGGTGGTGGGGCTCGTGATGGTGGGAGGGGTCGTGGGCGTGGGCGGCCAGAACGTGGACGACGTTCGTGGGGAGAACCTAGATGGCCTCAACAAAACTCAACGGCTCCTTCAATGGAACCGTACAAAACAAGTCCCCCGATTCCTCTATCGCCCACATCTGACGAGATAGAACGCGGAACAAATCAACCAGTTGGAATCCCCGGCTATTCTTCACAGCCTTTCTCACCTCCGCCAACGTGGGGTTATCAGCAAGGCGGTTTTCAAAGTCATCCATTTGGACAGCAGCAGCAACAACAACAATCCGTACAGCCGCACATTAATCCTCGATTCGCGTCCGCATTTGGATTTAATGGCCCTCCTGCATGGTTTGGGAACCAAGAGGCTCGGCTCAACTCTTATCACGCACAACAGCCTGCTCAACCCTGGACGAATCAGTGGTTGGTGCATGGACAGGAATATGAAAATGCGGAGAGCGATGCGTACACCCCGATCTAGTTCATTCATTCATGTTCGGCGGGTTTCTTCAATCGCATACATTTGACGGTACTCTCACCGAAATCATACCTGCCCAGAGTTGTCCTAATGTAAAACACCACGATGCCGGCAGCGAATAACGCAAGTCGCCTGCCGAGCTTTTCCATCTTTGGCTTAAGCCATGTGCGTACTTTTTCCGTACTTCCTTCTAGCTCGCAGTGCAACAATGTGATCTTCCAAAACGCGCCACAAGTCGCTTAGGGAATTGATACTCTAGCACATGACATGTGCCTTAGTGCACGACAGGCCTGGCACCAGTAAACTTACAAACAAATGGTGGAGCGACACGTAAATTGGAACGGGCGTAACGAAGAAGGGATTGAGGCGATTTTCAAATCGAGGCGTTGTGAGTGGGGTGAGCTCGCACGTGTGCTTCAACCTCAGAAGAGAAGCACACGTGTGGCGGGCGACTCCTTACAAAGGCCATATTGTTTCCTGCGTCAACACTCACAAGCTCGCGATCCGCTTAAACGGTCAACTTTTTAAACTGTAAACACATGACAAGCCTGGCACCGGTCAACGTTAACCTTGCTCCCGAATGTTCCCTTCGTGGTATATCAATATAGGTCTACTGGCACCGGTCAACGTTAAACTTGCTCCCCCTCGTGGCACATGTGCAAATACACAGGCTTGTCACCGGTCAACGTCAACCTTGCACCCGGAGCTTCCCTTCTGAAATGGCATATAAATATACAGGCAGCTGCAGTCTTCTACCTCCTTGTCTAAAATGTCCGTCTCATCACTAGTCATGTCGTCCCTCCTCGGGGTGTCCTACATTAACCCGATGAACTTTTTCCAGAACCTTGATGGCTCAGGATGCGGAACTTCTGGCCCCATATCGTGCCAGGATGCGAACACGCCCCCCGCCGCAAATACCTGCTGTTTTGAGACTCCTGGAGTGCGTCCCTGTCCTGGTATCAGTCGGTGATAATTTGCCCTAACTAGCTCCAGGGCCTGATTTTGCAGACACAAGTTCGTCCAGTTTGCCTTGTTTAACATGTGAAGCCAGAGATAAATTCTTTTAGGTTTGGGACACAGATGTTGCTGGTAGTCCTGCGGACAGTTGGACCATTCATGGTGCGTAATTTATGGTGTTCTAAGTTTGTTCTGACACAGGACATTTACTAGGTCTGTGGCCTGATAAGTAAGTCACAGTAGCTGGACTACTAGGGCAGGTCGTTTGAATATATCGTAGCTGTGACGGCAGTTACATTGAGAAGTGCGATCCCTCTCGTGATTACACGGATATCGCCGGGGTTAGCCGTTCTCTTCAATATCAAGGCACCCCTAGCTGATTTCCCACAGCTACTCGAATCCCAGGGTGCATCGTCTACATTGGATTTCATGCAACAGTATTGGCTCAACGATGATGGAACTAATGAGGAATTCTGGGAGGTACGTGAAACTCGGAGCTTTCGTTTCGTTCGAAAGCTTATTGTCAAGCATTATAGCACGAGTGGGCTACACACGGCACATGCTATAGGTACAGACTCCGGAATTTTTATGCATATCCATTTTAACCTTGTTTAGCACACTGGATGTCGCTTGCCTTCCCAGCAGCAGCCCTACGGGCGCCGAGGTAAGTAGGCGTGATGTATGAAAGTATTTGCCCTGAGTGCTATTATTACACAAGGCTGTGGCATTCTTTGAGACTGTGGTGAGGGTCTTCAAGACCCTCCCCACGTATGACTGGCTTGCTCAGGCAGGCATCACTCCGTCATATGACCAGACTTATTCGCTTTCGTCCTTATTGTCGGCTCTCCAAAATGCCTCTGGAGTAGGTTTCATAGTTTGCTCAAAAATGCATCATCGTAACGTTTATTTTTCAGTACATTCCAGCTTTGAGCTGCTCTCGATCGGGCACACTCAGCTCGATCAGCTGGTACTTTAATCTCCAGGGCTCTGTCATTGATGGCGAGTTCGTCCCGATAGGTGCGTTGCATGTATCAACGGCAGACTGACGGTTAACGTGCGGCTTCTAGACAACCCTAAGGATTCTTCTTGCCCCTCGAGTGGTATCCAGTACCTTCCCAAAGAAGGATAATACCGACGGGCAAAATAGAGAAGGTGTACCAAGCAAAATCTATAATTGTACATGGGTTCTCGATCGTTTCGGACTTCGATTGTGTCGATAGACTATCTAGTGATAACATGCCTCCACCCTTCAATCACCCGAGTCTGGAACTTGAACTACTGGCTCAGACCTTCTTCGTTAAGCAGTTTCCAGTAGATGCAGGCGTTCCAGCTGCAATTACCAGCGGGCTGAATGCTGCTCAACAAACTCAAGGGGTCTTCTCCATCACCAGAACAGGAGAAGAAATTTCCGTGGTTGGTGAAGCTGTCGACGACGATGGCGAATGGAGATGCATCAAGATAGCAGGGCCCATGAATTTTGGTGTCTTCTCTACATTTGTTAGTGACGGAAAGACGATCTAATCTTCGCTGGCTAACAGGGTTGACTGGCGTAATCTGTAATTTCACGACGCCGCTGAGAGATGCTAATGTTCCGGTGTTCGCAGTTTCGACATGGTTAGCGCACGTAGCAGATATGATCCACCTGTGTGATGCTTATCCCTTCATAGGAATACCGATTATGTTCTGGTGCCCAAAGAAAAGGCCGATGCTGCCGTTACAGCACTAACCGAAGATGGCTGGAGGTTTCGAGAAAATTCTCAAGTTCCACGAGACGCATAGTCTAGGGACATTAAGCTGAAGACGATAGTTAACGCGAGATTTGCATAAAAACATAAAGTGTGGATTGTAAAATTGATGGCATGAACTTCGCTTGGTCAAAGAAAGAAAGTTTTGTTTCTCAAGTTCTCGGTCCATGTTAGTACATGTCCGTTTCTTCTCGATCGCTTCACGGACTTCTCTCGTAAACTCTGGGAGCTGGAGACCTGCAACATTTGGTACAGGCAGAAGTCTAGAAGTCTGAGACTAGCGATAACCTAGCTCGAGTGCACTGCTGTTGCTACTCTCGAAAGTACTGGCGACTAGTACAGCTGGGAGCTAGGACTTCCTATGGCAGATTCATCCGAATATTCAACTCTAAAGTCTCGGCAGAAACGTGTCCTTCCCTCCCGCTCACGCCGTGGTGGTCCTGGAATAGGAAGCTGTGATGTTGACCTCATGATATTGGACGCGCAGAGACGAAGATGTTCGTTGCGCTTTTTTGTTCTACCAGTTCATATACTAACATACTTTTGGCAGTCGAAAATGAACCGCTCATTCCCGCAAATACGCAGTTCTTGTTGACCACAAATTCTGTCCTCGTACCCCAACCCTCATCCTCGACTGACTTCGGACTCAATAGTCATGCAAATCAACGCTATTTCGACAGACCAGATGTTATTCAAGCTTATCGAGAACAACAGATCATTCAAACACCTGAATTCACTACTTTGACAGAGGATGCTAGCGTTGGGGGTAGATTCAGACCGAGAATTTCTGCGGAGGTGCGTTGAAAACACGAGTCTCAAACTTTGACATAAGCTCATACCATAAATTATCTCTATTTAGCTCCCTGAGTCGGCAGATACCTCTGATGCTGTATATGAAAAGCGCCATCGGAAGTACGAGACGTTTGAAAAACGTCAGCGTCTCCGTGAAAAGGAGAAGCTGAAGCATGAGCAGTACAAGCTCAAGGAGAGGATAGAACAGCTGAGGGCGATGGACGGAAGTGCATTCCTCGGATTACCTGCAGCATCTTTCCCCCTACCAGCTGGTGTAGTTCAGATCGAAGACGGCCAACACTCGAGTTGTTCGGAAATTCACGCTGACGGCACAGCCGTGTGTAACGAGGGGGAGAGGCGACGGCAGGAGATGCTTGAGGTAGCTTCTATCCTGGAGGATCGGTATCGCACACTGTTACCGTCAGACAAGAAGAACTATTTCGATCAGAAGAAAGCGAGCAGGCAGAGTAGCGTCAATATCCCTCCTTCCTCCGACATCCGCCCGCAAGAGGAGTCGATCGTCAATGGGCGAGCTTCCGCCGCCATTTCACCTGCCAAAGTCAACACTTCGCTTGTCTTGAAAATCAAGATGCCAAAACAGTCAAGCTTTTCCCCATCAGTATCCAGCACCCCAGCATCCAAGCCCACAGCTTATTTATTATCTTCTTCACCATCCAAGTCCAAATCGGTATCTAGAATGTCTCCAGCAAAACCAATATCTAGAGCCTCTTCTGATACAGAGTCCGTCGAATCCGAACGCCCGCACAAACGCGCAAGACCGTCACATCTCGATGAGGCATACTCTCCACACTCTACTCCAGAACATCATGCACCACGCCCTTCGCACCACGCACTGGCGCCAAAGCCAGAACCATGCGTTCTCATGCAGGCTGCTATCCGTGCCTCATCTGCGCCAACAGCTCGTAAAACGCATAGGCATGTGACTGCGTTTGGCGCAAAAGTACCACAAGAGATTGAGGAACTTAGGGACTTCGAACTTCCTGAATGGATAGTCCCTCCCCATCTCCGGTATCATGTGTTCGATTGGGCGGGTCGCACACCAGAACCTGTAATTATTGCGGAGGAGCGGCCGGGGATGAATGGTGTTGTGCCCGTTTGATCCTTAATCATTCCCTCATGCACTTTCATGATATATATTATACTTCGACGACTGTTTCTGGTGTAACTTATGGCTAATTTTGTCCCCGGGCATGTATTTAGTAGTGGTCATATTTTTCTGGCTTCGATGGATCAAATTTCAGTATGAATGGAGCTGATCATGGTTACGATGAAATTGCAGGGACTGCAAAGTTCTGGTTGAGTTTTTGCCTTGAACATAGTGAAGTCTCGCATACCTGGCGTGGGACTAAGTCCTGCTTGATGCATGAGCTCCACGGCGGCGCGTCTCGGCCTTAATCCAACTTCTCTCCTACGAGCCAAAATCAATTTCGCGTAATCTATTGACCCTGGCGTCTGAGTTGTGGTTTCAATGTTCTCCGGAAGATATCGCGAGTAATCGCCGGCACGTTCTTTCAGAAGTTGCACCCGAGAGTCAATGCGTGACTGGGCAATTGATGGTTGAGCGACATAGGGAATGAGGGCCGGTGAACTGAACAGCTCCGACAAGTCAGTGTTGTTGAAGCTAACATGCAATGCTGGCGGAGCGGGTGTGTCGGTTTCATTGAGATCCTTGACAGGAGATGTAGGCTTAACAGCACGGCTTGGCTTTGGAACCCTTGGACTTTCCCTTCGCCGGTCTGTGCGCATTTCTGCTGGTGCTGACCTAGTAGTCTCCGCAGGAAGGGGCCGTCTCGGACGAGGGTGAGCGGCGGCAGTCTGCGGGTTCGAGGGTCCATCATTGGGACGTCTCTCCTCGTCTTTCGGGATTATTTGAGACCTTCTAGATAGCAGCGAAGTTGGTTTCGGTGTGTGTACAACTTTAGCCTCGACCTTTTTGGGCGCAGCTTCAGTCAACTGCCTCTTCTGCCTCTGAGCAGCACGTGCAGCGAACAGAGAAGTGGTGGATGATGGAACGACCGAGGCTAAAATCACTGTTCAGTGTCATATATTGCGGATCGAGTAGAAGTTACGCACGAATTTCTATGTCTCCCAATGAACTAAGTCTCGGGGCACTCCGACGCGCTTCTTCTACAGAAGCTGCCACTGACTCTGGAATTTTTACATCTGAAATAAAAGATGCAAATGGACTATTCGTGGAGTATGACTGAGCTCCCTGCTTGTAGCAGCGTCCTGGATTGCAGAGCCTAGCAAGAGCCCTTGAATGCTGCATGATGAAAGAGCAAAAGCAGTTGAATTGCCAGTGAAACTGAGCACTACCTGGTAAATTTCCTTTCTCGGAACCCTGACCCACAGTGGAAACTGGAAAGCTCACAACATTACACGCATCTCGTTCGACCTCACACCAAGATATGCACCCCATCTTGGGGCGCATTGCCATTGGCTTCGTGCTGTTTCTTATTCTTTTTCCTGTCTTAACTTGCCAGGTCTACATCATATGGCCATGGTATGGGCGTGAGCTGTCCGTAGAGCTCATAACTCTTCTCTTCCCATTCAAGTGAGCTTCATCAGTCTGGATATACTTTGAAATTTACGCTCCAATAGTGTTCTTGCTATATCGCTACTATGGAACTACTACCTATGCATAGTTACTGACCCTGGGGAGGTTCCGGATGGATGGGTACGCCGAAGGTTCAGGCTTTCAGCCGCAGTCATTCTGATTGATGACACTGTTCTCTAGAAACCGGACACGCAATCAAGCGAAGGGTACGAGGTTAAAAGACTGACAGGCTCCCCTCGCTTTTGCCGTACCTGCCAAAAGTTCAAGCCTCCAAGGTCCCATCATTGCAAACAATGCAACAGGTAAGTAGGAGCTGTCAGTGAATTATTGCGATGCTGACCGCTCAGTAGATGCGTACTGAGAATGGGTAAGCACTTTCGGGTACCGTTTTCTTCATATTCTGACTACCACAGACCACCATTGTCCTTGGACAAACAACTGCATCGGTTATTTCAATTATGGACACTTTATTCGTTTTCTATTTTACGTGGACGTTACTTGCTCGTATCACCTCGCTATGGTCTCATACCGAGTCATGGTCACATCTGGGAGATGGTACCATGTGAGTTTTCTCTCGAAGTATTGAACCTGTAACTGAACATGGAGCAACTCAGGACCAGCCAACGGGTGCCGAACTCATCTTTATCATATTAAACTACGTTTTCGCCGTCCCCGTGATCCTCGTAGTTGGAGGTTTTAGGTATTGTGTACTACTTTACATGCAGAAGCGCAGTTCACTCACCGTGACTATACAGTCTTTATCATTTCCATAGTCTGATGGGCAATACCACGACTATTGAAGGCTGGGAGAAAGATAAAGCTGCAATGCTACGAAGGCATGGTAAAATTGAAGAGGTAAACCTTTCCTCTAAGTAAGCTATAGAAAATTAACCAATTGTATCGCCTACAGGTCAAGTTTCCATATGCAAGTATTTGATTCATGTCGACAAACAAATTACTGATGTAACGCAGAACCTCGGCGTGAGGCGCAATATTGCTTCAATTCTCGGAAACAATCCACTTTTGTGGTGTTGTCCAACCGCCCCTCCTGGAACTGGGCTTAGATACCAGCTTTCAGTTGCTGATGGTGAGTGGAATGAACAAGCTGCAGCACAGGGGCGCCGAAGGAGAGTGAACGATTTGGAACCATGACTGTTACATCTGGTAGCTGTCATTGTCCTCTTACGTCCTCGTTCTGTCGTGTCAGTACACTCATTGCAGCTGCGTCATTATGCTTGATGCGGCGCCCCGCTGACTGATCCTATTGATATAGAACATCATAACTGGCCTCCTCGAGATCCGGCTTTGGCTAACCAACCACCCTTCAAGCTCCCTGACAGTCCATGGACATACGAGAATGGGGATGTTAATCCCAATCTACGTCCATCAAATAGTCAACTACGTGGTGTCAATGGTAATCGGCATAAATCCACACAAGATCCTGTCTCTGTTTTACCACCTTACCATCTAGATTACGAGGTTCCTGAAGTTGATACCCATTCTGGACGACCGTATTCCCCTGGCAATGATTCAGATTACTCAGAAGAGGGATACTCCGGAGCTATCAGGGTACGTCGGGGCTCGGAGGGGTACGAGGTGCGCCCCGTAAATCGGGAGCAGATGTTACAAGAATACGTGCAGGACCGGATTAATGAGGCTGGCCGATACCAAGTGTATGAACCTGAGCACACTCTAGAGACTAGTGACGACGATTTTGAGAAGGATGAGTTTGGGGAGCATATCGATGAACCATCTGGGGAGGTCGGGACTGTTAGGACAATGTCGGATGATGACGTTCCTCTTGCATTACGATGATCAGTGTTAAACTTTTATCAATCACTAGAGACTCTTTGGAAACGGACTGCGTATTGTATTACAAGCACGATTAATAGAGAATACGGGTAGATCAAGGCTGGAATCTAAAAATGGGGGCCGACAAGTACAACCGCTATATGATGGAAACTCTGTCCAAGTACACTTTCCACACGTATCCATTCTTCTCACCAACTTCCAAGACATTCGAACCAACTTGAAGGTCCATATTCCACACGCCATCCTCAAGCTTTTCGTTCATAGGAGTACCATTAAGGTTGATCAATATGCTCTCCTGTTGAGGCGTGGACGCGTTCTGAGCTTTCTTCTGTTCGGCTTTCTTCGCTAGTGCAGACGCCTTGGCTTTTGCTTTCGGATTCTTGGGCGGGCGGCCACGACCACGTTTCCTGGGGCTCGGCTCTTCCTCCTCTTCCTCATCGTCTGGCTGTTCATCGTTTCCATCGCCTTCCTCATCTCCGGTTTCATCATCATCTCCAAAGAATCTGATCTCTGCGACAGAGATCGATTTCTCGTCCTGGCCAAGTCGTATCGCCCAGGATTTGACTCCATCACGATGATCAAGCCAGAGGGGTCTGCCGCGAGGCTTAGTTATCAAGAAAACACCCTTGAGTGCTCGATGTCCAACCAGTACAGGTGCAGGTGATCTTGAAACCGATTGAGACGTCTGGACCTGAGGCGCTGGCTGTGTTCGTACTGCGGAAGATGATATTGCGGGTGTCGGAGGAGTCGGAGCCGGGTGGGTGTATTGGTGGTAGGTGGCATTGGGATAATACTGGGGCTTAGCTGCCGTTGGCTGATACTGCAATGGCTGTGTGGAAACTTGTGGCGATGGTGCAGCTTTCGTTTGCGCCACTTGCACTGCTGGTGTCGGTAAAGGAGTAGGGACTTGAGCAGGAGGAGCTACAGCGACAGACGGTTGGGGTGCAGGTGCGGGTTTAGGTACAGGTGCAGCGATAGGTTTTGAGCCTTGCACAGGTTTAGTCGTTGGAATAGGTACTCCAGCTCCAGGTGGCAGCTGATTGATCGAGGATTGGGCTGAACTCTTGGCATTTCCGCCACTTGCAGGAAGGCGTAACGTTAGTGATCCTCCAGTAACACCCTCTTTCTCTTGTGGTTTGGTTGACGAAGAAGCGACAGTCGTAGAAGGTCCGGCAGTCGCAGCCCCCGTGCCCGGAACTTTTAATTTGATCTTTGCTGGAGGCTTCGCGTACTGTGGTAGCCCGTGCGGCTCTGGCATGTCGGACATGAGTTGACGGAAGTAATCCTGTTGACGTATGAATAAGAATACTACTCGGGGTATGTGACACTCACTCGAAGAATGATCGCATCCTCCCAGATTTGGCTGTGGTCTTGATTAAACTCGAGAGCGTTAGAGAACACAAGCTCGACATCATTTGCGAAGTCTAGAGAGGTTTGATATTCCTTGCGCTTCAGGTGTTTCTAGTAATGTCGTGAACACATACTCCAGAGTCGTCAAAGTATGTGCGACTTACAAAAATGGTCTCTAAGCACATGGGACGTTTAATTTGTGTGTAATACATTGGATAGTCCTTCTTCGACGGCATCTCCATGAAAACGTTAGAGAGCACACGATGTCTGTCACTTGAATCAGAAGTAAGTTGCAGACGAAGGAAGGTGGACTCACGTCTCTTCGTCAGCTTTATCGACAACCTTCTGCAATCTAGCTTTCAAGAGTCGAGTCAAGTTAGGCTGTTTGTTCTTCTTCTCGCTGTCTCCACCGTCAGCAGGCTTGTCCTCATCGTCGTCTCCGTCGCTATTCTTCTTGACTTTCTTTCCTGTCATCTTCGTATACTCCTTATTTACAAATTTCTGCCCAAGGTTGAACATGTGGTGAACATAGGATAAAGGGCACTCACCAGCATGAATTTGGCGTCGAGCCAGATTTGACTGTTCTTCTGATTGTACTTTTTGGCGTTTGAAAAACAGAGGTCGAAATCTTGTCTGATATCATCGAGAGAGTTGTATAAGCCGTCATCTATTTTCTGCTTGATATCGTCCAAGCAAATAGGTTGTTGAATGTAGACATAATAATCAGGATAATGGCGCTTTGAGGGCAAGCGCATGAACGCTGGAGAGCATATGTAACCTCTGTGTGATACACGGAAGAAATGTTAGCGAGATCAGAAAGGAAAATGGTTTGGGGCGGCTGTGATTGCGTCTGAGCTCAAGTTGGGTTTGTTACTCACTCTTTATTGACCACGTCTTTCAACATCTGCCACAACTTTGTTCCCTGCTCTTTCAAACCAGCTACACCAGAACTGCTACCTTCTCCAGTATCCATCTGAATGTCTCCATTTGTCGCGGTTCCTGTGGCGGCTTGGCCAGATGACGCTCCAACTTGCTTTTGTCGCTTTGTTCGAGAGCCGTCAGCGTCATCATAATTCGACAATTGTCCAATATCTCTCTTCATCATCGTCATACAGTCGTGGTTGTCGGTTCTGGCCCAAAAAACCGGATACCGAAGGAAATAACGGCGAACTTCAGCTTGTATAGTCTCGGACGCTCAACCAAGACGAAAATGGACTTTGGAGTCACGTGATTGACTGGCGGCGTTGCGAACCGAAGGAGTGATCTTACTACGGGACCCTGCCAAATATTGTGCACGATCTAGATGGATAAAAGTGTTCAATCATTACACTAATATCTAACGGCGAAGCGGACTTTTGTCGCTAATTCTTGCAACTCGTATCTCGCGCATATCGCGCTTCGCCGCATGGTTGTTCAGCCTATCTCCGAATGCCCGGGCCCACGAAGAATATATCTATCTCTCTTTCCCATTGTTGTCTATGCCTATTCTCAAGTGGTCTCGAAGTAAAGTTGCTCCCCTTGTCTGGCGAAATTGCTCGAGATCAGAACGACATGTACAATGTTCATATACACACCACCACTGCGCCCGTTTATTGAAATCATCAACACGACGTCAATTTCAACGGAGCCCTCACCTTGATTGACCCTTAAAACGCACTGCACCCGAGAGCAGCCAATATGACACGCACATACACATGTGCTCTGAACGCACGGTGTGATCAAAGCCTATGACAGCCAATTGTAACTCTTGGCGAAACCGCGAGTCTTTTCTATGAAGCCAGAGGCACGGAGTTGATCTTACCAAAATCAGCAAGTTGCCAGTAGAGGAATGCCAAGAGCAAGGTCTCTCTGGGAACTGTTGTAGGAGGTCTCAAGTAGACGCATATGACTGCAGCAACGCAAGGAATATGGCATTACTCCACCATATTTTTACTGTTGGAGCAGGCTGCAGTGACAAAGACGTATTGTCAGAGAAAGTGGATTATGTTCGGGGAGTGAGTTCGAGATCCAAGGACTTTATAATACCTAGAAATCTAAGAAAAGTTACATCTAAGTATATCTCGTAGGTTAACTCTGTTTTGACTTCGGAGCAGACTATACCGAGGAAACGCTACTAATTAGAAGAAGATTCCCAATTTTAATCAGATTCTCTACTCACATGAACGTCAAAACCGTTGAGTGGAATTCGGGACGTGAATGATCTGGCAGAGTCGAGCATTGGCGGCTCGCTGCTGCTGCAATTCCGTGACGAGTCAGAGCACTTCCAACAGTTTGGTTGCTGCATGCAGTCGCCCATTTCCACCCAGGGGTTGCCCTTTGAGTTTATTTCGTCCAGTCACAGTATCTTGTATGTGTCTGGACTTCAAAGGCCAAGTGTGGGGAAGGAGATGGGGGAAAACTGCTGACGTGCCTTCGCAGACGCGGCCTATTTTCCACCTCCATAGCATGTAAGTCATTTTCCCCGTGATCAGCTCTACTTCGTAAAGTTGGAGATTGTTGTTACAGGACAAATGATGAGCGGGATGTGCTGAAATAGCATACCCGAAGCCACCATCGATCCCAGCGTTGCGACAATGATATGTCTTCGTGACGAGTCGCATCACTCATGAGTTCACGACAGAGGATCAATCGATCATGAACGGGATGCATTGCAGTAGCACACCTGAAGCCAGGCGGATCCCGCGGAGAAGCGACTGACTGATCCTGGCTGATCCCTGCATCAGCTCGAATGAGTATGTAAATGAGAAAGTTCAAAATTCCCGTTCAATAAACCTAATTATCATACTTTAAAGGAATCGATGACATCTTTGACTGCACGGATTGCGCTTGCGTTTGTCCGCCAAATTCCCCATTCACTAGCTCCGCCGACGCCCATGCCCATTCCGTCTCGACGCCAAATCGAGGCTCCATCGGTCCAATGTCCACCACTCATATGCACTTCACGTAGCCCATGGGGCAGCAACGCCTGGCATAAAGCGCCGACGGTGGATGAATTAATGCCAGACCCTGGAAGTATTTCGATGCGTGTATCCTGGTATTTTGTAAGGTCAAGTAGATCCTTTAAGACATCGAGAGAATTAGCTGAGGTGGCGGTCGTGCCCTGACCGCTTGGAAGAAGCGTCAGACATCGACTTGGAATCAGCTACCTTGTATATTTGTAACGCTTACCTCGTCAGGATGCGGGTGAGTCCATCGATTTGGGACAACTGGTGCCATGCTACAGTAGACAATCAGCACAAGCTCAACAACTAAAACTATATTTTGGCTTGCCATTCTTCGTGTCACGAGTCATGTCAAATGCTCGGTGAAAACAGACTACATCAATGAGCCCGGGAAAAAAGAATGATAAACAGTTGACATTACCTTGTAGAGGCAAAGCTTCTGAGACAAGACTAGAATGAACGTTGGCGCTCTAGGGCTTCGGGAGCACAATAAGAAGGTCTACCGCCGAGTACGGGCCACGTCCACATCTCCTTCAGGAGTGAGAACGCCAAACACAACGCCTTGAACGCCATTCTCTCTAAAATAACGTATATCCTCGACCATCACATCAAATTCAGCCTCAGTGTACACAAAGTCACCAGTCCGAGGTCTGATCATAATCTAGTGGGGCAAATTCGTCAGTAGCGAGATAAAGGCTCAGATAACCGTGATGTCAGTTACCATGATCGGAACTATAGGTGCCACCTTTCGAATAGCTCTCAACAGACCAAGGCTGGGAGTAGTTCCTCCGCCAAGACCTAGATTGCTGCAGAGTTCAAGACGATCCGCTCCTGCATCAACGGCTCTGAAAGTGACCAACAGTGATCAGCTGCTCTTGCAATCGAAATGCAAGGATTCGCACTCACGCCAAAGCAGACTCAGTCGAGTCAACACAGACTTCGAGAATTAAGGGCATGAACAGGAAAGCAATATTATGGCTGTAGTAATGGTAAATACTAGTCCCGCGCACTTAATCTTAATTGGAAATTTATGTAATCGAAAATTGACCATGGTGTGAACTGGCATGCCTTTCTGTTCACGGTCCATCACAATTGGCCCACGACGTACTTAATAGTTTTTCCTAGACGAATCACACAGGAGAAAGACAGTCTAATATCAATAGATTGAATGGGGTCCAACCAGGACGTTGAGGCTGGCTCAAAAGCAAAATACGGCGCATACGACGACGTACTTGTTGAGCCAGAACGCGAATTACTCCTGCCTACGGAATCATACTCACCCACAACTAGTACTATCAGTACGCCACGGTATAGCCTTGTACACCTTGTGTATGCCTTCGTCGGAGGTGCCGCTTTATGTATCGGTGCACGCTTCCTGCTCGACGTCTCAGGTATTGCTGGACCACCACCACTGGGAAACGACGTAAGGGTGCAAGCACCCCCGTATGTTGGTTCTACGGAAGTGCACCAATTCCCGCCCGTAGCCCCTACCAATGCTTTTCCTGACCTCTTCCCCACAAGGTGCGCTTCATTTAAGCTAGTTGAACAAAACTGACTTAACCTGCAGTGTCGGGTATCCAGGTGCTACTCCTACTGGCGCAGAGCCCGGCCTCATCGCAACTGCGCCCTCCCTCCCTTTGCAGACTGGCGCAGCTCAACTTGTGGCACCTCCAGATATCTACGAGCACATCCACTCTACGCATGGTGACGATGTGAAAGAAGAAGAGGAAGAATCCCGCGAACACTATAAATCTGATCGTCCTTTTAACCTTTTCCGAAGCTGGGGCAACCTTTCTCCGTGGTACAGCGTTCCCCGTGGAGCATTCGGCGTCAATGACACAGCAGAGCCCCCTGCTGGATGTGTTGTTACTGGCCTTCATTTACTTCACCGTCACGGTGCCCGTTATCCGACCGAGTGGGGTGCGTATTTTCTTTCCTTTACAACACTGATAGTAACGTACTACTGTCAACAGCGAATTACGGTGGTCCTGCCAAGTTTGCTGCCCGTCTACACGAGAGTGCGTCGCAATGGGAGGCGACTGGGAAACTAGCATTCTTGAACGAATGGTAAGGTGTCCTGCTCTATTCTCTCGACTTTTATCTCATAAAGGCCTGTGCATAGGACTTACAAGCTAGGCGAGGAAGGTATGAGCTTCATAAGTACAGTAATATGCGATGTTCACTCTTCAAACAGTGCTTACTCCCTTTGGCCGACAACAATTATGTGTGTCCATTTTCTAATCTCCTGAAAGGCTCTCATCGTGCACATATAGTTGACCTTGGCGTATCTATGCGTCTCAAGTACGGCTTCTTACTCAAGGTCTGTTTGCTTTCCCCGTGCTACCAAAATTGCATGATAACGAAGAAATGCTAGAACTTTACGGAGACAAATACGATTCCTGTATTCCGGACAGAGTCTCAGTAAGTGATGTAATTTACTTTATCAGTACCATGACACTACCTATTTTCTTTACTCGATTTTGTTAATTCTTTCACCCTGCATTTTTCCTCTTTCCGATCGTAAACTAAACGGTTAAACATGCAGGGACCGTATGCTTGCTTCAGCACTCAATTTTGCCATTGGATTCTTCGGCTACCCTTTTGAGGGGCAGTATCAACAGTTGATTACGATAGAAGCTAACGGAGTGAGTCATTTTCTTGTATCTTGTTATATTTGTTTTGTCGTCTCGTTACCTCGTGCTGTTAACAATTTGAATTTCCTTTGTCCTCTTCCGGTATCTCTTCTTATCCAGTTTTTTCTCTTCCCATTGCACCTCGTTAACCGACGTAGTACTCACTATGATATACTTTGTCAGTTTAACAACACGTTCGCTCCCTACGAGACCTGCCCGAATGCCAGGGTCCCGAGTAAATCGAACCGCTCACTGCCCTACGTCAAAGAATGGGTTTCCCACTTCTTGGCCGAAGCCCGGGAACGACTGTCAAGGGCGATGATCGGAAAGGATGGTCTGCAGGGTGAGTTCGATTGGACCGGAGAGGAAGTGTACGAAATGATGCAAATGTGTGCCTATGAGGTACGCCCACTTGTAGTGGAACGTCCTTTCTGTTGTGGTTGACTGTATTATTGATAGACTGTTGCCCTCGGTTACTCCAAATTCTGTGATCTCTTCACGGAAGAAGAGTGGGAGGGATTCAATTATTCGTATGTCGTGTTTCCCATTTTTGTCTCACATACTAACCGTCACTTATGCGTTATTATAGGCTTGATTTGATATTCTGGTCAGCACATGCGCCTGTGTCTGTAGGTTTTTTACTAATCATGTTCTTTCTCCGACTGCTCGGACTGTGATGTGCCCCAAACTCGTAGGTATGACTCTGCTTTCGGTTCACCTGTTGCTCGCGTCCAGGGTGTCGGCTACCTCCAAGAGCTTGTCGCGCGACTTACCCATACTCCGATCGCAACCCACAACAGTAGCACTAACGCCACACTTCACACGCCTGAGACTTTCCCGCTAGATCATGCTCTCTATGTAGATGCTACACATGAAGTTGTTGTCCTCAATGGTATGTGCTCTTGTATATCGTACCATGCAGTATTGTACTTGCCCACGTTGATGGCTGATCGGTTACCGGCGTGCAGTTATAACAGCGCTCAACTTGAGCACGCTCGCAGCAAGCGGTCCTCTCCCTGCTGACCATATCCCCAAAGACCGTTCATTCCGTTCCGCAGATATCGCACCTTTCGCAACTAATGTGCAGTTCCAGCGTGAGCCACTTGTGATTTATTTCTTCTTGGAGATTTGCTAAGCTACTTTTTGTTCTCTTCCACGATGCTCCTACGGTTCCGTACCTACCTTTCAGTCCTCTCCTGCGCAGCTACCCCGGAACCCCAGATCCGAATTATCATCAACGATGGTGTTGTCCCTCTCCATGGGATTCGCACCTGCCCGTACGATGACAACGGAATGTGCCCACTCCCCGCGTTCATTGAAGCTCAGCAGGAGACAATCCGGAAGACAGACTGGGCGTGGGGATGTCATGGAGACTGGGAGGTACCCCCGGGCAGTGCGTGGAATTCAACAATGGGGGACGCACCTCAGGCATAGAACAAGTCACAGTTAGACGGAAGGACGTGTTGAGACAAGAGTTTTGCTGCGCTGTGCATACATAATACTGTTGTTAAATTCAGCCATGCCTAATACACACTGTCTATGGTAACATGAAGTAAAGAACATAAGATAACAAATCAAGTTCAGTGTCCCAAGCTCTCATAAAACTTCACCATCCTACGCACATCCGGGCATAGCGCAAGGCGTACCCGTTCACAGTCCTGTACAACACCTTGCCCTTTCAGCTCAATCCAAGCAGCCAAGCTTCCGGTCAACGGAAGTGCTGAGTTCCCCGATCCAAGGGCACCACTCAATCCTCGCACCTCGTTAGCCAGTTTGTCTCGCTGGATGGACCACTTGAGCTTTCTGACCACAGGTAACAAAGACCGCGAAATTGAGAGCAACGACGATTCGACGTCAGGCAGAATACCAGAATGATACAACAACTTGAGGCCAACAGGTGCAGGCGCACGTCTCCGAAGATGAGAAGCAATGATATGAGCAGTACGTTCGCGTTGTAGTCTTAGACCAATGTCGTACTGATCCACAGACTGCATGTAGTTGTCAGCGTCACCGAGCAGAGTCTAGATGCTTCCTTACGTGTTCTGTGTAGATATACAAGCCCATGCGCAATCTTCTTTCGATATTGTGTCCGCGGATGACATATCTATGCACGAGGTCCGTCATGGTTGGTCTGAGCAAGGCACCGTGAGGGCTTCGCGCAAATAGGGAGTGGCCGACGCGTGATGGTGCGACTACTCGGAGTCGTATGAGATGCAGCACTGGGTCAGCTGCCAAAAGAGCGAGATATTCATGGAGTTTGGAGAGAGTTGCGAGGTCGGGCAGATCCAGAAATGACACTATGATTCATGTACCGGTTAACGTATCAGGGGAGTCACAGTATTACGGTGACTTACGAATATGAAGGATGATTTCTTGCGGTAGATCAAGCAGATTGAATATGCGAACACTGCTCATCGTTCGCACTGTTGTACAAGTCATACATGAGGGAAAGCGACAACTGCGGATGAGAACTTGCGGAGAACGTGACCCTTCTTAAGAACACTCGGACCATACGACGGAATTGAACCATTAAAGCGGGTGCAATCTGACTCAGCAATTACAGGGGCACTTAGGTTAACGCCGCCAAGGTGAAGTTGCTCAAGCAATGTTCTATGCCAGTTGGCGCGTATGGGTTGCGTATTGGGTTACAAAAATACATGGTATAGACAGAACGAGTATCAATGGACAGAAAGACAGAAACGGGTAGAAACCCGGGGTGTTTTTATGTACTTGAAAACCTTGGGTAGTCCGGGACCGGGGAAAGCTAAAAGTACATGATTAAACGTTGATGTAAGTACGCGCTGCACGAGTTCCGAGAGACAGCATGGCGTAGTCTAGTAAATGCAAGTGCAGAATGCACGAACCGTCCTTTGCGTGGATATCAATGAGAATCTAGAATCAATGCAATGCAATGCAATGCGATCCGGAGCAGAAATGGGAATTTGAATGGGAGAGCGCAGAGCCGGCTGGTGCTCATTTGGATATATGATCCTCATATCGTGGATGTCGTCTTCTCTACGTCAATCCTGATCCCTGAGATGGCCGACATGCCAGCTGCTCCACTCTCGTCAGTCGCGCTTCCTGGCCGAGCACTAAATCCCATCTCGATCGAGTTATAGGCGGGAGCTGGTGTGGCATTTTCCACCGAACCCAATGAGCGCGTGCTATCTCCACTATAGCCCACCCCGAGCTCAAAGTGCATCTCGTCGAGCTCCACCTCAGCTGCTTCAAGATCGGGCTGGATGCTCCCTATAGTGCTCAACATAATGTTTGAAGCGATGGTTGAGCCTGGGCCGCGGTGGCGTCCGCGGCCAGGCTTTCCACGGTGACCAGAATGGGAGGTAACTACACCGGATTTTGTTGCAAATGCGCTAACACCCGTTCCTTCTGAATGGGAAACGGTCTCTGCGCCACGTTCACGAAGATCAAGGATCTGAGAAGAACGAGTAAGGATACTTTTGAATACGCATGTTGGCAATTGAACATACCAAACGACATGCCAACAATGGCGCCATCATAACGCTGAGTGGGATGTTGAGCGCAGACATCACTTGACGAGGTCTGTGAATAAATATAAACAAAGATGGAGCACGCTATCACCAGGCCACTCACTGAAGGTAGAAAATCCCATTGATCTGAAGTAATGGTTAGTTTACGAGAGTAAGCCTGGAATAAAAATCAGGCATACCAAGTTGGCAATAGAGATCAGAATATAGTAGAAGACACCTGATTTTCGAGTTAGGAGGTTGTGTGCGTTAGATATACGAGTCATGACGAACCTTCTCGAAGAAAAGTTTGAATGAGTTTGCTACTTGGTCCGCCACTGCGGCGGCGAATCGCAAATGCTTTCCAGACAGTGATAGCGGTAACGATAGTGTCGAACAGAAGTGGGGCAATCTATAAACGTTATAGATTGATGAAGGTTGACGAAAGCGAAACTCACAAAGAAACCTGGAAGTACGATAAGTAAGGAAATATTACAAGTTAGCCGCGAATGAAAACTCACCGAGCAAGTGAGCTGAATGGGGCCTAGAAATGGGGAAACATGGCCCCTCCGTCTATACCAACAGTTTTAGATTTTTCGCTCGAGCTGTGAGAGCGACTTACAAAGGGTGGAGTGACAAACGGAAGAACTAGTAGTTTTGTCAGAGTAAAATTAAAACCATATCATTGCCGAGAAACATACGCATCATTTCAGAAGTATCGACGAAAAGTTGATACCCGACGACACCAGCTAGCGCACATACAAGTGCTGCCAGGAGGTAGTTGTTACGGTTGAAAAATGCGTAAGTACGAATGAGCAGAACAGCTGGCATATACGGCCGGAAATCAATATGTGGGACTGGGAGAACAGTAAGGAAAGACGGACATTCGGACCCGACTTGGTTCCACATGGCCAATGCGACAGGAATCTTATGGCGAGGTTTGAGAAATAATCTGCGGGATATATGCGCCTTACTGACCTTGTAAATTCTTTGGCACTCTGCTTCGGTGTGGTTGGTGACAAAAGCATATAAAAGATACGGAACGACGGCGATAACCCAGTAGCTAAAGAACGCGGCGGTGAGTCGTATTCAAAATTTGCCTGAACATCGATACTTACCGACAGAAGAGATATGCAGTCTTAACGGGCGTCCAATGAGTCTTCCAGATCTTTATGGGCTCGTCAGTAAGAATACCCGGAGAGCAAATATAAAAAATTACAAAAGTCCATTCTCTAGGCAAGCTGACGGCCCAGTCCCAGACAATGACAGCATCTGCGAATTGGTAATAAGAATTTGTCGATGAAGAGTGTCAATTTATTACAATACGTACACATGCCTAGTGGACAGGGGGGAGCGGGGTTAGCAAAAACCGCGTTTCTTACAAAGTTCAGAGTCCTTACAGCAAAAGTAGACCTGTGTGCTGCAGAAAACGCGTTAGGAGTAGCTTTCCGGTCGGAAAAATAGCCTACATGTAGATAAAATGTTGAGCTGTTTCCAGTTCCCCCATAGCGCGCTGAAGGAGGTCGAGGATGAAAAAAATGAGGATGATAGACGACAGTAAAGAAAGAAAATAGGAAAGTTGGATGAGGACAAGGACGGGCGAATAGTAAGCTAGTAGTAGTATACGTACGGGGACGACGCCACTGCAACGTAGAAGGAAGCCTGTCCCAAACTGGGCCGGCATTTTCCATGCTCAGCATATCCAGTTGACCACAGGGAGTACCGAATCCGATCGAAGCGTCACAGAAGCATGCGCGCTGGAACCGACAATGGCTGCTGAATCAACCTTTACTGAGTTATTGATCACCCTTCCACGCGTCCTTTCACTCTATCAGGCTTTTACCTTGCCGTATATCGTAGATCTGCCGTGCTGAAGACGCTCCGCCCAGCGACTACCGCTTAATGGAGTAGCGTTACCGAACTCTGCAATTTCTAATTTCAGAAAACAAAACGAGGGAATCGTGTTCGACGACGCGTGCAAACGACGCCAGGAATTTGAGAATCGTCCCGTACTTTGAAAGTCACATGATCAGAAAAGTCAAAACCCGCGGAGTTATTGTGCCTCATTACGTAAATGTTATGATCACACGCGCACGTGGTGACGCGCTTCTCAACCTCGTTCTGCTCCAGCAAAAAACTGAGAGCAAAGTCAGAACTTCATGGCCTCAAACGTTCAAACTTTGCGCTTGAGACGCAAAGAGGACCCAAAGCCATCTTTACAGCCTGCACGGCATTCTGGTATCCTACAAGATCAGCTTCGCAGGTACGTTGCTTCGTCTTCTTATTTACGACTTCCCATCCATGATTTCCCGTCAGGTCCGCTCGTAAACCATGGAACCCAGACTTTTTAGCAGCAGTCCGCATTCTGTTGCTTATCCGAGTAGCAGCGGCCATGTATACCAATATACAAGATTGTGATGAGGGTAAGTAACACAGAAACTCGTGTTTATTAATTCTCTAAGTTATATCTCACGTCAGTGTTTAATTTTTGGGAGCCATTACACTACATCGATCATGGTCATGCCTTCCAGACATGGGAAGTCACCCCAATGTATGCCGTTCGAAGTTGGGCATATGTCTTGTTGCACCTTGTACCCGCGCGCCTCCCCCTAATTCTTAACCTTGGAAAGGTGAGTTTTCGTAATAGGGTTGCATTTACTATCGCGTTGAACTTACCGATGTAGCGCCCTTCATTCTTCGCAGTCCGCATAACTTTAGCCGTTGTATCTACGCTTTGCGAAGCCAAATTATGCCGCACTGTAGTCGAAAAAGTTAACGAACGAGTTGGTCGTTACTTGTTTTTCATGCTGCTGTTCAGCGCAGGCATGTGGAATGCCGCTCCAGGTAGGATTTTTTCTTCATCTTTTCGTCAAAAATTTCGTTTTGGCTGAGTATCCACATAGCCCTCTTACCTTCTTCTTTCGCAATGTACGCAACCACGATCGCATTTACATATTCACTCGAACCATCAAGCATCAAGAACAAGCGGAGAACCCTATTTGTAACAATGCTTTTCGCCACAGGAGCTATTGTTGGATGGCCTTTTGCACTTGCTCTGTCACTACCTTTTGTGTTTGAAGAATTACTCATTTTCGGTGGAGATCGAGTCGAACCAAGCTCACGCAGATCATGGATGATTTCTCGCTGGAAACGCTTCTTCACCGCCGGACTTGTATCCGCTCTGATATTTGTAGGCAGTCGCTGTGTATCATTCGCTCATATTAAACCACTTTTGTCTCAGGTTCCCGTCATAGCAATCGATAGTGTTGCGTATGGTGGATGGAATATTGTACCTTGGAACATCATCCGCTACAATGTCTTTGGTGGATCCGAACGTGGTCCTGATCTATACGGCACAGCTCCCTGGTACTTCTACATCCTGAACCTCCTCTTGAACTTTAATGTCCTCGTGCCTCTCGCTGTTATTTCCCTGCCTTGTCTTGCAGTTACCTACAGGATCGATCGCAAGCGGCTCGGGATGTTCAAACCTGGCCCAGACCAGAGTTCTCCGTTCACGCTACTTGCCCTTCGTTTAGCACCACTATATGTCTGGACGGCTATCTTAACCGCGCAAGCGCACAAGGAGGAACGTTTCATGTTCCCTGCATATCCCCTCATTTGTTTTAATGCAGCCGTGGCCTTATATCTCATCCGCGGATGGATGGAAGTCGCATATATCTCCGCCACCAAATCCTCATATAGGGTATATCCATGCTTATTGTCCACACATGCATTTGCTTACGTTTACTTTACCTTACTGTCACGATAGGCTTCAAGATCCATCATATTTGGTGCAACAACGTGCACCGTGATTGCCGTGACAGGGCTTATCTCCCTGTCTCGCGTCCTTGCCTTGTGGCATTACTATCACGCGCCGCTTTCTGTGTTCAGCTACCTCGAGGCTCATGAGCTTCCGCGGCTGCTGAATGTTACTGGGCTTCTCCCGCCTCTTCTTCAGGAAACGGAAGAAATTGACAGACCTTCCATCGACTTGACACCGATAAGGGCGTTTGATCTCAGGCTTTGTCTAGGGAAAGAGTGGTATCGCTTCCCGGGACACTACTTAGTTCCCAACGGCGTGAAAGTCGACTTTGTAAAGAGCGAGTTCGGGGGGCTACTTCCCGCACATTTTGAAGAGAGTCATGCAAAATTGACCTTCAATGGATGGTGGGACAGGCCGGGTTCAAGAATCACCCCAGCGAACCTCAACGACCTTAATAAGGAGGCACCAGAATTTTATGTCAGTAGACGAACAATTCTACCTGAGGCATTTCGTTGACTCTCTTTCAGGTACCCATTGAGTCCTGTGACTACCTTGTAGACCTAGACTTCCCCGAGCACCCAGTTTCATCACTTCTAGAACCGCGATACGCAGTCGATAACGAAACTTGGGAACGAGTATCGTGCCTCCCATTCCTCGACGCCGCACATTCGTCACTTTTGACCCGCACGCTCTGGCTCCCTGGTTCGTGGTGGCAAGACAAGAACGAGTTTGGAGATTACTGTCTGTTGAAAAATAAGGAGATGGTGTACAAGAAAGAGGTCGAGGTTGCGTCGCGTGTGCAGGAGGGAAAGCTGTAAGATACTGTGCGTAGTGACACCATGTGGATGTGTGCAATAATAATTGTTGTCAGCCACCGTAAACATCGATTTTGAGAATGCGGCTGACACGGATGGTACTGCTACTTGACTGCTACAGTCATTTATCTTCCTCCTTGCTGGTTCACTCATTCGTAAAAAGTATGCTGTCTTCAACGCACGTCCGTCTGACCCGCACGTCTTCTGACTTGTGCTTGCTTGCCGCTACGCTTTGCCCTCCGTCACCCATTCTCAAATCAAGTGACTTACTATCACCAAGCACGTCTGGTGAAATACCGCTTATTATCGACTTCGTGATTGACAAATTTTCTACGCCCTTGAACTCGCCTCTTAGGTTTGGATATGACACCAACGTATGCACCCCACCGAAAGCCAGTAAACTTGATATCAACGTAGCAACTGCACAGGGCAGAGTCTCGAAGTCACCTAGGCCTCACATGACAGCTTCCTCGCTGGCAGCACTGTCCTCTAATCTTGCAAGCCACCGCAGTGTCAGCGAATCGCTGCTTGACGAAGTCTTCTTCACTCCGAAGTCATCTCAATCGTCCCAGTCGCTCGTTTCTTCCCCCTCTCCTTCCCCAAGCCCCCTGTCCAAGTCTCTGTTCCAGTTGACACATATCCGTAGCTTGGCTGTATCGGACTCAGCTAGCTCGTCGCTATCAGAAACCCCCAGCGCCAAGAGTGTTCTCGGAGGCGCGAACCGACAAGCCTGGGTTTTCAACTCGAGAATGACTTCCAATTTAGCTATGGCTCTTCCTGTAGAGGACAAAGAGAACGAGCAAACTATATACCTTGGCACGTCAGCAACATTCTCGACATTGCCGACACCTTCCTTTGCTCCTCCGTCGCCATCGCCTAGTGTAGATGTGATTTCTCCCATATCTTTGACATACTCCAGGAGACATCGCAGACCACTGGAACGCTCAGGAGCCATCCATCACTTGAAGGCCCCTCGCTCAATCCCAAGAACCTCTCGGCTCCATATACATGTCCGTGAGCCCCAGTCGCCAGCCACCACGCCTGTACCGACAACTCGCTGGCAGCTCACTGACTCCCCTTCGGCAAGCTCCATACATTCGTGTCCTTCTGCAAGTACTTCGGGCGACTCATACGTCTCTAAGCATCCCTATCTTCCACGTGATCTGGCTTGGCTCGGAGGGACAGAAGTTGAACTCTGGATCGACCAGGAAGGCTTCCGCGCGATCCGGCCCATGATGCGATTGATGGGGTATTCCCCACGCTCCCGTTCACTCCTTCCATATGGTGAGCGTGGCGTCTCAGCCGACGTGAGCGGAGGCTTTGCGGAGTTCATGCCAGTTAAGCGCGAGAGCTTCGCATTCCACTATGCGATTCTCGATGGTCTGCCGATGCTACGGCGTGTCACTGTGGGCGGGGACGAGTCGCGTGACTATCTCTCCCGGCAAGCGGCGCTGAACATCAAGACGAATGGTGTGTATACCGTTCTCGGGAGCGAGAGCATGGTGCTGGGAAGCTCGCAGGAGCACGTGAAGTTGCAATGGAAGTTCGATTACCTCGTGGAGGACCGTTATACGGATGGTTCGCGGCGAGTCCTCCCCGGCGAGAAAGTTATCACGCCATTGACGTTTTCGTGTTCTCCATTCCTGCTGCACTCGATGCAGGGTAAGAAGGTTGGGTTCGTGCATCTCGTGAAGAAGAGCGTCGTACCAAAGTTCTCCGCGGAGAGACTGGAGCCGCCTGAGCGTCCCAAGAATGTCGGGCAGCTAAACCAACTTGAAGTACAACGAACGGCGAGTTGCCGGCGTATGCGCAGGCATGGGCCGTCCAGGTCAGATGCCCATGCGAGCCCGGAAGGCGTTCTTACCTTGGCAAGCGGTGCCCTTGTTGGCAGCTCTCCCTTGGGATCAAATGGTGGCAGAATACTCGAAAGCACCAGACAGATGCAATACACTCGGAGACGGAGGGCCTCGTCAGCTGGAGAACACGGTTACGTCATATCAAGCTTGCATGAGCTTATGTCTGTCCCACCAGTCACTATCGCCGAGGATGCAACGGCCGAGCGACCGAAGATGATCACACCCAGACAAGACCCACCCCGAGCTCGCCTGAACACAACGCTGCGGTCTACACACCATCATGGATATCTGAAAGGATGCCAAGACGATAAACGGCCGGCCCGATGAGAGTGAGATAAGTAGTCAAGGCGCTACTGGTACATATACTACATATACAAGGGAATAAATTATGCACCGAAACCGTATAGAGTGCGCCCCGACCGCTTCAGGGCATAAACGACATCAAGAGCAGTGACCGTTTTACTACCGTGCGGATGAATGAGTGAGCACTGAAGTGCGTTGTGGGGCTTACCGCTTAGCGTGTTCAGTGTAAGTGACAGAGTCGCGGATAACATTCTCCAAGAAAATTTTGAGGACACCACGGGTCTCCTCGTAGATGAGACCCGAGATACGCTTCACACCACCACGACGGGCAAGACGGCGAATAGCCTAGAGGCATTATGAGCGGACGCTTGAATACAGAAGTCTATGGACGTACTGGCTTGGTGATACCCTGGATGTTGTCACGAAGAATCTTGCGGTGGCGTTTGGCACCGCCCTTCCCAAGACCCTAAATATTGCACTGTGAGTCGGAGAGGTGACGCCAACCAATATTACACACCTTGCCACCCTTTCCACGTCCAGACATGTTGTATACGATGAAATATGTGATTCGACTATTGATATGAGAATGCGAATGTCAATAACACTTGAAGTGTCGACAACAATGGTAGTGAAAGAAGGAAGGCAAAAGTTCAGTCAACGTTCACCGGTCCGTCAATGATAACGCGTGTGGTCGTATTTGTGAAATCACGTGACTGGTATCCAAATCTGAGAGATTGGCATGGAGTTGGGCCGAGTGGGAACCTCTCAGCCATTTACTAGGCCCTCTCACAGGCTTCTCGTGCCAGTAGGCACCAGCAACTACGAATACACTCAGATGTATTGATAACACTCTTTGACATTAATTTTCTCGATACAACAAGATATAACTGACACATGGTAGGCACTGACCAAAGGGGGGGAGTTAAGAACCGCGACTGGCTCTTCCTCGGACCAGTCTATGAACGAATAACAAAAGGAAAATAACTAAAGCCACGTTCTTGGATTCGATGACTTGGACGGTATATGGCGATGCGATGGGATTTGTGGTTTGCCTAGGAGAAAGAAACATTAGCTGCCTCCATTGGCGATGTGGAAAGCTCACTCACGTTTCGTTTCAAATAGCCCGATACCAGCGAGGCGGGCCTTGCCTCCCCAGCGCCTCCTTCTAGGGTCATCTATGATCTGGTCAAGCGGATACCTCGCAAGTTTTGCATAACGATATCGTTGCACTCTTCTACTATATCTTACCAGTTATCACGGGTTCGACCACTCTCATGCTGATGGCGCGCTCAAGACGTCCATATCTCGATACTACTAACAACCAGGTCCCCATATACTGCTGATCACCGATTCGAAGTCATGCAATTTTGCACATTTCCTCCGCGGGTTTGGTTTTCTGAACACAGATGACGTACCATCTCTAGCTGCGTTCATGCGTCGTTGCCAGTGCTCAGGCTCGGTCCCGCTCCGTATCCCAGTGCGCTGGAACTCCCAAATGACAAGTAGTTCGAAGGAAGACATGTACAGTATAGGACCGGCATTTGAGCCAGCACCGTCATTTGAGCCAAACAGCTACCACACACTCAACATTTGCTTATTGACACATCGGATAGCACAGATATATTCTAAATACATGCATCTGAGATACTGTCGAGTAGAAATGAAAAAAAAATTGTATATGCATGCTACAGGTCAGAAACATGCCCTCTTTTGGCACTAATCAATGCAGCGAGAAGGAAGTATTCAATTATCAATGTCAAAAATCCTGCCAAATGAAAGATCTATATCCCTAGTACAGTTTCAGTACAATGATATATGTCCTACACACAACAACATGCTGCCACTGGGATCCCGGACGAGGGTCTCAAAATCCATTATCAAATGTGTTTATCAGGACAAGATTGCGAAACTAACCCAATTTGGACTTTTGTTTACAGGCTCGATGAACACCATCCTGCAGTCATATTCTGCATATCTCAGTCATGGTTGGTCGTCCAAAATCAGTCACCAGGAAAAAACAACTTGCTAGGCAAGAGCAAGAGATTGCCATTACTCGAGCCATCAATGAGTACCGTGCCGAGCAGAGAAAAGATCAGCCTACCAGAACTCGCGAAGTTGGAGAAGCGTCGGCTGGCGTGGAAAAAGCCAACGCGAGGTAAATTGGAGGCGCCGTTACCTAAACCGGTACTTGCGGAGGGCACTGCAGGTGACGAGCTTGATGTTGACGGTGATGACCATGAGAATGCCAGTGACGAGGATGAAGAGGAGTAGTAGTAACTAACCTGAGAATCATTACGACACGATAATCCGAGTTGGCGCTTAGATGTGCGCTATATCCATTTTAGGGCTGGCTCAAGTGGTGAAAAAAACAGATATCGAGACATTTTACTGATCATTGCATTGCACACTCGTCACCCATTTGATTGCTCTATAGTGTTGCATTAGTATGGTCATTGTATAACTAAACATAACTGTCACATCAGATTTTTGTTTAATGGAGGAGTGTTAACTTGAGACGGCCAACAAAATTCGCTGGCTCAAATGCCGGTCCTATACTGTAGTTATTCCCTTCCTCTTTGTATCATCCTTCAATTCTTCACAAGTAGTTAATGGGTGTAACATGCAGCGGCCACATTCTGTATAGACCTTGTCTCTCGTGAGACACATCCATTGTGACCGTGACCGTGGCATTAGATATAAATTCTGGCAGATGAAAGAATGCCTGTAGTGAGAGTACGACGCGCAAGGGAGATAATACAATCAAAAACACGAAAACACTAATAGATGCATGAACAAGAAAGAGTCTCAGGTCTACGCAGTCGGTTCCGGCTCTGGCACTTGTGTTGACAGTGAGGAAAGCGCAGAGACGATAGTGTCTGGAACTCACAGGTCCAACCAATACTTTGCATATACTGGAACGCCTCATAGGCCGCCATTTCCTTTGCCAGTTTCTGGTTTCTACCGATACCAAAACCCCGTTCGACGTCGCTCACTACAGAAGTCAACAAGTCATTCGAGACTGGAATCAAGTTGTCTTACCTTTGCATTTCACTTCCCACCTCGGATCATGCTGCGGGCCATTTGCGGAAGCGACCCACTCGACAGAAAATCCTCGTTGATGACAAGTTTGATTGAACAGAGCAAGTGCGCCCTGGGGAACTCCTGAATGTATGGTTGACGCTTGTGGTGGGGTTGGATAATATGGAGGCGGGGCAGCTTGCGACGTACCCGCCTGAGGGGGTGCCGAGACTGACGCACTGGTAGGTGACCCAGGTGGCACCGTTGATAAAGTGCGGTCTCGCGAGTCATCTACCAAACCCGGTGGTTGACCCTCGGGCTTCACAAGTTTGCTGACCCAGTCAGTCGTCGCCTGTAAGCCATCTTGTACACAAACAGCTCCAACGTAGCTGTTGAAAAGGAAACGAGCTTCCTAAATAAAGCCTGAGTGGCGTGCATTTCACTTGCATGGACGATCTTCCGTACCTCGGGGTCGTTGAGAATGCCTAAATTCGCTCCTCCGAGCCTCACACGTTTCTTCAGATCTGTATCATACGCGGCAAGCCAAGCAACCATGGCTTCATCGCTTAAGATTTGCTCCTGTTTGGTCTAGCCGCATCATTGCGATTAAGTACAGGTGAGTATCAGTAATACGATATCACGAGCACACCTGCAGCTCTTCGCCAGATAACATAGGTCTTTCTGCGAATAGTATATACGTCACGATGGTGTTCAATACCGATTTTCCAAGTTGTGCAAGTCTATCACTATTTCCGTGTGGTGTGTGGTCATTGAGGACACCTCCAGTCAAAGCGCGATGTGTGAAAACATCGAGCATCAGATCTCCATGCAGCGGAGGAAGTGGAGGAACCATATTGCAAAGTTAGATGATGGGCAAGGGATGTCTCAACCAATTCAAGATCAGTGGCACTATTTATCGATCATGATATAGCGAAGATCAATGGAAGCACAAAGGCGGAGGGCGTAATGACAGCTTCCAAAGAGGGACTTATCATGTATCACAAATAATGTTATTCAGAACAAAAATGTATTGAACTTATCCGACAGCTGTAGTAGTGACTCTGGTATCCAAACCGATATAAAGATAACTGCCCAACTAGCGAAAACGAGATGGAATGAAAGAGGCTTTGAAAAGAAGAGACAGTTGAGTAGAAAACTATACGAATACAGAAGACTCAGATGATATACCGATACATTCCGTTGATATAAGTCCGAATGCTGTCTCTTAGTGGGCTCCTATTGCTAGAGGACTAGAACTAAGGTCAGAAGTTGAGCACGTTGGCAGATTTTTGGCTACTTACGGCCCCAGCCTGTAGCCTGCATGTACTGATACGCCTCTGTCGCTGCTTGCTCCTTTGCCTGCTTCTGGTTTCTACCTGCCCCAGTTCCACGGTGTTGTCCACTCACTTCCAAGTTGCTCAGATAACCAAGCACATAGAATAAGGCTGAAAGCTCACCAATACACTTCACTTCCCACCTCGGGTTGTGCGGTGGCCCCGTCATCTCCGGTTTCCACTCTACTGTAAGTCCTCTTTGCATACACGTCTGATTGAATATTGCAAGTACACCCTGAGAGGGTGCAGGTGGCGGCACCGATGGCATCGGAGGAGGCGCAGTGCTTGGCGGGGGCGGGGGTAGGGGTAGGGGCTGAGAATAGTACGTTGGAGGAGGAGGTGGAGGAGGCAGGGTTGCAGCGGGCTGGTTGTTGGATGATTCTCCTGGGGCTGCTGGAGGTTCCGAGGAAGGGTTGACAAGGCGTCCGATCCAGTTCATGACTTCTTGCAGTCCCTTCTGGGTGTAAACGGCACCGACGTAAGAATTAAAGAGGAAACGAGCTTCTTCAGGCTTGTCAAGTATACTTTTGTCTGCACAACGAATTTTAGCCTTTAATCCGTAAAGAGAAAACCAGTCTCCGATGTTCTTGTCGCTTAGCATGTCAGCTTGGCGCGCCTATAGTGCCATCTCAGTAATACACAAAATGGATATTTCTTGATGATTACGAACTTTGAGATCATGGGCGGGAAGCATCGGTTTCTCTGAGTACAACGTGTACACGACGAGCATACTGAGCACCGAGCTACCCAGCTCAGCCAATCGCTCGGTATTTCCATGCACTGTATCCTCGTCGATGTCTTTACTCAGCATAGACCGATGCGTATATACATCGAGCATGAGGTCTCCTTGGATGGGGGGGAGCGGTGGTAATGAGTGCTTTAAGTTGTTCATGGCCATCGTGGTATGGATAAGACAAGATAGAACTCCCTTGTTATCGCTTGATAAACTTGCTGACTCGTAGGGCCTTCGGGATCTTTCAATAGGCTGGAACGCTTAATGTGCCATGTTGTAGTACTCACAAGAACGGAATGCGATTATGAAGAGTCTGGCGGACCACTGGGATCGCGATGAATGATAGCAAGCTAAGAAAACCTGGCCACGTAGTACGGCGTCCGTTTGTTGCTGTTCGAGCGCTTCGTATGAATCAAAATGCCTGCAAGGCTGGACACAGGTGAGAGTTTGAGGCGCTTCGGAGCCGGGACATATCACCCGTGACCCGTCAGATTCAGTTGCCTTTTTTGACCGAACAACGGTGGTCACGTGCCATCTGGTCCTTCCTTCAGACTGTCAGGTTCTTGCCACTGACTGCAGTTTCTTAGGACTTAGTATTGGAGCTGGTTTATCCGACCACAATACAATAAGCTAGCGTTTTATATGCCTGGCGAATCAACGTCGCCTCCAGGCGAACAGCCACTCATACCAGAGCGGCTCCTCGACGTACCTTCTCAACGTTTATATTACTTGAGTTTGGGCTTGCTGCTGCAGGTGAGTGGCTTTGAAACAGGTTTCAAGTTCTTTCTGCGCGAGATCTTCCTTCATATCTCATGCCTTGTGCATAAATTACGAGTCTGACGCGTTCATATTCTTGGCAGGCCATCAAGGTGTTCGACGTCCTCCAAAACATCTTCGCGTCTGATGCAACGACGTACTACGGCAGAAAATGGCTTATAGTTGATTTTGCATACATCGCAACGCTCTCTCAGCTCCGAATACCACGCTTGAAGTACAGCAGGGCTGTTGTCTTGCTCCAAATTCTGTCCATATGGTTCCTCGATGGCATGTTGTTCGGAGGAATCAGCTTAAATCTTGGGTTAGTGGGATCATCCGAAATAAGTAGTGTACCTTCGGGAATCCCAAGTAAGTTTACCATAAATTCATGTCTTTGACCCCACTCATGATATTATACAAGATCGACCAGACATTCCTTCTACTCCAGAACCGTTCCGTCTCTCTGATATCTTTGCTCCACTAACATTCGGTCTCTTTTCATTCGACACAAATTCCAAAGATGCTCGCCTGCTTGGCCAACATACGGTCCGCATGTCTCCCATCAGCACTGCTCATTTCAATCCACACTTTCAAACTTTCTGCCTCCCACCTGTTTCGCCTGCACACGTGCTCGTCCCAATCCTTGTGAACAACACGATACCGACTAATGTGCGTTATTCTTTTATCCCACTTGGCTCGGGGCGCGTGGAGTACCTTGAATTGGGGTCGAAGGAGTTAAAAGCAATCGAGCAAGCTAGAGTAGAGGGACTACAGGTTGTGCGAAGCAAGGATGTGGGCGAGTATGATGAGTACGATGACGAAGATGATGAAGAAACCGATGCCGGCGCCCGCCTTCAAAAGACACAAAGCTTGGTGCATCTCCGCTTCTCCAAGCCAGGGACCATAAGGCTTGACCGGGTGCTTGACAGTTCAAATGTTGCGGCACGTCTTGTTCACCCGGTCGAAGTGACCGTTGTACCCTGTCCGACTGCCCAGTACACTGATGATGTTGTGCAAGATGTTCACTGTGCGGGTGAAACATCTGGTGTGGACCTTACCATCGATATACGAGGCGTTCCTCCGTTGAGCCTACAGTGGTCAAAGGATGTCAACGGGAAGAAAGAATATTTCCTTGTTGAAGGCATCGAAGACAGCGGTCACTCGCATACCGCACAAGAGGTTGCTCGCGCTCGTATACCTCAGAAACTCAAAGTTCCGTTGTCTTTGTCATTGGATGCTCTCGGCAAGCACACGTATAACCTGGAGAGTGTCATCGATGGTATGGGAAACGTCGTGCAACTCAACGATGAGTATCGTGACGCGAAAATAACACGATCCCTCTCTGTTCTGCGCCGTCCGAGCGTGTCGTTCAAAGCATGTGGTCCAGGAAATCCGACTTCGCTCCTGATTGGCTCAGAGGCTCCAGTAGCATTAACGGTATCCAACGCAGACCCCGTGGATGGGCCATGGGACATCGATGTGAGGTTCGAGCCCGCCAGTGGGGATGGAAAGCGCATGAAGCCATGGGACAAGATAATACAAACACAGGAAAATAACAATGACGTCGTGCTAAAGGCAGGCGTCCCAGGGGAGTATGTTGTCACTGGCATCAGAGGCAAGGTAGGTGGTGCACAGCTCCTTTTCATGATGATTCTAACCAAGTAACAGTATTGTGATGGCGATGTGCTTGCTCCTGAAACCTGCAAGGTCGTTGAGAAGGCGATGCCCACCGCAGAAATCCAGTGGAAGAGGATTCATGAATGGTATGTGCCCTCTTTCTTGCAAGCCTTCCTTTCTAAAGTCTACTCAGTTCTGGCGACACAGGTGTTTCTGCATCCCTTGTCATGCACGGCACACCTCCATTCCAGGTCTACTACCGCACACAACGTGATGCAGAGCCCCCACGTGATCTTTTCAAGACATTCACGTCATCGCGTGGCGAGCTCACTCTGCAGCCGGAAAATAGCGGTCACTACTATTACACTTTTGTACAGCTCAGTGACGCCTACTACAAAAAAGTTGCGCTTGATGGCCCAAGCATTGATCAAATCGTACATCCTCTAGCAGCAGCAGACTTTGTTGGCGGTCGTGGAAAGAGGGTCATGAGCAGTTGTGAGGGTGTGACAGTGGGCATTGAGGTCGATTTGAGGGTGGGCAGTCTCGTTGGTTTTAATATGCTGATGCTGATGCGTGTCCATAGGGCACACCTCCTTGGAACTTGGAGTTGCAGGTTGTAGGTCCACGTAGCACGGATGCACTGGAAATAACCGACATCAAAACGTCGCCCACGAGGATATTGGTGCCCATACCCAGTGTTATTGACAAGGAGGGTGGAACATTTGACGTTGAATTAGGTAGGCTCAAAGGTGGTTGTTCGATCAAGCGAAGTTAATCCGTTCACTCAGTGAGCGTCGTGGATAGCTACGGATGCAGACGATCGATATCAGTTCCTGGCGTCTCTGTGAATGTCAGGAGAGTGAAGGCAAGTAATTATGACTGTGATATATGGGTTAATTTTGACTGTGTGTTCAGCCAACCGTCAAGTTCTACGGCAAGCATGGCCAACGGGAGATCACTATTCTAGAAGATGATGGTGCTGATCTGCCACTTCGGCTGACAGGCGATGGGGTAAGCCAGATCACTGAACTCTACCGAGAAGAACTCACATCCACCTACCTTAGCCATGGAAAGTCAAATACCGTCACATGAGCAATCCAGATCGGCTGTTCACTGCTGCGCTCAAGTCGCCTAATGATTATATCCATGTCACACAAAAGGGTGTCTACGAGATTCTCGAGGTAGCAGTCTATCGCATGGTTATGGGACATCTTATTCACATAACATGTTTATTCTAGGTTACAGATTCTCAATGCCCTGGATCCGTGATCGAAAATGAGAACACTTATACCGTTGACTGGGTGCCACGACCATCTGCTCGACTGGATCCTGCAACCGTTTGCACCTTTGAACCGTATAATAGATCACACATCCTTCCTCCGATTTGCAAAGGCCAGGATGCCCACGTCGACCTCGAGCTCACGGGTGTGTCCTCTCAAATGAAGTTCATTGCATTGGCTAACGTTTGCAAGGTCGACCTCCCTTCCAGATTATGTACAACATTGCG